TAGTTACTTTACTAAAAGGCATTAATAATTATATTAATAACCTAGAATAAGTGTTTTAGAGGTTAACTAAAGTAAATATAGTATTAAGAGCTAATAAGTCTAATATTAAATTTCTAATAGTAATTATCCTAAGTAAAATAGTTAACTTATTTAGACTTAGTATACTAGACAAAAAGCTATAGGCTATTAGAGGAATTAAATTTCTTAAGACATTAAAGGCACTAGAGCACTTCCTTAGCCTTAGTAGTTTACTATATTACTATATTCTATAATATACTACTACTACCTAACTACTAAAAGAACATAAAGCGCTTTTAGTATATATATATTATAAGTAAGATTAAGATAAAAAGCCTACACTAGGTAAAATACTAAAAAAAGCCTATAATATATAAGTAAAATTAGTTAATATTATATTACTTACTATAAAAGAGATTAACGCCTTTAACTAATTAAAGATAGTAATAACTATATATATAGTACTAACTTTCTTTAACACTAAATAATAACTTTTTCTTAAATTTAATATATTAGTAGATAGTATAAGTATATAAGTCTTCTATATAAAAGAGACTACGCTTACTAACTAAGACTAAAAGTAATACCCTTTATATAACGCTATATAACCTATTATATTCTTATCTTAAATACTTAGTAACACTAAAAAACGCTACTAGTTAATAAAGCTTAAAGTTATAGGCTATATTTAGACTATTACTAAATACTACTACTAAATATAAAGCACTTAAGTTAAACTAGTAATTATTTTTATAGACTATAAGGCTATTATAGATATATAGTTATAATAAGTTAATAATATTACTAACTTAATAGCTTAAACTATAGTAAATAAAAAGCTTATTAAAGCTATAAAATATATTAGCTAGTTTAACCTTAAGATACTTTATAAGCTAAGAAAAAACTACTTAGTTCTAGACGCACTTAGCTAAATATAGGCAGATAATAAAACTAACCTAACTACACTAGGCACACTTAACTAACTCTTAAATAACTACCTAATAGACCTTATTTTTTATATAGTAAATAAGCTACTATAACTACTTACTACTATTAAGGCACTAATAGATATAGACAAACTAATTAGTAGTATAGTCTATATACACCCTAACTTCTAACAGAAGATTTAGAAGGGATATTAGGTAGATAGTATCTAGTAATATATTATTAACGTTTTATAATAAAATAATACACTTAAACCTTTAAATAAAGCTAATTTACCTTTCTATATAGATAACAGACTACTATAAAAAAATATAATAGTAATATTAATAAGCTTTATATTCTATAGTTATATTTTATAGACATTTTTTCTATAATATATAATAGTAACTACCTTAGCTATAGTAAGCTTTTAGAATATCTCTAGCTATTCTATATATATAATAAATTAAAAGAACTTTAATACTACTTTTTATATTATCTAATATATACTATCTACTAAATATAATAACATAAGGCGTATAGTAACCTTTAGCCTATACTACCTCTACTATACTTATATTACACTATCTTAATTAACTTTATAATAGTACTACTAATATCTATTAATAACTATAATTATACTATAATTATAGTTAATAAGCTATCTAAAGAAATACTATTTCTCCTAAGTAACTCTATATATATAGTAATAAAATAAGGTAATATCCTTATAAATACGCTTATATCTACTAACTAGGGATTTCTTAAGATTATCCTATTAGATAAAGATCCTAAGTTTTTATTATAAATATAGATATCTATCTAAAAAAACATAAGGACTACACTACTTTATATAACAGCTTATTATCTATAAACAGACAGTTAGATAAAACGCACTATTTAAACTATTAAGTTAGTATTTAGACACTACTTTTATAAACTTAATAGCCCTAAGTATTAGATATAAATTACACCTTAACTATAGTTTAAATTTAATTATACTAAAAATATATCTATAGGGATATTACCTAATAAAATTAATAAGAGGCTTACGCCTAATAATATTTTACTACTATTAATAAATACCTATATAGCTATATTATTTATTTAACTACCTATAGCATAACTAGCTATATATAACACCTTAGCTATTATAGTAATAACTATAAAGTAGCACTATAACTAACGTTACACTATAAAGTTCTTTAAGGTTAGATAATAAGTTTTATTATAACTATACTAAGGTTATAACATACTATAAGTAGCTATTCTAGGCCTAAAATATAGCTAACGCTACGCTAGACTATTTAAAGTTATTAAGTAAATTAGTTAATCTATATACTAACTATATTTCTTACTATCCTAGTAAATTTATAACGTTATTTTAATTAATTATCTAGAACTAGCACCTAAGGATTTTTACCTCTAACTAACTAATAATATATATATATAACTAGTTACTAATTAACTACTAGTACTAGCTAAAATAGTAGCTAAAAGACATATATATAGAGGCTTATAATACTTAATTAGTTACTATTACTAAGGACCTAAATATAATAAGTAAATAACTACTATAGACTTTAAAAAACTCTTAAACGTATTATATATAAAGAAGTAATAAAAAAAAATAACTAAAGTAAGAAAAAAGAGAAAGTATACCTAAAAACGCCTATAAGCTTAACTAGTACGCTACCTTTTCTACTTATAACTTATTAGTATATAAATAACTTTATAGCTTTACTTTTTTAGCTTCTTAGTAACTAACTAGTATAATATTAATAATTACTACCTAAACTAAGTAACTTATAACTATTATAAACTAATAGCTATTTTATTAGTAGTACCTTTTTAGTTATATAAATATATACTTAATACGCCTTTTATTATTTCTCTTATGCCTACCTTATTTATAAATAGGTAGACCTATTATTTATCTTTAACCTCTTACTAAAGTATTAGAACTTTTTACCTCTTACTTACTTACTAACTATAAGAAAATTATACTTTAACCTATAGCTATACTTCTTTTCTTTTACTATACCTTATAGAATATTAATTATTTTATACTTTATAATAAGTAATAATAAAGTTAATCTAGATAACTTTTTATATACCTCCTTAATAGCTAATAACTATATTAACAGTAGTAGTAACCTAAACACCCCTATAGTTCCTAATATAAATATAGTAGTATAAGATTATATATAAGAGATAGTAAATAATAATATAGTTATAAAAATAAATAAGTTAGCTACTAATAATAAGTAAGAGACTATATAAGTAGTTAAAGCTCTAACTAACACTACACTATAATTCCTTATAAACTAATATAATAATAATATTCCTAACTATATACTTCTAAGTATAACAGCTATTTATAAAGATAAATTCTTTAATAACTATAATAAGGTATAACTAAGTAGAAGACCTTTTAAACTATAGTTATATCTACTAATTTATTAGTGTAACTATATACCTATATTATAGGCACCTATAAATTATATCTAGTAATATAACAAAAGAAAATTTATATATAACTACTACGCTAAGGAGAATATAGCCCTACCTAAAAAAAAAAAAAATCTTTATTATTTAATATAGTATTACTTTTAACTTTAGTTTACTATAGATTAAGGGCTAGTAACTAAATAATAAATATAAGTAAAAAAGACTACCTTATATATACTTTAATAATCTTATTAAGGACTTTAGTATAAAGCTAGTAGTAACTTATATAATTAATAAATATAAAATAGATAGTAGCTATAAGGTAGATATTAACTAAGTAGTTAATTACTTAGTATATATATAGTAAGACTTACCTACTAAGGCTATTAAGGATAATACTTAGATCTTTATACTAGCTATATCTAGATTAGCCTATAAACTTTACGCTATATAAGATAATAAGGGATTTAAACACCTTATAAAACCTATAGCACCTACTAAAACTAAATAAGGTAAAACTACTTCTATACTAAATAAGACTACTTCTAATAATAGTATAAAAGCTATAGTAAAAAGTAAAAAATAAAAAACGCTAATTACTAGTAATAATAATAATAATATATAGTAACTAGAGGTCTTTAGTAATAAAGACTTTAGATATTATAAGAATAGCTCTTAGAAGTTCTTTTACCTTATTATATATAACTTACTTAATAAGTAAAGGCTAGTGCTAAGATATATAGTTACTATCTTTAATAATAATCTATATAATAAGATTATTAATATATATAATAAGCTTATAATACTATAAATTATAATTACCTTAGTAAAAGTAGTACACTTTTATAGTAATTTCTTATTTTACCTAGCTTATAAGGCATACTATAAGGCTATTAAGGATAATATACTACCTAATTTTATTAAGGTAGCTACTATAGTTATACTATATAACTTTAACTTACCTTATAAGGATAAGATTACGCTTACTTATATTAAACTATTTAAAAAACTATATACTAAAAAATACTATAACTAAAAGGATATTTATAACCTTTTTATTAAGGTAAAATAATAAGAAAAACTAAAAGTAGCTAAGTAGTATTTTTTTACTACTACTAATAACCTAACTATAGTTAAAGTAGTTTATAATTAGCTACTATTAGCACTAGTTACTATAGCTAATATTAGTATTATAACTAATATAGTGCTTATAATAGTTATAGATATAGACATACTATTAAAAGAAAAAAAGGTACTAGCTTTTATTATAAAGTATATAAATAATAGTATATTCCTAGATAAACTACGCCTTAAATAACTTAAATTATAACTAATAACTAAAGGATAGCGTAATCTAGAACACTACTCCTCTTATCTTACTATAAATAAAGTTAACTATAAGGAATATATAACTATTATAGCTAATATAGTTTAAGAAATTAAGGCTAGAGTAACTAGCTAAGACTCTATATTAATACTAAAGTACTACTATAGTATAAGTATTTAAATACTATATAGTAGCATAGTAAATTAATAAAGTAATAGATTAAATTAGGAGAAGCTTCTAGACTATAAATAACTATTTAGGAGATTAGGGAAGATTTATATTAACTATTAAGAGAAATAGCATTTAAACGTAGATTTATAGTAAGGGCACTATTTTTTCTAGAGGGGGCAGACTGTTACGTAAGCCCACTATAGGCTACATAAAGCAGCCAGTACTCCACATCAGCAGATAGACAGTGAATCAACTACATACACACCACCATACCTTGACACATTCAGCTCATCCCACCAACCGATGGCACTAACGATACCGACATGAAGCAACTTCTTCTTCTTGTTCCCCCCACGACAGGCAGCCCGTGGTTCGGCCAATTGACGCAGGCCGCCCTTGGCTATCGTAGGCCCTAGCTCCCCGACCATCAGCCGCCCCCCTCTGCCCAGTGCAGTGCAGTGCAGTAGTACGGGTACGGTACTCTGGCCGTGTACTTTCGGCGACGCCATCTGCGCACCTGCATCTCTGCATCACCGTCCACTCACACCTCGACAAACATGGCCCCGCAGAGTCTCACTCCCCCATCTCTCCATCCTACTACCACCTCACCCCGGCTTCAGCACTTCAGCTCGTGCCAACGCTGCCGTCCTTTGTACTATCCGTCCTCTGTCTCTCCTTACATCAGTTCCAGCCAGCCTCATCATGCTGGTGCCGTCCCAAGGAGGTTGAGCTCTGCTACCGACTCACATCAGCATTCTGGATCTGAGACGCGATACAGCCACGGCGACGCATCATTGTCTCCCCCGGCTTGCTTTGCCTTGTTCGCTTGCCTCGACTTCGGCAGAGAATTCACCGCGGGCTTCATGATACGAGCCGCGCTGGCTCGTCGTCCATTTCTCCTTGCGCCCATCATTGCCCTCCGCCTTTACATCCCATGACGGATCCGGCGCCGTCCCTCGCTGCGTGAGAGAGGTTCGCAATTCGTAGCGCATCCAATGCACCTCACACCCGCCCCTTGTACCTGCTAGCAAGGATGCGCCCAGTGCCCCCCGGTCACCCGAGGTGGTGTTCCCTCCTGGTCTGCTAAAGGTGAGCCGTCAGGTAGTCTATGTACCTACTGTGTAAGCTACCCTATACAAGGGTTCCTCTGCTGGTGTGGGTTTCCTGACCAGGAATAGGATCGCGCGACGCATCTCTGCTTAGCCCCCAAGGCTGTATGTAGGCTTACATCTCCTTTCTGGAGCCCTTCACACCCCTCGTCTTCTGATGTAGCTTGGCTTCCGAACCCGTCGTCATATCCAAGCCCACATCTCCTGCTTGCTTCTCCCTTTCTCCATGTTTTGCTATATAGACTCTTGTGCATCCTGCTCATCGCCAGTCCTTAACCCATCAACCATACCAATCTGATATCTCCGCCAGCTACTGTTTGTATAAGGAGTCTCACCAGAGACCACCGCATATTCTAGACACCCCTGACTCTGCTTGATAGTGTCATTCCTCGAGATCCAAGCCCAACAACGCAGTCGGTGTTTCTAGCGCCGGGCCCGCCGCTGTCATGGCTCCAATGGCTACCACCGATAGCCCAACAAACGGCGTCAAGTCCATAAATGTCGAGAAGGCCAATGGATACCACGCGGATAACAACTACATGCATATCAATGGCCACAACGGCCAAAATGGCTCAACTCCCAGACAAAATGGCTTCTCGCCCGCTTCCACAGACTCCCGTCCTCAGACATCATCCTCACGGTCTTACCAAGAGGAGCCCCCTTCCAACGGGATCAGATACAGCAAATCTCACAGAATCCCAACGTTCGGCATCCATGAAGAGGACAACGGTCCCAGATCGAGGGGCTATGCCAATATTCGCACATATGCCGACGATGTCCGGAGGCAGTACCCCCGCATCTCGAAGCCCGTCGAGCTTATGCGTAGCAGCTATGACTGCGTTGTCATCGGCTCGGGCTACGGCGGTGCTGTTGCCGCGTCCCGCCTTGCCCGCTGCAATGATGCTAATGGAAAGCGCCAGTCTGTCTGTGTGCTGGAACGAGGTCAGGAGAAATGGCCCGGTGAATATCCCACTGGAGTTCTAGATGCCTTTGACGAGGTCCACGTTTCTGGCGAATTTGCTCCTGGTTGGCTCCCAAGCACCACCGTTGAAAGTGGTAACCCGACGGGCATGTATCACTTGATATTTGGAAAGGGGCTGAACGCCGTCGTCGGCAACGGTACGCCATTGTCCCCATTTGTTGTATAGAATCATGTTGCTGATTCATCACAGGCCTAGGAGGGACAAGTCTGATGAACGCCAATGTCTTCCTCGAGGCAAACGAAGCCACACTGTCCATGCCTATCTGGCCGAAGGCCATTAGGGAGGATCCAGGATGTCTTAAGAAATGTAGGTGCCACTCTTCGAGCCCGTCGGAGACGCCAGTAATGAAAGAAAAACCCAAAAGAAATGATAACTAACCTTGGTCCGACTTAGTCTATTCGAGAGCCAGGGAGGTTCTCGAGCCCACCGAATACCCGGATGACTGGCCCGAACTCCCCAAGGTGAACCTGTTCAAGAAACAAGCAGCTGCCCTTGGTCTTGCGAACAAGTTCAAGATGGTCCCGCAGACAACAAGATTTCGTAACGGCCCCAACAGCACTGGAGTAGAGATGTCTCCGTCAGCTCTGACCGGCCAGGACTGCACCGGCGTCAATGATGGCTCCAAGACTACTACCCTGGTGACCTACCTGGCGGATGCCTGGAACTGGGGCGCAGAGATGTTCTGCGAGAGCGAGGTTCGATACATCAAGAAGGCCGACCCTGAAGTCGGTGGCTATATCATCTTCTTCGCCTGGCATGGCCGCAATAGAGGACACTTCAAGGCGAACCTACACGGGGACTTGATGTGGGTCCATGCCAAAGAATGCGTCTTCCTAGGTGCCGGTGCCATTGGCAGCACCGAGATCCTTCTGCGCAGTAGGGAGATGGGCTTGGCCATGAGTCCTCGCGTAGGCGAGAACATGAGCGGCAACGGTGATATGCTGGGTTTCGGGTAGGTCCCGCTCTCTCAGTGGCCGAGTCTTGTGGCTAGCTAACCCCGGAGTCAGATACAACATGGACGAAGAAGCGAACGCCATCGGAAAGCCCTTTCCCAGTCCGTATAATCCAATCGGTCCCACGATCAACTCCATCATCGACGACCGAGAGGGGCATGAGAACCCTCTCGATGGATACGTGATTCAGGAGGGCGCGATCCCCCGGTCTTTGACACCGTTTCTTCAGACCCTGCTGGAGATGATGCCCGGCAGCATCGAGGCCACCGGAGAGTCGTTTCAGGAGAAAGTGCGCTCCTCATTCGCTCGATACTCAAGCCACTTGTTTGGCGCTTACCGCCAGGGCGGATCAATGGACAACACTCAGGTTTATCTGGTCATGTCCCACGATAGCAGCCAGGCGATGCTTACCCTCAAGGACGACAAGCCGGTTCTCGAGTTCCTCGGCGTAGGACGTAGCGATCATGTCCGGAAGCTCAACGGCTTGTTGGCCGAGGCTACCCAGGCCATGGGCGGCACATTCGTCAACAACCCGTTTCACGCCTTGATGGGAGGCCAACAGGTGACTGTTCATCCTATCGGGTAAGTTCAACCTTGGTTCATCCACGACGTTTACTAATGCTCTGTTTAGTGGAGCATGCATGGCCCGAGATGATACCGGTGCCACCGGCGTCACGAACGATGTTGGTGAGCTGTTCGCTGGCGACGAAAGCATAACCCACCCTGGTCTGATTGTGACCGATGCCTCTGTCATCCCCGGCGCCATTGGCGTCAACCCATTCGCCACCATCACAGCCCTGGCCGAACGTTCTGTCGATGCCTACATCCACAGGAAGAACCTCAAGATCCACCCTAACAAAAACGGTATTCTGGACCTCTTCGGCGAGCCCAAATTCGCACCCAAGGATACCCAGGACAAAGAAGACGAGCCCGACGTCGAGTGCCAGAAGATTCATGAAGCGAAGTCGTTGATCCATCACGCCGCCAGGTCAAAGGCAGGGGGCTTTGGTTTCACCGAAGTCATGTCGGGATTCGTCCACCGCGATGATGGGCTAGTAGCCGACAAGCGGGCCACTTATGAACTGGCCTACCGGACGGCCAAGAGCCTTTGCGAGAGTGCGAGGTTCTTCCTAAGTGTACAGGCCTTCAACACGAAGTCCATGATCAAAGAGCCGGACCACTCAGCCATGCTGACAGGCACCTTCGTCTGTCCCACCATCCGCGGGTCGCCGTTCATGGTCCAGCGGGGTGACTTCAACCTGTTCATCCTCGACCAGAAGGCCCCTGGAACTCGGAACATGACCTACGACTTCGACCTGCGAGGTGTCAATGGCGAAAAGTATCACTTCCACGGATACAAGGTTGTTGATTCCTCGGTCGCGTTGGCTCCATTCCAATTCTGGAAGGCGACCAGCACCCTATATGTCACCGTCTCGGAGCCGAGTAGCAACTTCGACGCAATTGAAGAGTGTGAGGAGCCATGGCGTCTCGGGAAGGTTGTTGCAAAGGGCATCATGCACATCCAGCCCGCCGACTTTATTTCTCAGATCATGACCATGACGCCGACTGGAAGCGGCCTCATCCGGAAGGCCTACAGCGCGGCGAGCTTCTTGACCTACTTCACCCGCAAATCGCTGTCGCTCTTCTTGGCGCCCTTTACTCCTTTGCAATATCCCAGCGTGACCTACAATGGTTATGTCAACGACACGCCTCCGGCTGCGTCCTTTGTCATCGTCGCCCGTGACGGCGTCAAGACGCGAATGCACATGTGGGAGCCGACCAATTCGGCTGTCGAGGCCAAGAACCTATTCATGATCCCGGGCGCCGCGGTGGATCATCAGATCTACGCTCTGCCCACAATCAAGTACAACGCAGTCAACTACTTCACACGTGCCGGATACCGTGTCTTCGTCGCGGTCCACCGCATCGGCCAACTGATGGTCGCCCAGAACAACTGGACCACCTACGACGCCCGGCTCGACTTGCAGGCCTGCTTGGAGCACATCCGCGAAAAGTACGCCGACGGCAACACCAAAGATAACAAGGTCTACTGCATCGCCCACTGCATGGGAAGCGTCGCCTTCTCCTGCGGTCTTCTCGACGGCACCATCCCGGCCAACTGGGTGCACGGCATCACCGGCAGTCAGGTATTCATGAACCCCATCTGGACGACTCTCAACATGGCCAAGGTCATGGCGGGCCCCATCCCGCTCGACAAAATGTACAAAATGGTCCTCGGCAACTGGTTCTCCTGCAGCACGGCCAAGGACGACAGCTTCCTCCAGCGGGCCCTCAACGAGGCGCTGCGGCTGTACCCTGAGGAGAGGAAGGAGATATGCAACAACGCCAGCTGCCACCGCTGCACTCTCGTCTTCGGCCGGTGTTGGAACCACAGCAACCTCAACGAGGCGACGCACCGGCAGATCGACCGCTTTTTCGGCGGCGTCAACATGACGCAGCTGCACCTGCTCATGAAGCAAGGATCCGAGGGTCACGTCATGACCAACGGCCCGCTCTTCCGGCCCCTCACGACAACGGAGAACATCCGCAGGCTACGGGGCATCCCCGTCATGCTGTTCGTCGGACGCGATAACGCCGTGCTGACCCCCGAGGCGACGGAGCGGACGTACGAGATCCTGTGTGACACGTTCGGGTCCCACGGCGGGGATGGCCACAAGGGCCTGCAATACCGCCGGCGCGTCGTCCCCGGCTACGGGCACCTGGACTGCTGGATGGGGCGCAATGCGTGGAAGGACGTGTACCCCTTCGTCAGGGAGGAGGTCGACCGCGTCGTCCGCGGCGAGGACTACCACTTCACCGACCCCGAGGACAAGTTCTCCCGCATGGTGGAAAGCGGGGAGCTGTTGTACTAGGTCGTCGATGTTTGGTGGTCTGTAATGCGTAATACTTTGCTCTTCATGTTCGGGGCTCGGGCTTGGTTGGGGCATGGTTTTTCCTCGTCAAGAGGCGGAAGGTTATATCGATACCCTATCGCAGGTAGTTCACCTGGGAAAATTGTACACAAAATCGCGGATGAGGAGAGGGCGCTAAAGAAAAGGCGGAAAAGGAATGAAGCGTACTGGAATTTGAGCGGATGTAAGGAGGGCTTCACACTCTCTTGGTATCGGGATGGAGTTTCGGGTGGGAACGGTCGTTGTTATGACGAAAAGGAAGCTGCGCTTCCCTACAGCGCATTTATATGTCATTCATTTCCCTTCGGCTAAGAATAGAAAAGACCCAAGACCCAAAAATGACAAATTCAAAATGGTGAACACGTACGCCAGAGCCCTCTTTCAATTTTCCCAGATCGTACACAGATACACATTTAGTCCGGTCCGCCTCCCCACCGTTTTTCTTTACTCCCCTCCCCAAACGGGGGTTCCAGGGAGTGTGCGTAGAGAGGCGCAGCTTCGCATTCCTAAACCATCTCTGCTAGGGGCCCGGCGTAGTTTGCTTCCAGAGCGTCCCAATCGACCTCGCCGGCCGGCCGCTCGGCCATCGGCGGCGGCGCCCAGGTGTCGTCGTAGACAAGCCGCGTGTCGTCGCGGTAGATGAAGCTCTGACGATACCACTCCTCCTCGCTGGGCGCCTCGACACGCCCCAGAGAGACGTCGAGCTGCTCCACCGAGGCGTCGTCGTCCCAGACGACCCAGGCCGCCGGCTGGCCCCCCTCGACTTCGACCTTGTGAGACGACGGGCCCCACTCGAACGACCCGTGGGTGAGCGCTGGGGTCGTGACCTCGATGACCTGGCCCCTCCGCCGCCTCTTTTGGTTAGCCGGCGCCGCGGACGAGGTCGAAGCCACGACACGGGTGAGCTTCACCTCGAACGGGCCCTTGGTCGTCGCGAAGCCGCCCCGGGCGAAGCCGAGCCACTTGGAGAGGTGCGGGCGGACGGTCCACTCGGCGCCCGCCGGGGCGAGGAGCCGGATGCCCAGGACCTCGGACGTCAGCACGCTCGTCGGGCCCGAGGACCACCCGTGGCAGTGGGAGTTGCGGGCCGCTGACCGGTAGGCCGGGTACTGCACGCCGCCGTCGACCATGAAGCCCTCGGCGAGGGTGCTGTTTGTGAAGCCGGGGCCGTCGAGGAGGTAGGACCACTCGAGGAGCATCAGCTCCACGGCCGCGTCGTGGTTGTCGGCGGCGGCGTGGCCGAGCAGCTCGAATGACGAGACAAAGGGGGAGATGACGTTGGGGAACTCGACGGCCGGCGCACCGTGCCTAGTCCACCGCGACCGCAGGTTCTCCGAGACGACAGCACGGCGGTACTGCGGCGCGGCGCCCGAGATGAGGGCCCAGCTGTTGCCGTCCTGTGGGTCGGTATGCTCCGGGCCGCGGCAGCCGCGCCGGCCGATGTTGTCCGAGTAGAGCCCCGTGTCTTTGCAGAAGAGCTGCTGGATCCCCGCGTTGAGCCTGGCGCGTGCGACGGACCAGACGCCGTGCGGGCGGGCCGCGGGGCGGTCGTCGCGGAGCCACTCGGCGAGCCTGATGCTCTTGTCCAGGGCGGCGCTGAGGAGGGCGCTGGCCTCGAGGTTGTGGCCCGTCATTCCAGGGCGCAGCCAGTCGGCACCGCTGGTGACGTGGAGAAGGCCGGTGCGGTCGACCTTGCCGATACTTACATCGAGGGCCTTGAGGTACGCTGGCCAGCGCCGAGCGAGCCAGTCGACGTCACCCGAGTACTTGACGTAGTTGTAGGCGCCCAGCAGGGTGTGGAGGTGGTACGTGTCGCTGAACTCACGGCGGAAGCCCAGGGGCGGGCCGGCGTAGGGCAACGAGCCGTCGGGGTACTGGTGGTCGAAGAGGACGTCCAGGGCGTTGCGGACGGCGAGCATGTCGTAGGTGCTGACGGCGATGCCGGGGATGGCGATGGACATGTCGCCCGGCCAGACGACGCGATCGCGCTTGGCGCCGTCAGTGGTGACGGCGGTGCCGTTGGCGATGGTGAAGTTGGAGTACCACGACCCCTTGGGTGACTCGTTGTGGTCCCAGTCACGGTTGTAGTCGATCAGGGCGGAGCCCTCGCGCGGGTCGATGGTGGAGAGCTGGAGGGTGTAGGCGCCAGCGTACCAGATGCGGTTGAGCATGGGGTTCGAGCTGTGGAAGTAGCCCGAGTAGGCGCGGCCGTTGGGCTGCGAGGGGAAGGCGGTGCAGTTGACCCAGAGGTTTCGGAGCGTTACCCACGGCTTTTTGTAAGGGTCCCTGCCGGACGGACCGCGATGGCCTTCTTCGCTGTCGCTGCGATCTCCCGCGAAGACGACCTGGCCATCCGGGCTGGGTTGCTCGACGACGCGGTCATCTGCGATGACGGGGTATTCCGGCATCGAGAGGGTCAGATACTTGAAGGCTCCCCGCAGAAACTCCTTGCCCACGCACACCGTGCCGGTCGTGTCGTCAAATTCAAAGTGCAACGGCAAGTCGCGCTCCAGCTTCTCCGTTGTGGTGTCCGGTTGCGGTCCGGCATAGAGCAAGGATTCGGAGTAGGCCAGGTATATCTCGGGTTCGTTGCCGGCGGAGGACACATCGAAGCACACGCTACGGGTGTACCAACAGACATTAGCCACGGGAACGCACCGTCGGGGGGACCAGACCCGGAAATGTACCGTCCAGCAATGTTTTCCTCGAACTCGAGCGTCAGCACCCCGCCCGGCCCAACGGTGACGCCGTGGCCGAATGCGTCTGCGGCCTTCGCGCCGACCTCGACCTCCCCCAGCCCGGATGTCGTGACATTGCCCTTGGCGTCCCATATGCGGGCCGGCACGATGCGGGTCTTGTCAGCGGGCGCCTTGATGTAACTCTCCCAAGGTCCCTTGAAGATGGACGTAGTGGGGAGAGCCCCGGGGTCGATGAAGGGAGGCCGCAGTGCCGCCAGGGCCGTGGGGGGAGCGAAGAGTAATGCGAGAGAGGCCCATTCCGCGACGGGCGTCGTAGGCTTCATGGTTCCGGACTCAGGCTCGATCGGCTGCGGGTTCACCAAGCATGCGGAGGGTCGACAAAGAAAAAAGAGGTTGAAGATGATGGATAAGTCCGGCGAGTCGAGTCCATCAGGACAACGTGTGCGCATATACGGAAGACATGCGCGGTGGGCTTTGCGGCGGTTGTGGGATTGGAAGGCCGTCCCTGCCGAGAGGGATGCATGTAGGTACCTACCTACCTACCTAGTTGCGCACGAGCACTGCTGTTGAGGCATAAAAGTCCGGTTGCGGATTTGGGGCATAGACCGTTGTAGGTAGGTAGGTACCTGAGAGTGCCGAGCCGCACTACCCCGCGTCCAGCCCCACCCCCGGCCGCCGATCCCCCACAGGGCAGAGAAACGGTCACCGAATCCCCCCATTGGACCATCATCACAGGCGAACGTTATCGATTTATACCACATCTACAGTCGAATATATGGTCTGCTCCTCGCCAGGTATCACCGGAAAACATACATGTAAATTCCCACACGCGTCAAAGTACCGTGTACACCAAGGTGAGACGCGCGAAAATGCCATGTCTCAACTTCTTGCTCTATTTTTATCCCATCGCCCCACCAGCGCGAGTCGCAACGCCCTCCCTTCCTTCTATCATGCGTCTAGTCCATCCAGCTCTATCAGTTTTCCAACCATCTTGATCACTTCATTGTTTGTAAGATCCAAGCCGGGGTTCTCAATCTTCATCGCAATCACATCGTCAACCATGCCTCTGAGCCTCGACACCAAGACTCCCAGCCGCGCCCAGCCTCGGAGACGCACCCACTCATCGACTACGAGTCCTCGTCCCAAGGTGTCCAGGCTGATGGCGCCCGAGAACAGGAGTAGGGTGTAGGCGTTGAAGGCTACACAGTTGTCAGCAAAGAATCCCTGGACTCGAAACCAAAGAGTCGACGACTACTTACGAGTCAGATCCCGGATGAACGTCTTGCTGGTCGAGATCAGTGTGAAGTACGACATGAAAGACGCGTTGCCAGTGAATCCCTGGCTGCCGAAAAGCGTGCTGCTGGGGTGCACAAACACGCGCCCCTGCTCCTGTGTGAAGTACTTGATCGTCCGGGCCTCCGGGTCCAGCTCCTTCGTACCGGATACCGTGCTGGTAAACTTCTTGTCGGGGTACTGGATGCGTGCGATCTGCGGGTTGAACGCGGAAGCTGTGAGCGCTCGGAGGAGCGTCATGCCGGACTTGCTCTGGCTCTGCGCTGCAGCATACCGGTTCGTCTCGACGATCCCGATCTCGGAAAGCGCTGAGTAATACTGGATCCGAGTAGCGGAAATGTCGTTGAGAGTGAGCCACGAAAGGAAGTTGTCTTCGCAGAAGTTGCGCAGCTGGCGTTGTCCTACACCGTCACCTCTCATCTCGTCCCATTGCTTGAAAGCCTCGAGGTCCGTGAGAAGATCGCCGTCACCGTTCGAAAACCGCATGCGAGCATCCTTTGCTTGGTCTCGCTTGTCCGGAGGCGACATGAAGGGACTACGGGTGCTAAGAATGGCTGCAATGGTGACACAGTCATCCAAGCACCCGAAGATGGCACCATAAACCATGAGCTTGGCGCATCGTAGATCAGCCGGTATCATGGCAAGCTGCTGTCCCAGGGCCGTCATCTCGTCGCCGTCCAACGCGCCCATCCGCCGCAACAACTTGATGGCTCCGTCCACCGCCGTGCTGTCCGGCGGCGTGGGCGACTGGGAGAGGAACCCGGCAACGTTCCTTATCCCCATGGCCCGCACCGAAAGACACATCTGCTCCAGCGGCACTCGCCTGATTTCAGGATCAGGACGCTCGGCCATCTGCTGCTCGAGGTTTCTGGTGTAGAGCTTGTAGCATTTGCCCGCCTGGACTCGGCCGGCACGACCGCGTCGCTGCTTGCAGGCCGCTTGCGAGGCCCAGTTCTCCTCCAGCTTCCTCATGTTGTTCACAGGGTCGTAGGTGGTCTCTTTCACCTTTCCACTGTCAATAACGGCAACGATGTCATCAATCGTTATGGACGTTTCTGCCACGTTGGTAGCAACCACAATTTTCCTCTTGCCGCTAGGCGGATTGGAAAAGACGCGCTTCTGCTCCTTCGTCTCAAGCGAGGCGTGAAGCGGGAGCACATGCAACGAATTGATCGACCGAAGCGCGCCACATGCCCGGTTGATCTCTGCCACTCCAGGCAGGAAGATGAGAATACCGCCGGTTTTCTGCGAGTGGGAGAGATCCGCATCAATCTCTCTGACAGTCTCCGCAAGGAGGTCGTAGTTGATGCGATGGCCCAGCTTCTGGATGGTCTTGCCCATCGCCTCGCCTCGCCCGCCATCCGCGTCGCCCGCGTCGCCCCTGAATCCCGTCATGCTGAGGATATCGTCCAAGTAAAAGTCGTCAACGGGGTATGTCCTTCCGGCGATCTCTACCATACCAACGTCCAAGCCCTGGGAAGTGAAGTAGTAATTAAAAGATGCAGCATCCAGAGTAGCACTCATGAGCACCAATTTCAGAAGATTCTTTCTCTCCTTCATGACCTCCCTGACGATGGTGAGGAGGAAGTCCGTGTCCAAGCTACGCTCGTGAACCTCGTCAATGACAATGTGGCTGACATCGGCAAGCGATGCGGCAACATCTTCGATCCTTCCACCAGAGGTTTGCAGCCTTCTGAGTAGCACACCAGTGGTCACAAATGTAATCTTCGTGTTGTTGCTTCGGCGGCTCTCGCCACGGATGGCGTAACCGATTTCGTCTCCGACCCTGGTGCATCGCTCCTCGGCCACACGGTCCGCCAAACCGAGTGCAGAGATTCTCCTGGGCTGTGTGACCAGCATGTTCACGCACTTGCCCAGACCCCTGTTGTATAAGTCGTCCAGGATGAACTGCATCGACTGCGTCGACTTTCCGGACCCGGTTTCTCCACTGATGATGGTGACGTGGTTGTGTTCGACGGTGTTGATGATCTTCTCCCGAACCTGCCACGCCGGCAACTGCTGGCGTTTCGACATCATCCTCTCCCAGGCGGGTTCCTCGGTTCTCCTCAGCCACTCGTCTCGTGTCCGAGAATCAGGTGTCCATGAGATGGGCTTCGGTAGCCTCTGTGTTTTGGCCGAGGGCCTCTGCGGCCGAGACTCGCTGGGGACCTCAGATGCCGTCGACGCTACCGCAGAGATGTCTGAAAGCTTCCCGGGCCGTTCGATGATGTCGTTAATGTTCTGCTGGATCCAATCGATGGCCACAAATACCTTCATGGGCTCTTCCCAATAGGAATCCTCCAGATAAGAAAGTGTTTGCTTGATGATGGAAAGCTTGATTTGCGCCGGAAGCGGTGCCACGACGGCAAAGATGAGCTGGGCGGGGTAGTTGGGCGTTCTGCGGACCTGGACTGACGCAGCTACCGGCTTGCCCGCGTTCTTGACTTTCTCAAGCTGTACTTCGATGATGTCGGGCGAGGTCTGCTTGAAATGGTCGCCGAAAGAAGACTCCATCGCAGACACCTCATCGTCCCACAGTTCGTCAGCTGAGGTACCCGGCGGAAGGAGCTCCTCTACGGTGCTTCTCTGTGCGTCTGCCGACACCTGTCCCACGAGACGTTGCTGAAGAAGCTCGGCCGCCCTGCCTTCATCACCGCCAGCCTCTTCGAAAACTCGAGCACAAAGGTCGGGAGCGTAGCCTGACTCAGAGAGGCGCTTGATGGCACCCTCCTTTTTGAGATCCATCGACGCCACCGAGATTCCCGCAGCATAGCTCTCAGGTAAGGCCCAACGCGGCAGGTCGTCCTCTGGCACGTGAATCAACAGCCACTCGAGCGTCTCCTCGCGATCCTTGCAGATCTCTGTGGCTTCCTCGACGTGGCTTCGCCGGAAACCCAGCTTGCTGAGCTCCTCGGTTATGGCCTTCTTTTGCCCTGCCGGCATCTGGACCTTGTTCGGGTTCCAAGTGACGTACTTTTGAATCAAGGCCTCGACCTGCGTCCGCGAACGCTTGCCCATTTCAATCTTTGGCGCCGTGATCCAGCCCTTCATGGCGTTGGACGCGCCCAGCCCGGCTGCCCCAGGCATAGACTTTGCCTTCTCCTTGGCCGCCTCGGCTTCCTTTCGCTTCTTCTCCGCTGATGCCTTGGAGTCCTGTCTCTCCTTAAGAGTCTTGAACGGGTCCGCATCGTACATCCATGCTTTCCCGTCCTTGACATCCTGCTTCTTGATTTCTTGAAAGTCCTTCCACATGGACTTGTAGTCTGGCGGCAGCACGGTGTGCTTGTTCTGCATGCTGCACACCCTAAACAGGGCATACGTTGCCGCGGCATGTCGGGCTTCCAGGGCGGTGGGCCTCGTGAGCAAGTGTTTATAGTCCGGTGCGATCTTGAACGGGTCCAGGGTCATGAGTTCCTGAGTCTTCTGGTCCTTTGCACTTATGGTAATAAAGCAGGCATACCCCTCAGGAGTCTTGCGCATGTCATAGACAGGCTTTCCCCACTGCTGCTTCTGGCAATACTCGTTGAAGAGGTTCTGAGGCAGCTTCCCTGTCCACGACGACCCGCCAATGATCTGTTTGACGGTCGGCTTGTTGGCAGCTGGGCCGGCGGCCTGCTCCATGGGTGACAGGCCAGAGGTCTTCTTGCCTTTGGCACCATCCTTGGACGACGACGCAGCGGGCTGGGCTGCTGGGATTGCCGCTGCGGCCTTATCCTTTCCCTTGCCCTTCTTGGGGGGCACCATGGCTTTTGGCTGTGCTTGGGAGTCGTTGGCTAAGGGGAAATCCGGGCCATGCAGACGTCGAGGGCGTGATTGTATAGGTTAGTGAGTTGATATCACAGCGCCGAGAGAGGTCGTTCAGATGGATGCCACTGAAACTCCCGGGGAAATTTTATTCGCCCGTAGAATTCCCACGTTGGTGGTCGTTGGTGTTGTGGCGCGCCCACTCTGTTCGGGTGTCGGCGGTCTTGCAGAAGGGGTTTTGCAGTGAGCACCCAGTGAGCGACATGGGCACCTTGAGCGAGTGGGCAAGGCGACGGTGCTATTTAAGTCGTGGATAGCGTGGCCGGGGCGCATTGTGGTTTCTGCAGCTACCCCGCTGTGGGTAAGAGGTCCCCTTGAAGCTTCCCCCGTGTCACTGGCACCTACGTAGGAAAGGGCCCGTTTGTCAAGACGAGCTTCCCGACGTGCGTTGCGAACTACCACGGCAATCGCCTCTCATCGACCTTAATATACAAGTTTATTATGGGAGACTGGAGCCACAACCGACATGATATGCGCAGCCAGCTCTCCTGACATCGAAAACGCCTGCGTCTTCCAGCAACCCAACAGTAGCGATGGCACAAGAAGACTCTGACCAAGAGGATGCCATCACCCAGGACGAGATCCAAGGGACCGCTCCAGCACCCCTTGCCCCGCGCAACGCTTGTGAGTGTATTCCGGACCCAGATTCGTGCGGAGCACGCGTTCTAACACATGCGCCTCCAAGTCGCAGAGCTCATGACCCGAAAGCGCAAGCCCGAACCCGGTCCCGCACCGTCCAAGTCCTCCCGCAACAAGCCCTACCGAAGCCGCGACGGCCTCGGCGCATACATCGAGAACCCGTCTTCCTTCCCCGCCTCGCGTGTCATATATCACAATGACGACTTCGTCGCCATCAACGACCTCTATCCCAAGTCCAGCGTACACACGCTGCTGCTGCCTCGGTCTCCGAAGCATAACCTCCTTCATCCGCTTGAAGCGTTTGAGGACGTCGATTTCCTCGCGTCGGTGCAGCAGGAGGTGCTCAAGCTCAAGGACCTCGTGGCCAAGGAGCTTCAGCGACGGTTCGGCAAAGGGAGCAGGGCCGACGAGGCGCGGGAAGCCGTGCTGGACGGGCGGGTTGAACAGGAAGGCGGAGAGCTACCCAAGGGCCGCGACTGGCATGCCGAGATCATCACGGGGATACATGCGCATCCCAGCATGAACCACCTGCACGTCCACGTGCTCTCGCGGGACATGTACTCGGAGTGTCTCAAGCACCGCAAGCACTATAACTCCTTCAATACCCCGTTCCTTATCGATGTCGCCGACTTTCCACTGGCGGCCGAAGACCCCAGGCGCCACCCTGCGCGCGAGGGGTATCTCATGAAGAGGGATCTCGTTTGCTGGAAATGCCAAGAGAATTTTGGGAATCAGTTTGCGAAGCTCAAAGAGCACTTAGCGGTCGAGTTTACCCATTGGAAAGGGGAATGATAATATTCGAGGCGCAACGGTCTGGTTCCTGGGAGGCAGCAGAGATATATCATACGGCGCATGCAACACCTAGAACAATGAGGCCATGTGCAGAGTCTACGTTTTTTCGCATGAAGACAGCGCAAGCAGACGAGGTTGAAAATATCAGTCTTGTATTCTGAATGAAAAGAGAAGAAAAAAAAAAGCATGTTATCTTAAGGGCGACCGCAGCGTCGTGTATCTGCCAGACTGCTTGCAGGGTCTTGGACGACATGATCGTCGCCGACGCCAACATCTTCTGATGAGCCATTGCGGAAGCGATACCCAGCGCTTTCATGTAGTAAAGCTTTTTTATTATTAACTAAATACCCGTCAGGCCCGAATCCCAAGGCCCCATCCATCACACATGATGCAGTAGCAAGCATTTCCTTCTTTCGTTTGTCGCGTTTACTGTTGATAAGAAGGGAATCGCGGTCAGCCGAACAATCCTCGCATCACTTTCGCGGGAAACCAGCGACGAACCTCTTCGGTGGAGTCGGCGGCGTCAGAGGGCGACTTCGCGACATCTTTCAAGGCCGGGTCTTGACAAGTTCAGTAAGCGCTCTTTCAGCCTTTGGAACAGCCCAACAACGACGCCAGGCTGTAGGAACAGTGGTGCGCTAACCTTCCTCTTCAGAGGCGGAGGAGGAATCAGAGGGAGAGGACTCCTTCGTCGAGACATCGCCCTTCCTCCCCTTGCTCTTGTTGGCTGACGCTGTAGTGGGCGTAGGCGCGGCGGTGGACGCGTCGGATTTGCGAGGGCGACCGCGGGGGCGACCGGTGGATTTGGCAGGCGTACTCTTCTTGGGCGTAACAGTCGAGGCGGTCGCATCGGCGACGTCGCTCTTTCTGGGTCGGCCACGCCCTCTGCCGGTGCCGGCGCTGGGCTTGGGGGCGGTAGCCTTTTTCACGCCTCCGCTACCTTTAGGACGGCCACGAGGACGTCCCGTGGGAACGTAGGCGGCCTTCTTTTGACCATCGGCTTTGGGGGGTCTGCCGCGACCGCGTTTCTTGGGTTCCTCCTCAGGAGTGGTTGGCGCCATTGTCGTCGGGATGGTTACGTGTGGAGGGAACGCGTAAAAGAAGAATCAAAAGATTTTCAAGAAAATGAAGAGGAACACTCTCAAGCTAGCTTTTTTACTCCAGTATTTCTGAGAAAGCAGCAAATGTTGTTTGGGGTGAACAGGAAGATCGGTGTCGTAGGAGAGGAGGACAAGGCAAGGCAGAGATATGGGACACCAAACCGGGGTAGGTGCAATGTGTTTACCTAGTGCAGAAGACCCCGTAGCAGGAAAGCGCGTTTGCGCGTCATTCTGGTACAGTCCGTTGCGTTGACAGCGTCTACTTCTAGCCAATCAGAGGCCGGGAGTGGAGAAATATATCAGCATTTGATTGGCTTGGACGCTGCCGGCGCAACTGTTGTATTAGTAGCGTCTAGAACCCTCGCGTTGCATTAGCAGCTTCTAAAACCTATATCTCTATAGAAAAAAAAACTTCTAAATAAGTAAAAAGCCAGTGTATATATAATTTTATGTATAAAGATTTTAATAAGATTTATTTTAGAATTAACAAGCCAGAGGTGGTGTAGATATTCAAGAGGGAACTCAGGTGCACGGACGTTTTCAGGTTCTGGACGCTGTCAACGCGACGGACTGTACCAGGGGAAGCTTCGCGTCGGGCAGGGGGGGAGGGCGCAGCTGCCCATTGCTTCTGGAGAGCTCATCCGTTCATTCTGTGGCTAGCCAGTTATGTCAACTTGTTCCAGTTGCTATCGCTAAGAAACAACAGCAATCCCCTGTCGTCTCTTCAAGTTTCTTGGGTTAGTACGGATAGTAGCAGTCTTTACATTGCGGATACAGAATTTCGATTGAGCAGAGCACCCTAGTGTGATGCGCGTAGCACTTGCCGTGTTCAGTACTGAATTGATACTGCCACTGATGCAAGGGAGAGGAAGTCCGATCAATTCCGTGAAACAGACCATTGTATCAGTTGCTTGCTTTTTCCCCCAAGCGATCAAACCCAATTCCTTTCTTCTTTCTACCTCTCCCATCCTACCTGAAGTAGGAGAGACGGTGGGGGGCCGCACATGAAGAACATAGTGAATATCGTGGGGTATCAACTGGCGAGTAGCGTTGGTGAATCTCTCGCGATCAATCAAGTTCGCATGGAGCAGGTCTTCGCCAAAACCTAGATAACAGCAAAGCCCCCATGATTTTGAGAGCAATTGTTTGGCATCCGCTTCATGCCTTGGATGCAAGTATAGTACACTACTTTTGTAATCCGGACCCCCCAAGAATTAACCGTACACGTCCCGCAAGCTTTCTTAATGCTCGCCGAGTGCTCCCAAGTTGCCAATTTGTACCCTTGTGGGCGCGTTTTGTCTACGCGCGCCTAGTACGTTGTGTGGTTCGCCTCGTAATGGTGCTGTCATCCTACTCGGCACTCTTCCTGAGCTTGCCACTGGCACCGCTCTTGACGCGCTTGGCGACGGGGCGGTTAATGTGGTGATCAGGGATCCAGCTCTCATCGTAGCCCTTGCCCGTGGAGGTGGCCTCGGCAGTGGCATCAGAGTCGGCCAGAGGCACAGTGACACTAACGGTGCGCGCCTTCTTGGAGGACTTGGCCTTCTTGGCCTGGGGGAACAGGGCCTCGATCCACGTCTTGTAGACGAAGTAAAGAGTGCCAGCGAAGGCGCCAGAGAGGAAGAGGTAGAGGAAGATACTAAGAGTATTGTCAGTTCCGTCTATCACGAGGTCGTTTCGGGGCGGTGCATGAGCGTCTCAACATACATCTGGGGGTCGAAGATGCTGGTGGGAGGCTCGACAATAGAGGCCGTGGAGTTGTATGCCTGGACCTGGAAGACGTCGCCCTTGGCATTGCTGACAACAGCGATAAGCTGAAGCAGAACATCTTGTGGGTTGGCGTCAAGCGCGAAGGAGTAGGGGACAGCCTTCTTGTCGCCAGCCTCGATGGTCAAGTCGTAACGCGCAGCAGTCAGGTTGCGGATAATATTGGCAGTGGGAAGAGCATCCTCGGCAAGCTCGTCGGTGGTAGACAAGGTGCCACCAACCATGGCAACCTGGATCGGCGCATCCTCATTGTTTGTGAACTCGATAATGGCCTTTGTGGGGTGGCCGTTGACGATCTTGACACCAAAAATGTCGGCGTCAGGGAAGGTGGTCTCGATGTCGGCCTTGAGGGTCGACGCAGTAGCACCGGCGTCAACCTGCTGCGGGTTAGAATACAATTGACACAGAGCCCCGTGTGTTGTGGACAGCACTTACTGGAGCCTCCGCGGCCGCGAACGCGCCAGAGAGGGGAAGAGCCAGCAGGGCCAGGAGCGAAGACTTGAGATAAACCATTGTAGCGGCGACGGGGAGATGGGATCGAGTGCGACGTAACCAATTCAGCAATCGCAGCCAATGGATGGGGGGGGAAGGGGGGGGGGGAAGGATGAAGGGGACACAGAGTCGAGTGTGGGAGAGGAGATGGAGATGGGGATCAAGGAGGAGGGGAGGGCTGATCCAATCCAATTCAGATCGTCTCTCTGCTAAGTAAGGTGTCAGGTTCGGACGCAGGAGGCAACGGAAAAACAAAGTGTGCGTGGGCGATCCAGCAACGGGAGGCAGAATAGGTGCGAATCAGCAATGTGGCCTCACAGCAGTTGATCCACTGGAGAGCGAAGCAAAGGGGACCTGTCCAGGCCAAGCACATCTCGGCCCCCGAATAGGAGCTGTGAGCCAATGAGAGGGCCGGTGACCCATGGCGTCAGTGCCACATGGAGAATCAGCCATGTGGAGCTTGCAGAGCTGCTGACAGCTTCGAGGTTCCAGGGAGGAGCTTCGTCCGATAACATGCGACAACTCACTCAATGGGCACGAGAAACAGCTTCGAGTTTGGATCAACCATGTTCAGGAGCAAGGAAGAAGAAGAAGAAGAAAAAAAAAAAACACTTCGTCCGAAAGCGAGTAGTGAGTGCTCAAGATATTCATTGCCTTCTTCCAACTACCGTGACGCCGACATCGTGGTCATGTCAGCTAATCCTCTAGCCGAACTGTAACAATACATAGTAAATGCAAATCTCTTTGCAAAAGAAGAATTATAACTCATACACAAGCAATGCCTTGTCCTAAACCGCCCACGCCCTCGGGCACTTAATCCTAGTCTGTGCCTGTTCTTCTATGCCATAACCGTCCACAGATTGCACTTGCTTTTGGTTTGGATTCTGGTATGTTGCTCCCGAAAGCCACGTTCCTTGCCTGTATGCCTTCCCTCGCCCTTTGGGGGGGGCCCATCCTCCAACGCCGAAAATGCTGGCCGCGCAAAAATAAAGAATAAAAAAAGAAGAAGGCGAAGCAAAAACAAATCGACGGGGGCCAACCAAAATGAAAAATGAAAGGCTGGGTAGAAAACCAGTCATGGTATCATCAAGTCGTCCAGTGTCGTCAACGGACCGCCGGAACGGTCCAAAACATTGCTCAAGAAAGTGTTGCAAGCCATTACTTAGTCAGTCGTTACATCCGTAGGCCGGCCTGTTTGCCCGCCCATACTTGCGATCGTCGTATTATAACAGCTGCCCAAGTGAAACTTGACGTCACGGCCAAAAATCTCTAGGAAAGGAGAACTGGCGTTGCATCGAGCCGGGCACCGTGTTGGCGCAAATGTGCGAAGTCTCCTGCATGGTGCGCAGCTGTTGGTCGAGCACGATTGTCCCACTAGCTCTGGAGCTCGACCATCGCCTTGACATGGTGAGGCTGGTTGATGTTGCCGTCAAGCTCGCCAAAGTCGAGGGCTGAAGCCCGGCCGGTGGAGTGGCGGTACGGAAGTGTGAAGCCCTTGCTGATTTCGGTTTGGACATACTCGGCAGCGCGCTTGTACCGTTTGTCTGAGTACTTTTCGAAGACAGCAAGATGATGCTTGCGCGGGGAGTGGCAGCACTCGAGGATCATGGTAACCAGGTTCCTTAGCTGGCCCCATGTGTAGCCAGAGTAATGGACATGCGCAGGAGTCTAGACTGTGTTAGCACTGCGTCGGAACACGGACAAGATAACGGGCTTACCCAGTCACCCTTCTTCAGGATCAGGCGAGACAAGCAGTGCGCAGCTGCGGCAAGGAAGCTGGGCGGGCTTGCAACGAAACGCTCATCCATGATGGTCACCTCCAGGAAATACTTTGCCAACGTGCGCGTCTCGAGATCATAATCGTCCGCCTTGCTGACGCGGCGCAGGAAGCTCATGGGTCCAGGGAAGCCCAGCTCGAAGCTCAACATGCTGAGCATGAACCGCTCCGCCTTGAGGAGCTCGTCCACCTTGTAACCATTGTCCACCATGAAAACGATCTCCTGCAGCGATGGGCAGTTGATCTCTTCGTACTTGGAGGCCACGAGCAATGCGGTAGCACCAACAAGCTGGAGCTTTCCAATCGACACAACCTTGTATGAAAGAAAGCGATCGATGTAGTTGACCGTCAGGAACAGGGTCTCTGGCAGCAGACCGAATCTGTGATGGACCTGGACAAGCCAATCCATCAAGACGGAGCGCATGGACCACTGTATCTCGGCCTGGTGGTCCATATAGTGAGGATCGGGCAACATTCTCATCTGAACGCGTTTCGGTTAGCTTGGCCTTGGCTGCGCGGGTTTCTGTGTAGACAAACCTCGAGCTCCCTCATGTACTCGAATATATCTTCTCCGTACTCTGCAACCATGCAGACATCCCAGACCTCGTCGTCGACCTCCTCTTGGGTACGGGTACTCTCGACAATGGCACGGGCGGTCTCCAACTCTTGCTCGACCTTGTCGGTAATCTTAGGCGCGAGCACAGTGGTTGCGCCGCCGGTGGTGAGATCGCCTCGGGACCGGTAAGAGTGAGCAGTCGTGTATCCCGGGTCGTCGTAAAGCTCCTCCTCTTCTTCCTCGTCCCAGTACTCCTCTGGCTCAGACATGGTCGGAGCACCCACTGATTCCGCAAGCTGCTCCATGGCATGCTTCTCAGCATTTCCTTCGGAGAGGGCAATAGCCTTCTGCAGGTCATTGTCTTCGTCTGCCACGTCCAGCGAGCGTCTGTGATAAGGACCGTGGTACTGCTCGTCACCGATGTGCTCGACAGCGTCCTCGTAGGCGGCTTCCGTCACATCATCCATCGGCTTCCACGTCTCGGCGGCAGGGGCCGAGTTCGTCGGTACTGTGGACAACTTGCTTTGCGTACGTCGCAGAACATGCGCTGCAGGCTCCTTCTTAAGCTGAGGCTGAGACTTGTGATGGCGAGGTTGCTTGCTCGAGGCCGCGGGCACAACTGGATCCTGAGCAACGTATTTACTCTTGGACGGGCGAGACTCATAAAGCTGAGCCGTGGATGCCCTCTTTGCAACCTGTTTGTTCTGCGTCGCCGTCGTTTGTGAATCATTGCGGACCGTGGTTCTCGGCTGCTTCCATTCTGTGGCAACAGGGCCATTCTTGCTGTTCAGCGCTGGGACCCGCTGAGCAGGTCGTGAGAAGCCATCTTTGCCGGTTGCGGCGTTCTCCTTGTTGTAGGCAAATTCGGCGGCGCCCTTGCCTTTGCCAGGTAGCTGGTCGGTAGGCAGAGCTGCGAGGTTTTTCGCAACGTTGCTGACATCGCCGAATGCGGTCCGCTTAGCAGCGGCCTGCAGACCACCGCCGTTGCGAGACATGAGGTTGCCTGTTGACTTGTGTTGCTGATGAAGGGAATCGTGCTTCGAAGGGATGGCATTCTCGTTGCCACCGATGTGGACTTTGAGACGCTGGGGCTGTTTGTGGGACGTCAGTCACGAGATCAGAGGAGTCGCGCCATTTAGGCGAGAAAGCTGGGCGCAGCCGTTGCGAAGGAGGCGGGATGTAGGGAGGGCAATGGAGGGCAATGACTTACTCTAGCGTCCATGGCGACTGCTGCTGGCCTTGCGATAGCTAGCACTGCTGCGTGGGTCTGCTTGCAAAGGCGATCTCGCGGGGCAATGAGAAATTATGAAGCCGCGGTGAATGAAGATGCGTAGGAGTGAATAATGGCGCGCCAGAATAGCATGTAAACACCGGTGGTTCCCTGGATTATCCTGTATTGTGTTGTGTTGTGTTGTGAAAGGCCGTCTGGTCCTCAATTGCTGCCGTTCAGGCTCAAGCACGGTTGATCGGAGGAGGGAAGGGATGGACGAGGAACGGGAGATTGCGATGGTAGGGATATAAAGAAGGGAAGGGCCGGTTTATCTCTGGGATTGGCAGAGGACAAGAACCGGTACCAGGCTGCCTCGACAACGGGCCAGAGGGTAGGGAAAGGGGGGTTTGCGGGTAGAGGGTCAAGAAACAGCTCTTGGATCGGAAGGGGAAAAAAAGGACTCAGCCGAAAAAGCTGCTGTTTGGTGGTGGTGGTGGTGGTGGTGGTGACTGCCGCAGCGGCGCGGAGGGCGGGTTATGACCAAAAACGGCCTGGTCAAGTTGGAGCGACCCAGGATCAGAAATGTGAAGCTGTTTGTTTTCCAGCCATAGTATGTAAACAATGCCGGGCCGGAATAGGTGGGGACGTACCGGAAAACGCGCCACCCACGCGACACGGGATTGGTCAGAGCAAGTGGGCTTCCTGTTGGCCGGTTAATGGGCGGAGATAAGCCACAGCAAGCATCATCACCACCGAGCGGGAACCAGATGCTATCACTTTTCTACCAACTGACAGGGTGGTCCGGCTGTTCTCCGATCCAATGTTTTGGGCTGCCCATGTCTCTGCGCAACGACGCGCATGAGCGAATCCGGGGAAGTTTGATTAAGCAACGTGCTGCGAAAGCAAGGCATGAGTATTCGGTCAGCGTTTCACTGGGATCATCCTGCCCTGGACAACCACAGTTGTTGTTGTTGTTGTTATTGTTGCCAGTCACTATTTGCGTCACATATATCTCTCGCTCGGCTTCCAGTCCTACGACAGTAGACCATCCAGCAAAACACAATCTAAACATTCAATCCCCTTACCGCCCCTTTGTTTTTCTCCGACTCGTCTTTGTTAACGGCTTTTTTTTTTTCAGTCCCTCTTTGTCAGTCGTGCTGACAATCCCCGGAACGTTATCCAGTAGCTTGTTTCCGCTCTCTTCCCGCTCGGGAGAACAAAGGCAGCTAGTCCACGTTGACCTCTCGAGACGTCGGGCGACTCGTGGAAAGAACGCCACAGCGCCTCAGGACAAAAGAGATTCAACCGGTGTTGTCTCTTGTCTGCATGTCGTGTGGCCAAGCTTCTGCAAGTCAAGCCTCCCCCTGGTGTCGTTATGACCTCTTTCAGCTCTGGCCTCCCTTTCCAACGAGGATATGTCCGAAACATACACATCTTAAAAGCCGTTTCACCGTTTCCCGTTACACTATCCAGGTTATATTACCGTATTATATTCGCCAAGTGGTCCTGCAAACTACTCTCTGATGATCATTCTCGCGAATGTTTCTTGCCAAAGCTTCCGAGCTCTGCGTAGTATCCGTGTATGATGCTCAACCATAAGCAGCAGCCGCATGTCCAGACGTTTATTCTTGCCATGGCATTGATTCTTCGGCTGGTCATGCAAATCATCAACTGGAGACAGTGGTGACCGAGAGGTATGACCGAAAGAACGTAGCGAGCTTACACTCACCCACGCAGTTGTGCTCATAGCGATGCATATTGTGTTCCGTCGGAACCCCTCGAGCTTCGTCTTGATATCCCAGACGAACGTTGGCATGACCATACCAGCCTTCACAGTTATCACTTCATGGCGAAGGCGTCGGGTTCTTCCCGAGAATCGAACCGAGAAAAATCGAGCTTTGCCCCGGCTAGAAAAACCTCCAAACTCGTTTTACTTGTACCGGCATGATTAGAACAGGCCCCCCCCCCGAGATCACTTCCGCTCCCGCATGGATGTCGCACGTGACAAGGAAGTCGGGGGTTGAACGGATGCCCCACTTGCTACAAGGTACCTGCCTAGGAGGTACATAGTTCCTACAGGTATGTAGGGACGCATTGGCTTCCGCTCCACAGATGTCGCACATTTTGACCGCCTCGATCCTCAATGATCTCAATGATCTACATAATAGTGTTCAGGATGTGTCTTTGTCAGCTCGGTGCCAAAATCGCTCGTTACCCACGAAGCTCGGTATGCGGATTGATGATGGTACTCGCGGCTTTCGGGGTTGACGCGTGTAGCTCCGGATCGGAGCTCCACATTTTCCTCAGGCTGGAGAATACTTGGTAGGGGTTTGCCTGCAAACGCCGAGGGAAGCGCGACTCGGTTGGGAAATGAAAGTGTGGCCGAGGAGTATTGCTACACACGCACACACACACACACACACACACACACACACGTACTAGTAGGAAACCAACTAGCAATGAATGCATTAACTCTCGGCCAATGCATAGAGGCCAATATATGAGGAAAAGGGGGCCGCCCTGCAAAGTCGATCGAAGACCCCAAGTACCGGACTGTGAAGATTGCGCCGCAACAGCGGCAGCCGATAGCGACGATGGCGGGCGGCGTCGGATGATCTTCGGCATGCATGTATGCGTTCGGTTCGTCATGGTGGACGAGGCTGCCCTGTGGGGCACTAGTCCATAAATGGAAAATGATTTTGACCTTGGTTCCTTCGTCGCGTCTCCCAAAAGACGACCAAATGTCAGCGCTACATGCCACCACCGATAAAACATCTGGAGACCCAACGAGACACCATTTGAAAGAAGCAGAAAAGTCATGCGAAACAACATGTGAGCCTCAAGCCTCATAATTGACCCCAATTCGCCGCCATCTGCTGACCGACCAAGAAATGCCAAGGCCAACTAACGCGCCGCTGGCGACTCACCAACCCATCGCGAAGTCACGTGGTGACATCGTCACAGCATCTCCGCTGCGCTGCCGGCGGAGCCCGGAGGTCCCCTTCGTCCCTCCAGGCACAGGCATCGCATCGTCCGCAATGCGACTCAGCGAGAAAAGACTTTCCTTATATCCGGACGGTCTGTCAGCGTTGGCTGTGCACTGGATTCTTTTTTGCAGACCCCGATGTTCTCCAGTTCGCGCAACCGGCGGCGATTGCGACGGAATTGGACGTACGCGCCTGGCCCAACAGCATGCGACCGGCATAGGTAGACCCATGCTGCAGGCCAGCGGTTCTGGCCAGTCGCATGAGCGCAACGCGATGCGCCCGAAGCATCTGCTTTGTTTATTTTGATGATGAGGTAGATTGCGACTCGCTCAACGTCGGGGGAGATGCATCTCTCGAATGGCGTGACGGCGGGCGAACGAGGGGTCCGGTCCGCCAGGGTCTGGCTGGGTTGTGCGCAAACATTTTAATATTTCTGCATGATGAGCGCAGCATCTAGGTATCTCCCTTCCCACCCCCCCTCATCCATCGCCCGCCACGCAAGCTGCGCGCTGCGCTAGATGGGACGACCAAATGCCCCTAGGTACAATATCGCAAAAGACACCTGGGACAGCGGCTGGGCGGCCAGCGCGGCAATCTGACTGGCTTCGGCGCATTCTCTCTCTCTTTGCCTCTCGCATGCCCTCGATGGCAGTTTTTATTTACTTATCGCACAGGCGCACCGCAGCAGCGGCAGCAGCAGCAGCAGCAGCATGACCCCACCCTCAACTTTGCGACGTCAAGTCTAGGAAGCGGCCACATGGCTCAGCTGTCGCATGCCAAAAGTTGGTAGCACATTCTTGTCGATTGCCAAGCGTGGGAACGGTTTTGAAGAGCGCGGGCGATTCGATACGAATGCTCCCAGGGCTTAGCATATATGCGACGGCTTCGAACGTGGCCCCTGCAAGCTGTCGCAGACTCCAAGCACAAAACAATGGGGACACGGGCAGTGTGCAAAGCCAGAATGCGCACACGGTGCGCCGACTGCCCTGGAGGACCCTACGTCGTCGCAACTTTCTTTTGCATTGTGCCGCGGACAGCAGCGACCACGGGAAGGAGAGAGAGTGTGCCCTGCTGCCCCCGCGCGTGCGTGCGATTGCAATCTATCGGAGCAGGCGAGATTCGTATGGCTCCGCATGGCGCTCTTTCGTGGCATCAAAGATTGGCATTGAAGGGACGGTGAGAGAGGGGCAGACAGGCGTGGCGTGGCAAAAGCGACCCCAGCCATGCGAAATGGTATCGGTCGAGTGTGACACACCACCAGGGTTGCAGAATTTGACTGATGCCGCCTCCGCACTCTCTACACTCTCTATCCGTACCTACCTACCTGCCTGGGTTACCTGCTCCGCCAAATGCGTTGAAGCCAGAAATGCGCGGGAAAGTGCCGATCCTCCCGGCAGAATCCCGCGCAACACAGAAAGCTCCAGTTCCAGCTCGGTCGCACCCGTTTGTGAGCCAAAGGAGCAACTAGCAGCGACGCCTGCAGCTGGCAAACTGAAGAGCAAGCGCGAATCGAACACAAGTCATTCATGTATTGCGCTATAAGCGGCGGCGGCGGTGGTGGTGGTGGTGGTGGTGGTGGTGGTGGTGGTGGTGGATGCATATGGCATCGGGATGAGGCCCACGAGCTAATCGGGCACGACGACTAGGCCGACACGCAGGTCGCGACTGATCCTACAAAAAAACACATCATTCCTTCCCTTACGCCTTCGCCTCCTAATTGCCCAACAACAGAAAAGGGTCCTTTCTCGGAAGGATACGATCTATCCCCCAATTGTGCATCAAACCTCGACGTGGCAGTGGGGCCTCGAGCTGCGAGGTAACGCAAAACAAAGACCAACTGCTGCGTTCGGGCAAGATAGCTGACCACTGCGAGGGGGATCTGGAGACTGGGCACAAAGTCTCGCCAGGTGTGCACACCGTACTTTGAGTGCGCTTGCTCTTGAACTCCCCGATTGGCAAAGGAGGACTTGTTGGGGCCTGCATAACCAGTGCCAGTTCATCAATCGTGCTCCGCACTATCCGTACACACATACATGCATGCCCCCTCAAGAGCGAAAGAGAGAGGTGGGGGGGGGGGAGTGAAAGTCAAGAGGCAGGCAATGTCGATCCAACATGCCGACCCCACGCCATCCCATGTCGTCGCAAAGCGCGAGAGGAGAGCTGCCACTCCCGTCAGTGTTGTCCGTTTTCCATATCCGTACCTTTCTGTCGACGGAGGTGGAGATACACTAGAATACCTTGAATCAAGCGGCGACATCTGGGCCAACGCAGCAGATGAACTCGGGACGAATGCTACGGCCTCTTTTCCCTTTGCCTGGCCATGCATGTTACATGGCATTCTAAATGGTGATTCGACAACGGCATCACATTTGAAACCCCAACCGGCGCATACAATATTGCTTCAAGGCGACATAGGCTGCGAAACACCACCACAGACTGCCCTATCTATCTAATAAGCTCGTCGCTTGCGGATCGAGCATATCTCACTGCCGTATGTGCCTTGCTGCTAGGTGCAGGAGGGAATCCTTGTGCGCAGACCACTTCGGTAAGACGCGTTTTTGCAGCAACGAGGCCCAGGAAGCAAATGGTCTTGGCTAACAGTAATAATCATGGCGTTACAATCACTGGGCGTGTCCAACAACCGCCGCCGCTGCTGCTGCTGCTGCTCACCTTAAACTCTCTCTGCCTTTGCTTGCTTTTCCGGAGTCGTCTGCCGCGGTTGGTTCCACCCACAGCTGCAGCATTGGACAAGCCAAACCCAGATAGCGGTTTGAAACGAGAGCGTCCGGGGCTGGTGGGACCGACAGAACTGGAGTTGACGTCGACACCACAGCATGCGGACGAGCCTTCGGGAGCTTGATGAGCGGTTGTCAGTTGAAACCAGCCAGACCGAGCAGACCGGCGCTGGCGTTCGTCAATGTTGGCAGCCCGCTTAGCCAATCTTCTGCCTTGTCTTGTGTATCAAGCCAGCTGCGCTTCGACCGCCATCGTCGGTCGCGCCCTATTATCCCGTCCTTTTGGCCGCCCCCCTTCTTCCCCTGCCGTGCGAGACTTGTGGCGCCTCGAGTTGGTCCGAAGGATGATGCCATTGGTCCACTGACCATGTGGCTTGCTACCCTATTCTATTCCCTTGCCCAGGTGCCGCAGTCCCTACTGTATACGTACCGTACATTTACAGTCCATCTAACCGTACCGCCGAACAATATCTCGATCCGGACCTGCAACCGCATCAAGCACCTGCCTACCTACTTCCACCTTTGATCGCTGCCGAAGGGTAGAAGCACATGGCTGTCTCGCGCGGCGAAACAGAAGCTGCCGCGGGAAGCAAGCACGAGCAAGCAAGCCTACGAACGGTTCATAAGGAGGAGGGGTGCCAGGGGGGGGGGGGGGGGGGGGGGGAGGGTCCAATGGTCGCAGATCGTTGCACCTAATAAGACTACATTCTCCGCTTGACAAGCTGCCGCTGGTCGGTCGCGGATATCATGGCACCAATGGCCTAATGCGCCCATGGCGTTTACTACGGAGCTGGCACACGGTGCTTCTGGCTCTTATTTCCCTGGAACTTGAAGGCAATGGGCGGTTGTTCCCCTCCTCAGTCGAGATATAAAGTAAGAAGAAGAGAGAGAGAAAAAAAAAACCCACCCGGCCTCAATGGGTTTTGATGGAGGCGGTTTTGGCGTCCAGACGCTAGCACGCGCCATACCGGACCTGCAGAGCCGGCGCCGTGTCGTTAGAGTGGGGGGATCGAGTTGGTGGTGTGCCATCCAGGTAGGTCAGCAAGACGAAGCACGGGGGGGGGGGGGGGGGGGGGGGGGTTCCGCAGATGAGATATCCGGGTCCGATGCAACCTGGAGACGGTGAAAACAAGATGAATTCTGCAAAGTGTGCCATCGCGGTCCTCGAACTGCCAAGTGACAATGACCAGTGCCTGGCGTGCGACGAGGTACAGAACTGCAGCCAATGTCTCCAACGCCGTACAGGGAGCATCCGATGCAGGCCCATAAGCGCAGGGGTTGTTGCGGCGCATCGCTGCGAACGCAGTCGAAGGGAGTTGGTTGATAATAGCAGGGTAAGCGTCCCTCTCTCTCTCTCTTTTTCTCTGCTATCAAGATGGACCATTCGAAACCGGGTTCCCGTTATAAAGTGCAACCTTTACGTTTCCTTTCTTTTTTGGGGGGGAGGGTCTGCGCGTAGGCGGGGGGGGGAGGCGTGGACATGGGGATACCAACGTATCTGCAAGCACTGTAAGTTACAACTTTGCGGGTGTACATACAGAAGGAGAGCGAGTCGCAATCGGGCCCGACGTTGCGGTCATGTCCCTGGAGCAGGCCGCGGGCGTGATCGTGGGGACATTCAAAGCAGAACAGCGGCCTCTGTATACACATTTGAAGGCGAGAGATGAGCAGAAAGGGTAAAAGCAAGAAACCATAGGCGGCCGCTATTCGTACGAATGTGCGGGTGCGCGGCGGGGGTTTGCGCATGTCCATCAAACCCAACGGTGAACTGGCAAGGCCGGTTCCGTCCCGTCTGGATCACATTGGATACACGAACTGTCCTGGTACACTACTCTGTAGAGGAGCCGCGCCCACGGACCGGGTGTGGCAGCGCGGAGGAAACAGGTCAGGTTGTGTCTTCATGGTAGATGGATGGATGGCGGTGTTGATAAATAAGGTGAGTGGTGGGAGGAAACCCGCGTACGAAGCTTTCGTCTTGTTTGCTCGCGGGGAAGGGGGGAGGGACGGGGAGCAGCTCAGAGGAGCCTGAGTGGCCGCGAGTCGCCCGGTATCTCGGGTATGCTTGCGCGTATTTGCTACGTGTGAGGGTGCGCTGCCGGATCTGACGACCCGGGTCTGGCCTTATTCAGTCAGTCGGGCAAGTCTCGGGTTGCGCCGACACGAGGCATCAAACTCAAGTGGCCATTGGTGAATCGGGAGGGGAGGATGTAATGAGGTGTGGTGAGGTGAGAGACAAACAAGACGGACAGGGAGCGCACGGCGTGTTCCTTGCACAATGATAGGGGGGGGGGGGGGGGGGACGAGGAGGAGGAGGGCGCTTCTTCGGAGCTGGAAAGTATGTTTGGTATTGCGCGCGCGCGCGCGCGCATGTGTGGGTGTGGGTGAGGGTGCGGTATTCGGGCGAAAGAGAAAGGCATCCCATGTATCTTGTGCCGTCGCGCACACGACACACAAGCGCTCGATAACTGTTCATATATGTGTATCTGAGATACGGTTATGTATGCCGCGCTTATGCCATCATGTGTCTGGGTGTCTGACATGGAAATGAACAAGGCGCACAAAACGAAATGGAGCACGTCAGTTTCCCCCCTTCGAATCCTCCCTCATCCTCATCCCCCCTGTTGGAAGTCGTGGATTCGCGCCAGAGAATTGAGACTTCTAGAAGGGATGGCTCCCGGGGAGGAACGGTGGAAGGGGAGGGGAGGTAATTACAGTTCCGGTACGAGAGAGGCCATCATGTCCGTAAATAGGCTACTTGACGAGATTTGATGCATCTAAACGGCCAGCCGAGATCTCAACTTTGACCGCCTTGGGGCGGGCTCCTCTCTCTTTTTCCTCTCCAGTTCCTCGTGTATACAGTATTGCCATCCACCCCCGGCCCGGCAGGCCCATGTCCAAGGCCCCGCCTAGAGAAGCTTGTGGTTTATGGTGTATGTGGCGAGTATGAGTATGAGTGTGAGTGTGAGTGTGAGTGTGAGTGTGAGTGTGTCGCTTCTTCTTCGCTTTTGATGTGCGCCGCGATGGGCGGTGATGGTGAGGCGCACGTCGCCCCTCCTCCAAACTGGAGCTGCGCAAGCATGGATGACTTGGGCCCTCGACCGTCACCTTTGTCTGCCGTCGCGCAACGCAGGCTGGAGTCGCCATCTTTGCCTCGAGGAGATGGAGATTTGGTTTCGCCATCAGGGAAAACCTCGATAACAATGACCCGAAGGTGCTGTCGGGCGGCAGAACAAATGCGCCTGGGACGTCGAGGTACCTTTTTCACATTTATTCTCAGACACACACACACACACACACACGTTGGTGAGCTGGCGGCGGCCACCACCCGGGATAAATAGACGGGACAGGCGGGTCCAGAGGTGCCACCCACTCTGCGGTGAGGTGCGGCAAGTATGTACTTAGTAGTAGTATGTAGCTGTCCAAGGGGATTACTGGCTGGAGCCCTGTGTTCTGGGGCGAGCTAGTGACCTGTAGGGACCTGGTGAGGTAAGAAATGGGGTGAGGAGAAGGAGGAGGGGAAAAAAAAGAGGAGGAAGAAAAAGAGGAGAGACGGGACGAGAGAGAGAGTCTCTCTCGCCTGACCTGACGCAGGCCAGGAGAGGGAGACCGGGGTGGACGGTTGTGAGCTACAGTGGCCTTGGGGTTCTGTCAGGGCGGTATCCTGGTGCTCGTAGCGCATGGAGCCCTGAAAGACGCTGTGTTATAGAGGACGTAGCTCCCTAATCCTACACAGTCATTCTCGCACTGTCGTCACCGACCAGAACCAAGTGGCCCGGCAGTTTGGGGAGGGGTCCTAGTCCATCCCTACTGGGCTGGCCGGCTGGCTGCACCTGCGCCTGGGGGGGGGGGGGAGGAGAGGCTGTTGGACCTGCCGACGTATAGTGAGCACAGCGCATACTGCTGCTGCTCTTGTATCTTTCCATTACCCGCCTAACCAACCACACGAGAGTAGCTTGCTGCTGCGACCGGGGGGACAGGCGCAAACTCGGAGAGAGAGAGAGAGAGAGAGAGAGAGAGAGAGAGAGAGAGAGTGTGTGTGTGTGTGTGTGTTGTGAGTGAGTGTGTGACCAGACCAGACCCGGACCCAACCAGACAGACCGGGGGACTGAGAAACTGGAAACTGGCACTGGCACTGGCGGCACAACCACTGGGAACGAACTGCAACTGGAAACTCAACTGGACTGGACTGGACTGGACTGACCGACCGTAGACAAAATCGTAACCTCGTTCGCCAGCTCCTCTTTTTCCTCCTCATGCACACAAACCTGCGAATTGCCCAGCAGAAACCATCATTCAACACCACTGCCCTTCTTCCAGAGTAAGTCCTATTCATGCCTTTAGTCTTTGCGATCGAGCTTTCCTATCCCTTTGCACTCTCCCGCTGCACACCCCCGTCCCAGACTGCGAGCTGCTTCCGCCGTCTCTGTTGAGGAGCCAAGGTTTGATGATGTCTGGCGCTTCGCTACGTCTGCCATCTGCTCCCCGACCCAGTCCCAGCTCAAACCTCGACTCTTCCTCTGTCTCCTCCTTCTTCCCTCCTCACACTCCATCGCCATCCGCAAGCCCACCTCGTCCGACATTCCCATGGCTAATCTCTCTCAGTCTATGCTCTAGAACCCAAATATCTTCCTTCCTTTCCTCCCCCCCCCTCCTCCTCGTCTTCTCCGACCGTTCGCTCCGGCAGCGTCTTTGCTCAGATCTACCCGTCTGGCGCTGACCGCACGACGACGACCCAGAGCGCTCAATACAACGTCTCCGCTTGGCATTCGAGCCGATTCGTAATTGCTTCTGCCGTAAACCCGCCTCTGGTTTCGGGTTGCTGGCCGTTGATCATCTTGTCGGGTCAGCCGCCTGCCGCCGCCGACTCAGGTTGGCATCCCAACCTTTCCGTGCCAAGTTGACGAAGGTTTTTGGCTTTTTATTTTCTTGACTGTTCTTAGAACGAGAGACTGGATACCTCGAATCATCCCCTCCCCCCTCCAACCATCCCTCCTTCCTCCTCCCATCGATCCAATACCACATTCCAAAATGACGAGCATGTCGCCAGCAAGTGCCGTCGACGGCGGCTCTGCGGCCACCTCGAACCAAGGCAGCGTCTCGCCGCGGCAGACGGTGTCGCCAAAGAACGTCGCATTTGAACTCCTCTTTACCGAGTCGCCGCAGTATCGTGCGCGGCTCCCTATGCGAGTCCAGATATACCCTCACGACACCACCGACTCCATTGTCACCACTGTCAAGAATTTCTATGGTCTCTACTCGGGCCCAACCGGCTCCAAGGGTGTCAGTTTTGAGGATGAGAATGGCATCACCCTCATCGCCAGATACGAGAACTTCCGCAACAACATGGTTGTCTACGTCAGAGTCATTGAGGAGCCCCCTTCTGCCTCCGGCCCCTTTGTGGCGCCCGCATATCACAACCCTCCTCTGAGCGCCCAGCCCTATTACGAAGGCAATGCCTACCCCCTCCAACCTCCCCCTCGCTTCGGCCAAGAAATCTCCAGACCTTCATCGAGTACATCTCGCCGGCGGAGCCCGTCCCCCAATGTTGGCCGCGGCCGGAGAAGCGGGTCCGCCAACACAAACCCCAAGAAGGGCCGGTCCCGCTCTTCCAAGAACCGGGACACCGCTGCCAATGGCCACGCCGATATCTACAGCGACAGCCTCAACGGCTACAGCAGTGGCGACGGCGCTCCCGGCTCCAGCTCCAGCAGGATGAAGGAGCAGATTGGCAACACCGAGATTAGCCTTGAAAACATTGTAGAGGGAGGTCGCCGCAAGCGAGCGAAATTCGAGAGTTCGGTAAGTTTGGCCGTCGCCACACGTGCACCACTCCCGCCTCTCCTTGCCCGTCGCTTTTTCTTGTTTCTTCATGCTCATCCTATCCGATCCAGGAACTCCCCTTGTTTGCGCCTCCGCAGATGCCGGCTGCCACGTCGAACCCTTCCGTGTCTCCCGCCCGCCGCGCCGAGCCCCAGCGAGCCTCGCTGCCGTTCGTGCACCCTGGCCAGAACCCCTTCACGAACCCTCTACCTCTGCAGTCCCCTCAGAGTCATAGCAATGGATATGGACATGGTGGACACTACGCGACACCGTCCTCTGAGCGCCACGGGCGCAACAGTATCGGTTACGCCGGGCAAGGCGGCAACTTTGGCAGCATGAGTGGCATCCTTCCCACACCGGACCCCACCGTTGGCAGCTGCATGTCCGAGGAGGATAAGGATGTGGCTATCCAGCTTATGCGTCTGGGTGAAATGTCCAACATCTCCCACGGTCGCACTTCGGCCTCGACGCTGGACGACACGTTCAGCGGCCGCGCCGACGCCGCATCCTCCACCGGTGCCACCAGTGACGGCGAGAGTGAGAGCGATGAGGAGGAGTCGGCCGCTCGGCGCCAAAAGCTGGGTGCTGCTGGCGCCATGCGCAAGATCTATCAGACTACCGAGAGCCACTTCATTCCTCAGCCCAGCATCGAGGCCAACGCCGACGACGTCGAAGCTGAGAAAGGCAGCGACCATGTCGACCATGCCATCAATGGCGAGCGCAAGTCCGAGGCGCTCAAGAACAAGACCAATCTTCCCGACGCCAGGCCCAAGGCGCAACTCCCCGGCTCCAAGCCCAAAGCTTCCAAGGTCAGCAAGGTCCCTCGGCCGACCGTCCCCAAGCTCAAGAAGGCCTCGGCCTCGGCTCCCGCCCCCGCCCCTACCAGCAACGGACCCATGTCACCAGCTTCTCTGCCTCCGTCGCGCAAGCCCTCGGTTTCCTCGGCTGCGGCTGCCCCGGGCGCCAACGGCGAAGACGATCAGCTCGACCTGTCTGCCAAGCCTCGGTGCCAGCGGTGCCGCAAGAGTAAGAAGGGCTGTGACAGGCAGCGACCTTGTGGACGATGCCGCGACGCTGGGCTCTCCGCCGATCAGTGCATCAGCGAAGACGAGGGCAACGGCCGCAAGGGCAGATACGGCCGCCACATGGGAGTCCCCATCAAGAAGGAGGATATTGTCAACTCCACGCAGCCCATTCTTCTGCCGGCTGCGCCGATTGCCACGACGGCGGCAACGACCGATAAGAACAAGAAACGGAAGCGGTAGGGCGACAGGTTCGCAGTTCCAAGAGCGCATGTCGGCGCCCGAACAGGAACATGCGATTTGTTTGCCGGTCATGTAGCTATTTCTAGCATGGTCGTCGCAACGTTCCGCTACTGTCCCTACTACGAGAGGTTATCGGCTTACCGGCGTTCGGCGAGGAAGATTTATTTTTTTAGTAAAAAAAAAAAAAAGGGCGAGGCCACTGGGCCGCACGTTGTCATACGACGACGTGCTTCCTATCGTTACAAAACGGGGGTACGTCTTGATCTGGTCTTCAACGACCACCCAACAATACTGGCAAGAGAGAAAATATTTGGCGATGGGGTTAATGGGGGGATCTGCCGGGTGAGGATGGTCGCTCACGCTCCTTTTTGGCGTTTCGGAACCTTTTTTTCTTTCTTCTTCTTCTTCTTCTTCTTCTTATTCTTTCCTTTACAGGGAGCGGTGTTTTTGCTATTTACTGGTTTGCGCGCGTGGTTTCTTTCTTCCTTGCTCGTTTCTTTCCCGATGGAGTCGGCATCAAAGCGAGGAAGTTACAGTTTTTGAGCGAAGTTGTGCGACTGTACGATGCGGCGGGCGGAGGAAGAGAGCAAAAGCGAGCAGCGATGTTGGAATACTTGCAGACACTTGAGAATCTGCGCATACTTTTAAGCTCGCATGTGAGATGGCTGAAGTTCCTCATCAGTGGGAGGCGAAGGAAGAAAAGTATGGGAAGATCCTCGACGAGAGGGAAGAAAAGGGACAAGAAAAATAACAACAGCGGTTCAAACATTGGCAGGCGAGACGGTTCCGGGGGCTCGCGCAAAACTCAAATTGTCCGTGATGGAAGGGTTGGATCGCTTGCCTGAGGGGTGGGGTGTTGTGATTTCCTGTACTGGCGAGGGAGATGATGCTCCTTTGCGCGACTTGGGCCTGCTCCTGTTTTCTTTGGTTCTTCTCTGGATGCCATTGGAGGCGAGAGAAGAGCAAGAGGAGAGCAGATGCGGCTACGATACGACGGGGGTTTTTTTTCTTTTTCGTTTTTATTTTTTTTGTTAGTGGCAACGTTTTCTATAGGGGAAGCCAAGAAAAAATAAACCACAGTCATCATGTAAAGAAAGGTGCGCCGCGATGTCGCGCAATGCGACTGGTGTGGATGCGACAGCTGCCAGCTAGGAGACGGTCGTCCGAAGCGGTGACATTGCATGCCGTGGCGCGGAGCGAGGGGGCCAGAGTATTACAGCGGTAGTCGTTGAAGGATAGATGCGCGCTAAACCACTCTGGGCACTAGCGCGCGGCTCTCGCCGTTGCATCCCGCTCCGGCTCGGGGGGGGGGGGTGGGGGTGGAAGGGGGGTGTGTGCAGGAAGGGGGGGTGAGTTGGGATGGTGTGGCTGCACCTTCTGGCTGGTGCGTCGCTAACATCTTATCAACGGACCCTGCCTCGATCAGCCGCGCCTTGCCGGTGGCTGTGGATACCGCGGGAGCACAGCCGCACAGTGTGTTTGATAGCATGGACCGTGCGTGGCGACTAACACGAGAAGCCCAAGCTTGGGGGGGTTCCAGACCTGTGTGCGCGCCGGGAGTTGTTAAGCTTCCAGCGCGAGGGACGAGAGCTCCCGGATTATTGCGTCACCCGGGGGGGGGGGGGGCTGCTTTGTCACCCGCATGATAGAAGACGAATTGAGCTCAACCGGATTTCTGCCGGAGTGGTGGCGAGGCTGGAACAAAACTGTCCCCTATGACACAAAGGTAATCCACCAGCGCGTGTTTGCTACAACAGTTGATTCTATTTACAGCTCAGTCCTGCTTGCTCATATATATGTTATCCGGCAGGCCATCTCGGGGCTGGGGCCCCCAGGTCTTTCCACACACATTGAGAGCGAGTCTATCTAAGTCTAGTCGACCAAGGAATTACGCAGCCCCCACGTCATGTTAATAGGATCTTTGCTAGCGTGGACCCCAAAAACTATCAGTAGGGTCGCGAACGCGAGTAGAAGCAGACTTATCGCAATCGACTGGCGCCTTCTGGTAGCTCCGGATGATTGTCGCTTAAATACGGTGGGTGTAAGAAAATATGCCTAATCCGCGCTGTCAGTTGACTAGTTGGCTTATAAACGCTTACGGCACCTCGGCACAGACCTGCTGCAATAATCGCTTTAGACACGCGCGGTGGGAGCTCCCCCCCCCAACCCCGCACCACTCAGGTTGCTTATTCGCAGGAACAATTCGATTGTAATGTACACGTGTGTTTGTGTGTGTATTTTGTGCTGCAAGTTGTAGAATGGAATGCGGATACGTTCCGATGATTGAATGGCACCGTGTGCATGCGTCCATGCGCGGCTGCTCGACTCGTTTCCTTTTTTTTGCTCTCCCCTCCCCCGGTCACTTGATGCGCCTTGCGCTGTCATTCCTCGATTGATGGAGGGTTTCGCGCGCTAAGAGGATTATGGAGGCGGGCGGGTTACGGATTGGGTTTTGAATAGAGGCGGTGTGCAGAGAGATGTTGGGCTGCTTGACTCGGAAGAAGGTCGCCGTGCGCGCGGGCGCGCATTGCAAACGGACTACACTATGCGCGTCGTTGTTTGTTTGTTTACAATTCGTGTTTCTTGCTCACCTTTTTGGTCCCCCCTTTTTTTTCCCTCTCTCTCTTTCCTACCTTCCCTTTCTTAGTGTAGGATCTGGGAAGAGGGGGGGGGGATGCAGTACAACGTTGGCGCAGCACGGCTTGGGATTGGAGGGGGGGTTTAGGCTTTTCGAAGGTGTTCAATGTGTTTCACTGGGTAGAAACCGTGTCGCAACGCCGCGGTCGCGAACCTTGAGGGTGGCGATTGCCAACCTGCCAATGGGCAGCGCAAGAAAGAAACGCGAGAAGCGAGCGTCTCCTACCCGGTACCTACTGTCCTGCGGTGGTTGCGGTTGGATTTTCGAAAGGGTTGCCTCTGCCACTGAGAGCGCCTTCCGCTTCCCCTACATCCGCGGGACAGCAGGGAGGGGTTGGGGGCGGGATGGGCAGGTCAGCTGGTGTCGAGGTTGCGCAGTGTGTGTGTGTGTGTTTTGTGAGGGTAATTTTGGTGACGACATTTGTTCGGGTTGGGCGGCACGGCCGGCTGGCTTCTTTAGAGTGCGCCCGCCCTGTAATAGGCTAATGGGCGATGGGTAAGCCAGATGAGTAAGGGTCGGAGGTCGCGATGCGATGCAATGCGACGATCCCTCCCAGTTGACGAGTTTCGCGCCGGGTACGTATGTAATGGCTCCTTCCGTCACAGATGACGGACTTTGAGAGTGCGGCGACAGGTGCGCAGCGATGCGACAATGTAGTAGAGTTGCGGCGCGCTGTCCTGGGATGCGATGGGATGCGCCTGCGATGCGACGGGCGCGAGACGGTGAATAAAACCATAACGGACGGGAATGCGCCTCGCATCTGATTCGGCGCGGCGGCTGGCTGGGCAGGCAAAGGGGTGTGTGGGTGGGTCGCCAAGCCGGGGCTTCCCAAGCGGTGGGGGACAGATGGGGACCGTGCGTCTTCCGCTGTCGCTGCGCTTCTTCTTCTAGGAAGTTTGTTGGATTCTTGGTGGTTGTGTTTTTGGGACGGATAGGATCCCCCGAAGCTATGCCCGCAGCGCGGCTTGTTGCTGGGTGTTCATGTCAAATGAAAAAAAAAAAAAAAAAAAAAGGTTGAGGATTCGCGGTCGCAATGAGAAGCGAGGCCCCAGCCAGTACTTTGTTGACCCGACACACTGCTTGGAGGCCGAATGGTTATTGTTCCGCGCATTGTCAGGCCCCAAAGTCGCCTCGATATTTCAACCGAAACCCGTGCTAGGCGCCGACACCAATCATGGCTTGACGAACTGGTCTTCGTCCCCATTAGGTTCCCTGTCTCGGCGGGGATTGTTTCCATAAGGTGTCAATGCGGAGCAATCGCTGAGCCCAGATCAACCTGCCCGTCACGATACGCGCAGCATGTCGGCCACTTCACCGTCTCCAACCACACCAGCTGCCGGGCGGAGAGCCCTCCCCTCATTCCTGTTGCGCGGCGGATGACCGCCGGCCGCCAATCGGACCGCATCCATTGGCGTGCACGCTCGAGTCACGCGAAGGCCTGGTCTAGATGGCCGACGCTCGGTTGAGGTCCTCCAACCCTCCTCCCCCATTTCCTCCCCTTCGCGAAAGGCAGCCGTGACAGCCCAGAATGGCGAATTTCGCCAGACGAGAGGGCCGGTGGCTGGTTCTCGCAAGCATCGGTTGCCTCGCTATCCAACGAGACCTCCCGGACGGTCTCTTCCACCAGACCCCCCACTTCTCCACAAGTCTCCTCCCCGGAATTCACTGACCGGCTGAGACTGAAAGAGGATGTGCCGTGTGGAGACCCTCTCGGAACCCTTCGGCCAGCTCAACGTTTCGCCCGAGGGCACGTCGAAATGTGCATGTCTCCAAGGCGTACGCCCAACTATCAAAGCTAAGGATCAGCAACGTGTCCGTAAGGCGTAGAATTCATCGTTGAGGGGGGCTCTGGGCTTCCGCTGCCGACCGTCGTCGGGCGGGAATAAGCCCCGGGTTTGATTTGCGGCGGCCAAGGCCGGATGGTCGCCGGGTCGTTCTCGACTCGCAGGACAGCAAGGTGCGATCTCGGCTGCTGGGTCAAGGTGGATTACAAATGAGGATGTGCAGCCGCCCCGGAACCTCTGTGGACATGCCACTCTGGCGGTCTTCTATTACAACGTCTGTTATGATAAAAGGCATACTATCTGGGATATTGCTCCTCTTTGCCGCTTGTTTGAACCTTGATACTAACGAACTCGACCGCGGCCACTTGTTGAATCCGAAGCACCTCTGTAAGTATTCCGCCGGCTGCGATCTCATACCGCATACGTTTGTTTCATCTGCAAAGACCATGCCGGACGGAAAGGCCCCGGACGGAAAGGCCCCGGTAAAAAGCCCCGGCCGCAGCGGCACCGACGTTGCGGAGAAGAGCCGGGACGGGACCCCGGAAGTGAGCGCCCCCGAGGAGGCCCGCGAATGGTCCGCGGAGCACGACCTCGTGTACCCGGAGGGAGGGTGGACGGCCTGGTCTCAGGTGCTAGCCAGCAACTTGCTCAACGCGCTAGCGTGGGGCTACCCGGCGACGTTCGGCGTCTACCAGCTCTACTACACCGAGAAGCTCCGCCTGCCCGCGGCCCAGGTTTCTTGGATAGGCTCGCTGCAGATCTTTCTGACGTTTGCCATCTGCACCGTCTCGGGCCGGTTGACGGACGCCGGGTACGCCCGGCACGCCGTCTTAACGGGGTGCGCTTTCGTCATCTTAGGCACGTTCATGACCAGCTTCTGCACGCAGTACTGGCAGATCATGCTGGCCCAGGGCATCTGCACGGGCATGGGTCTAGGTCTCCTCTACATGCCGACCGTTGCCATTGTCGGGTCCTACTTCAAGGAGAGGCGATCTCTGGCGTTGGCCATCGCGGCGACGGGCACTGGCGTCGGCAGCCTCATCTTCCCGTCCACCTTGCAGTACCTCACCCCCCTGGTCGGATTCCCCTGGGCCGTTCGCTGCTCTGCCTTTGTCGCGCTCGCCGTGGCGACGATCGCTAACGCGCTTCTGCGGCCCCGGCTGCCGCCCAGAAGGTCCGGCCCGCTGATCGAGTGGACAGCTTTCCGGGAGGGGCCGTACATCTTGTTCACCTTGGGGGCCTTCTTCTACTTCATGGCGCTCTACTTCGGCTTCTTCTACGTCAGTCGCCAACATCTATAACCCGCAAGCCCAGATGTGTGCTGATGGACGTTACAGATCAATACATATGCCCGCAAGGTTGTGGGCTTCTCAACGACCGAGTCGGTATCGCTGCTCCTCATCACCAACGGCATGGGCATACCGATCCGACCCGTTGTCGGCTGGCTAGCCGACCGCCACGTCGGTCCCATCAATATGTTCGTCCTGACCATGTTCATCCTCGGCTGCATGGAGTTCGTGTGGATTGGCGTAAAGACAAAGACCGGCATGTATGCCTTCAGCGTCTTCTTCGGTCTGGCCAACGGAGCAGCACAGGGAGTCTTTGGAGGGTCGACGGCAAGCCTGACGGCGGACCCGCAGAAGATGGGTACGCGGTTCGGCATGATTGCAACCATCTCGGGCTTCGCGACACTGGCCGGGCCTCCAACGGCCGGCGCCATCATCGACAAGGCCGGCGGACGATATCTCGGGGCTCAAACATGGGGCGGTGCCATGCTGATAGCAGGATCACTGGCGATTGCAGCGGCGAGGGTCGCCAAAGCAGGAAAGTCTTGGAGGACCAAATTGTGATGAAAAGAGAAAGGGAAAAACGACGACGACGACGACGACGATGACACATCAAGGCGAAGAGGCGACAGGCGTCGTAGCCTCTTTGTAGGGTGGACATTGCCGACTGGACAGGCTACCGATCTTTCGCGGTGTCCGGTGCACGAATGACCAAGTGGATTTGTTATATTGATATGGCGCCGAACTCTACGGCTTCCTCAACATACCAAAGGCCTCCGAGAGTAGCCGTGCAACTTGCTTGCCATCCTCCCAGACAAAGTCGTGATCGTGACTGAGGTTCTTGCGGATTGTGTATTCAACGCCGTCTCTCCCCAGCTTGGACGCCATGGCGTCAATTTCCGGCTCGTCAACAAGCGTGTCTTGGGGAGACCATGCCAGCAGGATGAGGTTATTTGCAGGCAAGGCGTCCTTGAAGCTACCCGAGAAGGTGGCTGGCATGACCTTGTTCCAGGACTCCTGGTCTTGGCCAAAGGCACCGACGATGAACTGGGTGTAGCCTTCGTGACGGGCGTTGAAATCATACAACTCGTAGATGCCAGCCAGGCCGATGAAGGCAGCCGGCATCTTGACCTCCGGGGGTGGGGCGGCACCGAGCGCAACAGAACCCATCGGCAGCTGGAAGGCCAAGGTGGCGCCGGCCGAGTGCCCGATTAGGATGTAGCGGTCCTGGATATCGTACTCGCGCTGTAAGAAGGCGAGGGCCGACCAGACATCACGTAGGTGGTCCGGGTGTTGGGCGCAACGAAGCTCCGCCGGAGGGGTAACGGCAGAGTCCTGTGGGAAGGAGGGGTGCGGAGAGAGTCGATAGTCAATGCTGACGAAGCCGCGGACCTCGCATTCGAGGGCAGGGCTGCCGGTCTTGATGAATTCGTCAATGGAGCGCTCGAAACCATAGAGGGTCTTCTGAGGATCACGCCAGGCGCCGCCGTGTATATAGCTAATGTGAAGTAAGCGGATACCCAGCAGCCGCGGTATGCACAAATCCATCGCAGGAGCATGGCCGTCAACTCACATTAACCAGTACCCAGCTGCGTTGTCGGCGTTTTGGGGGAGCTCCCAGACACCTAGTTTCTGCAGCTCGCTGTCCGCGGCATAACGATGCTCAGTGAATTTCAAAGAGCCCGACATAGTGACGAAAGCTTAGCTTGAACTGATTGATTTATTGGTGGCGGCGTGTCGCTCTTTGCGCGTGTCGGCCAGCAGGGTACGGCGGGGCAGGGCGAAATGGGGGGTTGCGTGGAGCTTGGAACCTCGAATGAGTGCTTGGCAAGACGTGGGAGGGGTGGTATGTGCCAAGGTAAATGAGACGCTGTCGACCTTGATCCGCAGGGGAGTGGAGGGGACAGACAAAGAGGTTGTAAGAATAGAGATAAAAGGGCCTGCGTTGGAGACTGTTTCTCGCGCAACGGACGCGGGTTCCGGAGCTGCTGATATGTAGCGATGAGGGAGGGAGGGCATGGAGAGCATGGAGGGTATGGAGGGGTGGGTGGGGCCTTCCGTCTTCCGGATTCCCGTCCTTTCTTCCGCCTCCGCGAACGACCCTCCCTAGCCGTCACTTCCCGACCTGGCCCGGCTGCTGGTTCGTGCTTTAGCATCTTTCGTCTTCCTCAATGTAGTCTCCTGTTCATCCAGCGCAATGCCGGTATCGCCTTGTCAGAATGGGCCCTTCCAACGCTCTGGGAGAACCCCCGTCGGCGAAAAGTGTTTTGTCAACATCTCCTCTATTCTGCCCATGGTCTTTTCCCCTTGATAATAAATCTCCTCAGAAGCCCGTGGCCCGAATCATCGAAACTTATCGAGTCCGATAGTGTTCCGCCATTATTTGTCCAGGCGCGTGCAATACGACGGGTTGCGACCTGAACTTGTCATTCCCACTGAGGCCGCCAATAGCTGGCAAGCGAGCCGTCTTCAGTCAATGTCCCTCCCATTCATAACGAACCGCAACCGTCGCAGTATGCCCCCCCGTGCACACCTGTCGCTAATACGGCGGCCCCGCATCCGCCCTGCCTGTGGTATATCTTCCAGACTCAAAATCCCCCCTGTTTCGAGCTGTCATGATGTCAGGAAAAGAAAAATGGACGTCTGCCTCTCTTGTTTTTTTCATTATTCATTGGATGCTTTCTTTTGTTGCTTTCTTATTCCGTATATTCTCTCCACTTTTCTAGATAAACCTCCCCTTTACGGAATTTCTTTTTCTCAAATCTGTTTTTCCCCTAGGATTACTTGCGGCTATGACATGAGCTCGTTCCCACTCAAAGCAAAAAGCCCAAGCCCTAAGCAAGCTGTTGGACAAGGATGGCACACCAGTCGAAACAGAAAGGATCAAGACGAACCCGGTGTTTGGACTTGCGAGGTTGTCACAACGCCACAACTAGCCACGGGCAACCGTCGTGTCCCCGTGCAGAAACGAGGTGATCAGGCCACGCCGTCCTCCTGCCCCCAACAAAACCCTAAGCTGTTGTGTCTAGGTAGTGTGGACGACCTAGATGAGACCTGCAGCCTTGCAGAGTAAGGAGGCTTGCCCTGTCCTTTTCCGAACTTCTTTGTGATACGTGAGGTGAAGAATACGGAGCGGTGAAGGCACGCATACGGTCGTAAGGTCGATCCGACGCATGGCCTCCTTCCGTCCTTGGCTTTCACAGGGTTTTCAACATCCAGATTGGTCTAGATGTATGGCAGAAGTAGCGTGGTACATAAGACGCGCGGCAAATGAGTAGCGAGAATAAGGTCTACTCTACTTATGCAGCTCTTCCATGTCAGCATCCTGACTGTCTGTCTATCTGGGTGGCAGGGGTGGGAGGGTAGGTATGCAAGGTACGCCTTTCGTGTGTGACCTGACCTCAGCCGTCGGCGCAGGATTTATTGCCTGTTACACAGCGAAGTCCTGAAGAAATAGAGGAAGAGGAAGACCAGACACATGATGCAACATTCCGGATGCCGGGTCCTCGCTCTTACTTCATCGCCAAGTCTTATGTCTGCGCCTTTCCGAGTCAACGACGACGCCTCATTCCTCATCCCACTTCGGCCGTTACCAACCTTGTATGGGTGAAACTGGGGAGGGAAAGTATCGGCCCGTGACACCAATGGCGTATGAATGCATGCATGCATCCATCAATCCATCCATCCATCGTAATGGTAGATGCTGAAGAACCCCCTGCTTCGCCATGTTTCCGCCAAACAACCCAACAGCTAGGCGCCTTCAACCTTGTCTACTCCTGAAGGAGAGGAGAACACCCGAAACGCCTGCTTGGTATGACGAGCAGACTTCCTTTCGGATTGGCCATCTCCAGAGCTGAAGAACTACGGCATCAACCCCGTTGGCGTACTAATGGCCAAGAACAGTTAGTTATCCGATCATGAGCAATCAGTGCGTCCCTCTCTAGCTGACCCGATGCCCCGTTTTGGAGATATCGCACGCAAGCAGGTTGCATTTATTCATATGTCGACGGTACTATTGTCCATTCGTCCAAGTAGAGGTCGGCATCGTGCCGAGATATGTAATGTACCAATCAACAGCTGAAGGGGGGGAGACGACTTGTGACGAAGCAGTGGCTTATTTCTTTTTTCCAACCCCCAGTAGACGAATCCCTCCCCGGCGTCTCCCGTCTCCCGGGACCCGTCCATATGCGCCTCACCTGCGAGCTGCAGAATGCAACCCTTATCACGTTTGTGTGTAAGGGGAAGCTGCAAGTGGCACCATTGAAGCCTTTCGCAAAGGAGATAGGCAACCGCAAACTTTGCAGGATTTCATGCCATGGCACCCGGGCCGAACCCACTATGCAGCATACAGCTCCTTTGGCTTTTGCGGTGTAATATCTCTTCTACCTTGCGTGGCCTCCTCCTCTCTCCCGCACCCGTACGCCACTCGGTCACACCTTTTCTTCAAATTTGAAACATGGCTTCTGCAGTAATACGGTACGGGGGACTTTCCCATTGCCAACGCCGCCAGTCATCGTTCTTGCGGCCGTTCTGTATAATCACGTATGGGCACTCGCCTCTCTCTCCACATGGCGACCCTGCCTTGCCGGGACCCGTCTCCGGGGGTGGCTCCAAACTTGATATTCCTAACGGGCTCGCTTTCGGAAAGCCGCTGCAAGTCAATCGCATGGGTTCTGATCTAAGCAATATCCAGAGGCCCGCATAATCAGGACTGACCCTTGGTATCGTCCTCCGCTGCCGGCCACACCAACCCCCATGGCCTCGCCTATGTAACCGTCCTGACTTGCTGCCGCTTTGCCTTCTCTTCCTCCCACGTTAGGTGATGCTCTTTCTTCGTTGTCACTCCCAAGATCACCACGGCACCAATCAGCCCTATGGCTGAGGTGAATTTATCAGAGAGCAATGGCGGCGCTCTTGTAGCCACTGCCGTCTCGTTCCTTGTCCTCTCTTGGTTTTCTGTGCTTCTCCGGTGTTATGTGAGGGCCTTTATGACAAACGGCTTCCAGGTTGATGACTGGTTCATGGTTGTGGCTCAGGTAGGTCCTTTCCCTCAGCGAGACGGCCACGGCCAAGTACTATCTTGATGTTGATGCCCCATCCTTAGGTCATCTTCACTCTCTCGTGCTCCTTCATCCTCGCCGGTGTAGACAATGGCTTGGGCCGACATAACAGGGCACTCAGCCAAAGACAAGAGATCTCGGCTTTAATGGTACGTTGCTTCGCATTGGGCTATTCCAACGCCATTCCACTAACACCATCGCACAGTACCAAGCTCTGGCTACCGCCACATACGTCCTTGGTATGCTCTTCATCAAGCTGAGCATCGGCTTTTTCCTGCTGCGGCTTTCGACGTCGAGGGTATACAACTGGGTCATCCATGTTAGTCTGGCGATTGTGACTATATGGAGCGTGGTCATCTTCTTCTGGAACACGTTCCAGTGCTCCCCGATCGAGGCCCAGTGGGATTATACTATTTCCAATGCCGAGTGTGTGCCAGCGGATGCTGTCGTAGCAGCGGCCTACTCCATCAGTGTCATGACTATCCTAAGCGATTGGCTATATGTAAGCCGTTTCAGTCCTTCTATTACTAGCCTCCCTCCCTCCCTCGTCAAGGCCATGCTGACTTACTTTGAGGCTCTTCTCCCTATTCCTATGGTTTGGGGCATCGAGATGACCATACAAGCCAAGGCAACCGTCATTGTGATTCTTGGTCTTGGGATATTGTAGGTGCCAGGAACCTCGTTCTGGTTCTGGTCCTGCGAAACATTGCTTACAAGCCCCAGTGCCAGTATTGCAACCCTTATCAGACTGAGGTACCTTGCCGACCTCGGCGACGTAGCAGATATCTTATGTACGGATCCAGACGGCCCCCGAACACTCCTGAAGAAATATCTAATCCAACACCATATACAACATAGCAGTGCTGACTCTACTATAGTCACCGGAACGGACCCCATGGTATGGACCTTAGTCGAGCCTGGTGTTGCCATCGTCGCATCAAGCTTAGTCACCGTCCGGCCTCTTCTTCGAGCATGGCGACTCACCGGATTCGCCTCGACCAACCGAACGCCTGGTATGAGCGGTGCGATCAGCGGGGGGATGAGGTCGGGAACGGTGCGATCGGCGGCCCGGCCAACACCGCGCAACGACCCGTACGGCGCCGGCGACGTGGGCCCAACAGAACTAGAGCTCGGTGATATGGGGAAGCACGAACCGAAGCCATGGCCAAAGTACCGAATCGGATACACGGCTCCGTTTGCACAATTCGGTTCCAAGGTAGCAGGGGGACAGATCCAGGCAAACTCCGTGACGCCGCCGGGCCGGGAACGGCGCAGGAGTTCTGATGAATCAATGTACGTCGTCGAAGGGGGCAAAACGAGCGACACCTGGCGTGATGACAGAACTGGGTCGCCGAGCGTGTCATCGGCTGATCTCGATGGTCTCGATGCCCAAAGCCAACATAGCGGACGCGTGGGCCTTGGAGGTCGCAGAGGCTAGACGACCTTGGTTCGCGACGCACGACGATGGTTATTCCCGGCCTCACACTCGTCAGGTTTATGTCACAACTTTATAGATTTCACAGGTTTTAAAAAGCATATAGGACAGTGGGCGCATTGACGCAAGTGCAAAGGAGCGAGCGGCATGGGTTACTATGGCGCCCTGGAGTTGTCTACACAAACAGCCGGCATGGAGGGCGCATGGGAATGGTGACTTGACCACAGATGACGGCAAAACTGATATGAATAGTATAGCGTCGAAGTGCTTGATGAAGGCGGAGTGGACACTGGACCACGTCGCTGCGTGCGGGCACGCAAGCCAGCTAGGATAGGAAGGTAGATATACACGCGCGCCTACGGGCGAAGGCGGCGCAACCAAACATCTTGGACAGCCTAATACGGATCCTGATTATAAGCCTCCTCCGCCTCTGCGTACGCATCATACGAATACAGGAACCTCTGGATCTCAGGACACGTCCACCGCGAAGGAAACCCGGGCTGTGGCTCCGCCCCTGGTCCCAGCGACGCCGCCATGACCTGGTCGCGGCGCTCCTGCTCTGGGCCATCAGGCATGTGGAAGTCGTCGCGCTGCCGGAACGACTCCATAACGATGCGTTGCCCGCGAGCCATGCGGAGGCGCTGGTACATGGCCGCTGCGGCAGGTAGCTGCGCGGCTTTTGTCCCGCGCCCGCCAACCTTTCCCAGGATGTAGCCCAACACGGCACCGTCCTCCAGGGAGGAGTTTGCGCCCTGTGCGAGATAGGGGAGCATCGGGTGGCAGCAGTCCCCAGCCATGAAGAAGGACCCGTCGTCGCTGGCCCACTGGGAGAGGGGTTCGATCCAGCATAGCTTCCACTTATGAACGCTCTGGACCTGGTCCAGAAGCTTTCGGAGGAGGGGGTCCCAGCCGGAGAAGAGGGAACGCATCTCCTCGACGTCCCCGAGGACCTTTGTCGAGCCTTCGGGGAGGTTGTCCGGCGACAGGAGGCCCAGGTTGAGCATGCGGCCCTGTTTCACGGTGTAAGACACGCCGTGGGACTGCGGGCCGATCCAGAAGTGAACCGTCTCCGACTTGATAAAGGCTTCAAGCTCGGCCTTGTGGGGGCCTCTGAGGGAGTCTATCGGGATCGCGATGCGGAAAGCCAAGTCGCCTGTCAGCGCCGGAGGTGAGGGTCGACCGAGGAACTGGGCGCGGGTGGTGGACCACATGCCGTCGGCGCAGACGACGACGTCGCCACCGATATCCACCGAGTGGGTTCCGGAGGCGTCATCGTTGTCTTCCTGGGCGATGGTCACGACGGCGCGGGCAAAGTCTACGGAGCGGACACGGGCAGAGAGGCGAATCTCGACGCCGAGGGCGGTGCATCGATCGACCAGGGCGCGCTGAAGCTCGACGCGGTGGAGCCCCCAAAAAGGATGGCCGTAGCGGGACTGGATGGTTTCCTGGAGGCGTGGTTCGTGGGCGAGAAGGCGGGTGCCGTCGTAACGGTGGACGGAGAGGGCCGAAGGACGGGTCGCGAGGGAGGAAAGGGTCGGGCCCAGGCCCCAGGCTTCAAGAAGGCGGGTTGCGTTGGGTGTGAGCTGGAGGCCTGCCTATGGTTGTCTCTGTGAGTGGGTGAAGCTCTGATGGGTGATAAAGTCGTCAAGTGGGTGAGAAGTCGAGGGAGACAGGGCGACTTACACCGACTTCTTGAAGTTCTTTGACGGCTTCGAGGATCGTGACGCGATGGGAGGGGTTTGCGAGCTTGGTAGAGAGGGCGGTGGCCAGGCCCGCAAGGCCAGCGCCGATGATTATTACATGGAGAGGATGCGAGGCATTGCATCCCGCTGCTTCACCCATGTTGAATGGCCCCCGTCACTCACTCGTGAAGTCGGTGGCAGCGCTGTATGGTCGGGTTTGAGGCCAATGAAGTTTGATTACGCAAAATGTGACGGTGCACGATGTGACAACCACCGCTCTGTAGCAGTTTCCTCTTACCGTCACCCACTCAACAATTTCCAAAGAGGCTGGGTCTAGTAGACGGCCGTGACATGTTCTGCAGACGTACCACGAACAAAGACTCCGTGGCCGAGGCTTGGAGGTCGGGTTCACGGAGGGTCTCATGTACGGAGTGTGGGGAAGACCGACGGGACGACGCCGTCCCCCCAAGTTCGTCCCAATTATTAGTTGCAGTCCGAGCCAATCTAGGGTATCGTTATCTTTTGTTGATCTGCTTGCGCCCCCTCCCCCTCCTGGCCCCCAAGACTTAGCGTCGAAGCCACCGACTCCCCTCGCGCTTGTTTTGTCCGTTACACGTGCCACGCTCCTCCACTGGCGCTGACCACGTCGACCCTTCTTACTCGTTGGGGATAGCAAGATCATCCGGGTCAACTTCCCATTCTTCCTCATCGCCCCAGGTAGGTGCGAGGACAAATCTGCCCATGATCTTGCCCATACCGATGCTGTCGCCGCCAACAACACCCGGCTTCGTCTTCTCGTCCGACTCCTCCACGATTACTGCCGTGGTCAAGAAGTTCATGCCTGCCGCCGGGCTGAGCTCTAGGGTTCGCCCACCCCAGTCCAACTCGACCTTGCCGGACTTGCGGACCTTGAGCTTGCCCATCAGGCCGGACTGGGAAACCAGCTGATTGATGTCGGTCAGGTCAATGTCCTCCTCGGCCTTGGCCCTTATGTTCTCTTCCGAATTGGTGAGGTCGACCGCTTCGCCAGGCGGGTCCATCATGACGACATCATCCGGCTCCGGCTTGACCTTGGGCGCAGTCGTAGGATGCAAGGGTGGGAGCAGCGGCGGGAACTGGAAGAGGTATAGTCGGCCGTCCTTATCCTGTATAGCCTCGCTCTCGGGGGCCTTGGAGTTCTCGTCGGAAACAGTGCCCAATTCGCCCAGCAGAAGTTGCATATCGTGTGTGATCATTTCCACCTCGGGGTCGGTCGCTGTCTTCTTGGTCTTCGGCTCAGGAGTGAACTTCTCCTCGGCGTCGGGCGTCGAAGATTTCACTCGGGCGTTGAAATCGACCGGCGCGATGTCCATGGCGACCGGTTCAGCTCCGGGTTCCGCCTTGACTTGAACCATGCCCTTGGGTGCTGCATGCCAGACCTTGGTCTCTTCCTCCACACGGGGAATGGCACCGGGCCAAGCCTCATTTTCGTCAACCCATAGACTTTCTTCTGCCTTTCCTTGTTCTTCCGCCTCGAGTTCTGCCGAAGTCGCAATGACCTTCTTCTCCTCCTTCTTGTCGATTCGTGCAATGCCCATGGGCCAGATATTATCGGGCTTCGAGCTAATGAGGGCTGCCGTCGCTTCGTCGTCGGAGTCTGGTTCGCGGTCAACCGCGTATCCTGCGAGCCTGTCGGCGTTGATCCGGGCCTCGCGATGGCCGGATGCCTCTCCAAAACCGCCACCTTCTCTCTTGGTTCTGCCTCCTCCGCCACCGCCGAAGAAACCACCGCCGCCGCCGCTGCCGCCGCCACCTCCCCAGCCCCCACCGGACCTTCCGCCTCCTGGGCAATGTCAGCTCTGTACCTTGTGTCGTGACAAGACCCCCGGACCTACCCTCAATGTTCATCTGTGAAAAGGGACCGCTAGCAACAGCAGTTCGCGACATGAACCCGCCCCTACCCATGGCATCTCCACGAGCTCGTCGACTGCGACCTCGAGAGCGCGCCTGCGCTCGAGCCTCGGCCTTTGCCCTCGCATTGTCTTTTTCCAATTCTTGTCTAGCAATGGCGTCTCTTGAGGCCTCATCTCTGCGCACAACCTTGGGCCGAAACCTGCCGACTGAGGGGCCCCGCGTTGGTGCTGGCCTTGGAGTTGCGGAATCTCTGGAAGCTCCTGCAGTTGCCGGAGCAGTGTCCAGTACCGAGGAAGGCCTAGATGTTGGCGCAGGAGTCTCCGCGCTTGGTGTGACACTGACAGCGGCTCCTCTTCCCACGCCTCTGCCTCTTGTTCCTCGGCCACGAACCCTACCGGCGCCTCGAGCCGGGGTCGTTCCCTCGGGCATGTTGACAGGCGACTACAGTAGGTGTATGATGAGTCGGGTGAGTTTGCACTGTTGTCGCTATCTCGTACAATCGGCGGCTTGCCGTCGTCGTAAGCTTCGGGGAAGGATTTGGAAATTTGTGAAATGCCGTTGTCGACCGAGAGTCACAGGTGCGCCGCTACAAGAAAAAGATGCTTGATTACCTTAGCTTGGTGGGGGACCACACTTCGGTGGAGGTACCCTTGTAATTTTTTTCCAGTTCACCCTCCAAATCGCCGCAAACAAAGTGGGGTTGGGACACCCCACGAAGGAGGGGCACTAAGCGCATGTGAGACGTAGGTACCTAGGTACCTATCTGTGTACATTGGCTCATCGCCCTCGACATTCACTGAAGATAGGTACCGCTGAGCCCATTTTCCCACTCAACTCAATCTTCACCGGATTCCAAGAGGCGCATTGATATGCACGTGTAGCGTAATGGTGTGAAGATCTCGGATATCTCATTTTACACACATCAGTGACTGCTCACCGTATAGTCTTGCGACGCTGCCCTCTCGATTTAGCATGTTGCCAATCCACAGCCTCCCAGCTTCAACTGTACTCGCTCCAAATTTCACAATGACACAGGTCCTGACCCTCGCTGCGGACCATAGGATGCCATCCTTGGCCTCCATCTCTATGCGCTTCATCCGCCACAACTCTTCCTCCGTGAGACTGCTCTCCTCCTTAGCTTTAGCCTCTGCCGATCTGAAATCCCTCGCACCAAGCCGCGGCAAGACGCCAAATTCTTCAAGAAAGAAGTTTCCCAGGGCATGCATTTGCGGCCCTCGAAGAATCAACGTCCCAAAGAGCCCGTTCCCGTGCATAGAGTCTCTCAAGGACCTGCCAACTAACCCTTGACTATTTCTGTCCAAGATGACCGTGTCCCGCACAAGCAGGCGGTTCTTGCTTCCCGGAGTTTCTCCCGATAACCAGACTTCGTTGCGCCCTGTCCACTTGACAAAACTCCAGTCCTCGCCGCGTGCCGTTCTTCCCTGCGTCACCCAGTCCAATAGACACAGAGACGCGCTGGGGGAGGCTGTGAATATCTGCGTCTGTTCATAGACGCTCCCATCAAAAGGCTGTACTGGGTCCGGCAGCTGACATATACCGGCGTTGTCTTCGATATGGACCTCGAGTGTCTGTCGCGTGACTATGTCGGGGGATGCGGACTTGAATATTTTTGTATGGCCCTGGGTGACAACGCTAAGCTTTGACTCTGGCAGAGCGCGTATGGATAGATTGATGCTATCCCCTCCGACGAGTCCGCCGCCGTATGACAATAAGAATACTAAAACGCTCTTCTGGTCGGCTGCCGGCGTGGGAGAGATGAGTTTCAGAGGGTACTGGTACGACATGGCTTTGAGGCCCGACAGGCCGTTCGGCAGCACCCGGGCTATGATCTCGCCCTCGCCGGCCGCTGAAGAGGACTTTGGAAACGGGGAATCCATCGTTGGCCCTACCGGTGCGTGTTGAAAGATGGTCGACGGGTTCCAGGGGCCCCTCTGGCAAGTCATTCCTGACTGTAATAGGCGTCCTTCAACAATTGTGCCAGGTCAGAAAGGTGCCTGAGAAGCTAGTTTAGAGGAAGTCGAGCGGCGAATTGGGACACATGCTTCGGCGGATCCACTCAGCCCAATCGTGATGTTGGTTGTTGCAGTTGTGCGAGACGGCACTGCCAATACGTAATTGGATTGCTGCTTGCTTGTTATAAAGTCAAGTCCATGAATGAGCGGGAAAGGTCCTGATAAGGAGTACGTACCGGGATGCCGCCGGCAAGCTTACCCCGTCCTCTACCTAGGTCCCCAGTGTATATACGGATACATACAATGAAGACCACAAGCAAGTACTCGACCGTGAAAGACCCCAGGCTACAAATACATCCAATAGTGAGTTATCCCTTCAAATATACAATGAGCCGATTGCGATCGGGGATACCAAATGTATTGAGACGACGCATGTCTGGCAGCCGGCATGGAACATTAGCAGCTCATGAGCTTGACAGTCTTCGAACTTCAAGGATGCGTGAGTCTGGACTGCCGCATAATAGGCAACGCTCCCCCTACAGAACCCCGCCAAACCAGCTGAACCTCACTGTTTACCTAGGTAAGTAGGTAAGCACCTACACAAGTCGCTCAGCTGATAGACCCCAAGATTTAGCTGTAGGGCCGCTGATTTCCAGTAATTATCGGAGATTAGATACTGTGTACCCAATAATCACCTATATTAGGTGCCTAGGTAGGTAGATTGCGGACGGTTGAGATGGTTAGGTACCCGCGTTTTGTCTTGCATTTCCTCCCGCACCATTAATACAGTGTTTTCTCGCCAAAGAGTGTCGTGTCTCGCACGGTACGTCACACGGGTACCCCCATTTCCATCCACCCAAATCCGGCCATCCTCCCACTCGCGAAATTGGAGAGCTCATCACCTAAACATCCTCGACATAAGACGCACCGACTGAACGCGACAATTTCCTTCGTATGCGCCACCCCTCCGAACCCTCGCTCATCGGCGCAAACTAATTGTCGCGATTGCTGCCTTGGTGTTCGTGTTTCAGCGATTTTGCCCTATTACCTTTGCGCAACAACATGGAGAGCGCGACAGCATCCCCCGAACCCGAGTCGTCGCGTCGTCGATCCGGACGCGTCGTGCGAGCCCCCGAAAAGTTCAGCCCCGAACCAGTCACCGCCCCCAAGCGCAAAAGAGGCCTGGAACAGGATGATGATGATGAAGGGAACGACGATGACGAGCCCGAGACGGATGCCACGATGAGCGACGCCGCCGATAGCGCCGACGAACGCCCTCGCTCCAGACCCAAGAAGCGATCAGGCGCATCGCAAGGGACCCGCGTAAAGAAGCCCGCAACTAAGAAACCCAAGACCAACGGGGTGGCCCCATCTGGTCACTCCGCTAGCCTGCCATCCCGTCCGAAGAAGTCGGTGAGAATTGCTGATAAGCAAGGAGAGGGCCTCTACGGTAAGCTAAACCCACCCTGGAATGTTGTTCACAGTCCCGTTAACTGACACGTCTCTACAGCCGACGTTTTTGGTTCGGGGCTGCCCTCAGATGAAGTTGCCGACAAATGGCAGACTAGATACCAGGCCAACGATGCCCTTGCTGTTGTCGAGCTCGTCAATCTGGTATTGCAATGTTCCGGCTGTGATCTCGAGATTACCGAAGACGATGTCCGCGACCCTGATAACTGTCAGGCTCGCCTTACCGAGCTTCAGGATCTGTTCCAGGAGGTATAGACGCCCAACCCTCTGTGCGAATCTTCTACTCTGCGAACTCGTGCGCTAACCTGTAGCAGGAGCAAGTAACGGAGTACCCTCTCATTTCCAGGGCGAAAAACACCAAAGCTTTCCGCGACCTCCTGACCGGATTTTTCAGGGCTGTTGTGCGTAGTGTTCACGAGACCGACATCCTCTACAGCGACGCGACTTTGATGGAAAACCTCGTCCGCTGGATAGCATCCATGTCGACTTCATCACTCCGTCCTTTCCGGCACACTGCGACCACTGTCATCCTCTCCCTTGTGCACGGCTTGATCGATGTCGCAAACACTCTTGATTCCCGCATTACTGCTATCGAACAACAGATCAACCAAGCCAAGAGAGGCAAGAACAAGGCCAAATTGGCGGAAATGCAGCGCACGCTCGACGAAGCCAACAACAACAGAGAGCTATGCGGCCACCATATCAAAGACTTCTTCGACACTACGTTCATCCACCGATACCGAGATATCGACCCGCGTATTCGGACAGAGTGTGTCGAGGCCTTGGGGTCCTGGATCACTGGTCAACCAACAGTCTTCATGCAACCCGAGTATTTGCGCTACTTGGGCTGGATGCTCTCGGACGTGGTTGCTTCAACTCGACAAGAAGTCCTCAGACAACTCGCACGCATCTTTCGAAAGGACATTCAGCCGTTAGGCCACTTCATTGACCGATTTCGGCCTCGCCTCATTGAAATTGCTACCAAGGATGCTGAGGTGTCTGTCCGTGTCGCGGCCGTCTCTGTCATCAACGTCCTCCGGGACGCCGGAATGTTGGAGCCAGACGAGGTTGACTCTGTTGGCAAGCTCATTTTCGACAGCGATTCCAGGATCAGGAAATCGGTTGTCAACTTCTTCGTCTCCTGTGTTGAAGATTCCATCGAAAGTAAAATGGAAGAGCTTGGTGGCCAGGATGCCCTGGATGAGCTCTTTGGCGAAATCGAGGACGACGACTACAACTCGCCCCGCAGCACGTGGGTCAACATCAAGTGCTTAGCGGAGAACCTCGCGGCGTTTGATGCGCAGGTTGAAGGCGAGCAGCAAGACGGCAGCTCTCAAGGCCTCGCCGCTGTGGCTGATGTCACGCAGGCGAATGTGGCCGACACTCGCATATCGCTTGCTTCCCAAGTCCTTTTCGAAAAGGTGCCCTACGTAAAACAGTGGGAGGTGCTGGCGGGGTATCTGCTCTACGACCATACTGTCAGCTCCAAGTCCAGGTCCAAGTCACATGGTGCCTCCACTGAGATTGCTTTTAAGAAAGCCGTTGGGCCGGGGGGTTCAGAGGAGGCTATCTTGCTGGAAGTCCTGGCCTCAGCAGTGAAGATGTCGATGTTACAATCCGCCGAGTTTGAGAAGAACAAGAAAAAGAGCGGTCGCCCGGAAGTTGCCGAGGCTCAAGAAGAGACAGCCTTGGAACTGGCAACCGTGATCCCGCAACTTCTCAACAAGTTCGGGGCTGATCCTGCTACGGCTACTATTGTCCTGCGAATGGAACACTTCCTAGACTTGGAGGTTTTCCAATCACTGCGGCAAGATTCGACCAAGTATGAGAAGTTGTTGGACGAGATCAGCACACAGTTCAACAGGCACGACGATAAGAGGGTTGTTTCTGAAGCTGCCGCTGCTCTCCTCCATTCTCGCCAATATGACGAGCTCGAGGAGCTGACTGAGGGAAGGCTTGCAGTTCTGTGGGAGAACGTCATCAATACACTGCGCAGCTTCGACAAAACATGCGAGCTCACCATCCGCGGCAACCTGGAAGAGGAGCATTTGACAGCACTCTCCACCGTGCTCATGAAGATCAGTGAGCTTGCTCGCATTTCTGATTGCACAGAAATCCTCGAGACCGAAGGCCGTGCGGCTGACTCAATGTCATCCACCATTGAAATCCTGGTCAACATTGTTCGTCGGGGCACATTCAACGAGCCCAGCGAAGTCGACGACTTGGAGGACGAGGCCACGTCCTTCGCAATCAAGGGAATCCAATTCTACTTCATGTGGAAGGTGCGAAGCTTCCAAAAGATCATCCAAAGCGGAGCCGAAACCCCTGATTCTGTCGTGGACCAAATCGTCGTCCTGCGCAGGAAGTATGACACGGGCCTGATCAAGACTTTGTCGTCACGAGCTGTCATTGACGAGATTCGTATTTTCGCGACTGGTGCTCTTTGCGACATCCACGTCCTCTTTGGTTCCTTGCGAAACTGGACAGAAGAGTCCCGCGGAAACGCTAACTACAAGAAGTTCGCGAGGCTCACACACGAGCTCGAGCCCAAGCTCTTGCCTGAGCTCATCTCCATCTACGACGGCGTCGAGCGGAGCTTTGCCAAGCGTACGAAGAAGATCCTCAACGAGCCGGCCGAAGACGAAGAACCCATGGATGATGACGACTCTGACGAGGAGGAGGATGAGGACGAGGGACTAACTCAAGAGGAGAAGCTTGCCATTGAGCTCAAATCTGAAAAGGCACTCTGCGAACTGGCTGCCAAGTTTGTGCTCGCCATAGTTCAAAAGGTCCTGGATCAAACAGGGCCCCACGCCGGCACGCTTCGCAAGCGTCTCCTCCGAAACCAGGGCAGGCTCGGCAAGAACTTTGCCGAAGTAGTCGCTTACCTCGACCCGTCCAAGGTCCGGGAGCACCTGTACGGCAAGAAGCAGGCGCAAAGGGCGAAGACGTCGGCCAAATCCACTGCAGCCAAGCCCGCCCGGAGCGAGGAGATCGTTGTCGACGATGACGACGATAACGAAGAGGAAGACGTTTTCGAAGAACCCGAGCCTGAGCCAGAAGAGGGCACCAAAGAAGATCTCCGGCGACGAGAATTGCTGGAAGAAGAGGAAGAAGAGGAGCCTGACGTAGAGGAGGCTCCCGCCAATAATGATGCAGACGACGACGATGTATTGGGCGACTGAACGGTGTTTGATCTGTCAACTTTGAGCCGCCGCAGAACTGACACGCAGGCACGGTTCGGTTGTCTTTTGCTCTGTTCATATGATGATGGTTCTGGCTTGGAGACCGTTTCTATCCCTCGTGTGGTGTGTTTGTGCGCTGGCGTAAGATTGCTTGCTTACAGAACACCTTTACATATCATTTCTGCTTGGACTGGATGGTAATGCCGGACGGTGACGGCGAATTGAGAGCGCCGGTGTGGAGATGGCTCATTTGACCAATGGCGTTAGAAAAGGGTTCAAAAGACATTTAGCTCTTATGATAGCTAACACGACGCAACTTCTGAAAGTATTCTCGGCCGTGCGAAATCCCGTTGTCGCGCTGATGACGGTCTTGCCTCCCCCCCCTTCTCAAATAGTATCATGAACTCGCACCCCATGCCAAACCTTGGGGGAGGACTCTTGCTTCCCTGCCTTCATCTGTTGTAGCAAATCTTGGTCCCGAAAAGTCCAAACATCCTCTTCCATCGCCTCCCTTCACCTGCATTTGCCTCGCCTGGATTCGGCTCCTTGACCTGGATGCCATATTGGTGGATGCAGCACGTGAAAGGCCGGTTCGAGATAGTCTCAGCCTTCTTCAACGGCCCGCTGGGTGCCTCGTTATCGGAACTGTCCGGTGGCCGGTCGCCCGTCATCTTCTTTCCCACCTTAGCTTTCTGCTTCTTGCGCTGCTCTGCTAGTTTCTTGGACTTCTTCTCCTCGAGATCTCCCCAGAGGATGAACATCCTCTCCCGCAGCTGCGCCAGCTTCTCGGGGCTCGCGCGGAGGTCACAGGCTTCCATGTCCGTCAGAAGCTGCGCGTCCAAATTAGTCACCACGACCCACAAGCTATCATCTTTCCTGCTTTTGGAGTTCTCAGGCACAGTCGCGACGCCCTGGAGATGCAGAGCGAAGCGCCATTCCCATCTTTGATCGCCTTTGCTTGCGAAACCATTCAGTGTGCCTTGTTCTTCTTCTTCTTCTTCCTCCGACTCCGATTCTTCGCCAGAGTAGTCGGAGAGCGCTTCGTATTCTGATCGTTGCTTGCAGGCGCGGGCAAAGTCCTGAAGCCTGTTCGGGTAAAAGTCGACTACGCGGGCGTTGATGCGGTACCTGGCGCAGTTAAAGGGAAGGTCGAAGGAAAGGGGAGCGCCTTGGTGAGTCGTCTCATACTTTACTGGCTCCAGAAGGTCCGACACAGGGGTTATCGGTTGTCCGGGATGTTCGGCAATGACCTGCGTGTTGAGACCGGCGTCTACGGGAGCCACGTCCTGTTTTGCCTTTCCGTTGACATGGGCCCTTTGTGCAGCGCGTTTCTGCTTTGAATTCAGAGATTTACCCTCCGGTTGGCCCGGCGCCGGCCGCTTCTTGCTGTTTGTCTGTGTCGATTGTAGGTCTTTGCGCAGTGCCTTCTCCTCCTTCTCGTAATCCCTCTTCCTTCTGATGGCATTTTTCAAGCTCGGGGAGATGTGCTCGGGGTCCTCGGTAACATCAAGAACGTCGACAGAGATTTTCTTGTTGCGAAAAGCGTTCAGGTCTTCGCGGAGGTAACCCTCGAGGTTCGAGCCGTTTGAACCGTACTTGAACTGGACGTTAAGTAGATGGACCCATGAACCATTCTTGACTCTGTGTCTGATGACAGTTGCATGCGGCTCATAGCAAGTGACCTGAAGGGTCCTCTTGCCAAAAGGACCGTTCCAGATTGACGATTTGCTGTCTTTGGTGGTTATGTAACCGTAGGGGTCGCCATCCTTGGACCTCGCGCTGGTCTGGCCAGTTCTCATGTGATTGAAGAAGCCTGAGTTCTCGGTATAGTCTGAAACATAGAGCCGAATTTTGTCGCCATAGTCATAGTATTCTTGGACAACTTGCGCAATGATGTCATGAAAAGTACCATCTTTGGCATCTTTGAGTTCGCAAAACTTGTTCTTGACATTGAGTGACTGTATCTTGTGTATTTCGAACTCTTCGGGATCAGGAATATAGTCCTTGTTGACATGATGAAAGAGCCAGGACACATATTGCTCGGCTTTTGGAGCCGTGGGGTGATTCGAATGAGGCCGTGGGAACCTCAAGGGGCAGGATGCAGGCTGCCCAGGACTGGGAGGGATCTTGGCCGCCGGGTACACATGGACGACTGTCCTATGGTTTGTTATGAGAGAGAATGGGTCGCTGCGCTGTCGCTGGTACTGACAGAGGTCTTTCAGTACAACCGATATCATCTTAAAGAGCAGTGGCATGGCTTACTTTCGCTTTGTAGACGACAACGATATCCCTCAGCCCAACATCGGGCATGCACTCTTCGGGCCAGAATATGATGAATTCTATTTTCCTACCCTCGCTTGAGGCTGAGAAGTCGGTAACGACTATTGTAGCTTTCCAGTCTGGGAAAGGTCAGTGACCACGCCAGGCCAGTCCGGCGCCCTGGGGTTTTGCATCGTACCTGGCCCTTTGGTGGATATGGGTTGTCGAAAGTCAACAACTACGCCAATAACACTGACGAGCTCTCCCTCTGCCACCTTCGCCTCCCCATCCAACAGATCTGTGATTTTCTTGAAGTCGGGAGGAAGATCCAGGGTTGTTTCAGAATCAGACCCAGGCACTGCCATGGTGGACTGGGATGGCTAGATGTGTAAGTGTAAGTCGGAACATGTGCCCACGAGGATGTCAAAGACGCGGCTGAGGTCTGGCTCAGCAGATTGACAGTGCAGAAGAAAAAAAGCTGCCGAAAGTGTTTTTAAAAGAAGGCCATTTGCAAGTCATTCAACAGTTGTCCGAGGTCCTGTGCTCGGTGCTCTTTGTCTTGGACCGCCGCTCTGTAACCAGATTGGCGACGCGTCTACTGGTTTGGGGACGCGTTGAGTTTTCTCCACCATGAACGGTATGTAGGTATGTATGGCATGTGTGTCACCTGGCGGGCTTGCTCGTGGGAAGTGCTTTGGTCTAAAAAGCACCCTGTCAGCATGTGCACAGACATTTTTGGATGGGGAAGACAGAGGCGGTATCACAGCTGCTGTCAGTGCTGAGACCGACACCTGGCAGCTGCTGTCAGAAGGAAGGCCCGTAAAAGAAAAGCAGACCGGAAGCCTGGGATTTCGAACATGAAATCAAAGAGCAGCTCGCTGAGAGGTACTTTGTTAGCGGCCCATGACATAATCCCCTGGGAAACCAGGCCGGCCAAACACAGCTTGGCAGGCTTAAAAGCCATGGCGGGGCGGCAGTCTCTGGTGAGAGTATCCGTATCCGTACGGAGTATCGGTACTTGATCCTTTATTGAATTAAGCCGTCTTGCCACGACTCGGCTATTGAATGGCAGCAACAGACCAACAGACAAAATGAGGTGTCTAACTCGTACAAAGGTAAAATAACTTGCTGAGTCCTTCTTCCAAACAAGAGCAGTGCAAAAAACCGAACATAAAAAAAGTTCGCTTGCGGCCACTGCCACCTATGCACCTACCAAGGATAAGATCGTAACTGGTACCTCCTGCTGGACGGAATCACAAGGCAGGACGCAAGTCATCAGTACTCATTGTCCCCCCATTGGGCTCTTGGAAGGGCCCTACACTTTTCCATTTCTTCGACCCGCTCTCTCTCCCACTCCTCCCCGACTTTCCATTCATCTTCCCCCCATCACCATAAAATTCCCACCCCTCCGTCTGCAACAACTTTTCCACCAAGCGATCTGGCAACCGGATCAGCATCTTTTTTGTGTTGACATCGCGCAACTCTACCTTCCTTTCACTGCTGCGCAATACGGTCCAGGAAGCATCTCTGGATAGAGACGCTTCTTTGCTTGACGCTTTTCCAAATCGGTCACCACCAAAACATTACCCTTTTCCCCTCCTTCCCCTGAAGGACGGCTAGAAAACACTGTCTAGCAACATCAACCGACACGACAGCAAACATGGCTGATCGTTACATTCCCGAGCATCGCCGCACCAACTTCAAGGCGAAGAGCACCTTCAAGCCTGAGGAGCTTCGCCGCCGCAGAGAGGAGCAACAGGTCGAGATCCGCAAGGCGAAGAGAGAGGAGAACCTGGCCAAGCGCCGCGGTATTGGTACGGGCGAGAACAGACCCGGTGCTTCCCTTGGAGCCGCTCCGGACAGCGACGATGACACCGCTCCTACTGAGTCCCAGGTGAGTTTTGCTTCCTCTATGCGCCGCCGCCGACCCCAGCTTGCCTTTGTCGGAACCCCGCCAATACTGCTGCACCCTTCGTTTATTCCCCCTCCTCCTGTTGCTAGGGCGCCTTGCCGCTGCCCCACTTCCCTTTTTCTGCGCGAGTCGACGCAGCCCTTTCCTCAAGCTCGAGCAGCCCCGACCCCTCCATCCGTCGCAACTGTTTGCCGTCAAGATGGAAACGCTGACTAGCCCTAGCTCAACGAGGACCTCCCCCAGATGGTCCAGGGTGTCTTCTCGGAGCAGATCGACCTCCAGATCCAAGCAACTACCAAGTTCCGGAAGCTATTGTCCAAGGAGCGCAACCCTCCCATCGAGGAGGTGATCAAGACTGGTGTTGTCAGCCGTTTCGTCGAGTTCCTGCGATCTCCCCATACTCTCGTCCAGTTCGAGGCTGCCTGGGCGCTGACCAACATCGCTTCCGGCTCCGCCACGCAAACTCAGGTTGTTATCGAGGCCGGTGCGGTCCCCATTTTCGTCGAGCTTTTGGCCAGCCCTGAGCCCGATGTGCGGGAGCAGGCCGTCTGGGCCTTGGGTAACATTGCTGGTGACAGCCCCCATTGCCGCGACTATGTCCTCAGCTGCGGCGCTTTGAAGCCTCTCCTGGCTCTTCTTGGTGACAGCCGGAAGCTCAGCATGCTGCGCAACGCCACGTGGACCCTCAGCAATTTCTGCAGAGGCAAGACCCCTCAGCCCGATTGGAACACCGTAAGCCAGCCTCTCTAATCGCTTGATTACCACCGCCATCTAATGATGTCTGCAGATTGCGCCCGCGCTCCCCGTGCTTTCCAAGCTTGTCTACTCTCTGGATGACGAGGTACTCATTGACGCCTGCTGGGCCATCTCTTACCTTTCCGACGGATCCAACGACAAGATTCAGGCCGTTATCGAGGCAGGCATTCCCCGCCGCCTGGTCGAGCTTCTCATGCACGCCTCCACTTCGGTTCAGACGCCTGCTCTTCGTTCCGTTGGTAACATTGTCACCGGTGACGACGTCCAGACTCAGGTGATCATCAACTGCGGTGCCCTGCCCTGCCTCCTTTCGCTCCTCAGCTCCAACAAGGATGGCATTCGCAAGGAGGCCTGCTGGACGATTTCCAACGTCACCGCTGGCAACTCGGCCCAGATTCAATCGGTCATCGATGCCAACATCATCCCGCCTCTCATTCACCTCCTCTCCAACGGCGACCTGAAGACTCGCAAGGAGGCTTGTTGGGCCATCAGCAACGCCACCTCGGGTGGTTTGCAGAAACCTGAGCAGATCCGCTACCTCGTCTCTCAGGGCTGCATCAAGCCTCTGTGCGATCTCCTGGCTTGCCCCGACAACAAGATCATCCAGGTGGCTTTGGATGGCTTGGAAAACATTCTCAAGGTTGGCGATCTCGATAAGCAGGCCGCTGGCGAGGGCCCCGACTCCATCAACCGTTACGCCTTGTTCATCGAGGAGTGCGGTGGCATGGAGAAGATCCACGAATGCCAGACCAACGCCAACGAGGAGATTTACATGAAGGCTTATAACATCATTGAGAAGTACTTCTCGGACGAGGAGGAGAACGCGGACGAAGGTATGGCCCAGGGCACCGGCCCGAACGGTACCTTCGGGTTCGGCACCAACGCGGCTCCCCAACAGGGCGGCTTCAGCTTCGCCAACGGCGGTGACTCGATGGACATGTAAAATTTCCAAATTGTCAGCAACCCTCGACGTGCTTTTTGCTGATGCAGCAACCTGCCGACATTGGATCAAACCCTGAAACAGCCCCTCCATTTACCCCTTAAACCCTTAGCACCAACCGTCACTCACCCCCCTTCTTCTGTCAGCGGAGCATCGCGTATCTAGCATGCTGAGCTGACAGAGACACAGCATCCCCCACACATACACACATCACGTGCAATCGGCGTTCTCTAATATGGCTTGATGGAAATGATTGGAAGACATTCCCGATTGGGAGACGACAGGTCCTTTGGTAGCTTCAAAGCTCCAGCCTGGGAGACAGGAAGAGAGAAGAACGCTGGTATGGGCCGAAGGACAGGACTAGCAGACACGGACGACGGACTTGCGGCTTCACAGCTGCAGGTCAGGGTCTGGCTGGCCAACAACACCGCATGTGGCCATTGAGGGTTGAACCACCCCAAACGGGAGACTTGGCATGGTGCCCATCGCCTTGTCATGGTTGCAGCGGCTGTGCAGGAGACGGGTCGATTGATGCTAGTGCATCTCGACTCGCAAGATGGAACTGGGCTACACAGCTTTGCTGCCGGAACCAAGTGGTATCCGGCTTCGCAGCGTTCACACCCAACGTTCCACAATATGTGGAAAGCAGTGTCAAGTTGAATGAACAGTAAAAGCAAGATTGTACAAGTACTCTCATCGTGACTTTGGTCCGTGATTTTTCGTCAATGCGAGAATGTCCATGAGGTACCTCTACGTACAAAGTTCGACGTGATGTGTGCTGCGCTGGGTTCCCTTGGTTAACAAGCTGGCCAGTATCAATATGCCTAGGTAAGAGAAGTCATGACATTTCGTGGAAGTGCTCGGTGCTCGGCTGCTGTAGTGTGACGCCAATAGATGATGATGGCCCGTGCTTGGCCGACATTTTTAGCGGCCAGAGACCCCCCAAAACAAGGTCTTGAATTGCCTTGGCAAAACCCCTAAACTTGCACCCCTCCACTATGGTGGATAGGCTTAGGGAAGTGCAACAAGCAAGTGCAAATGCAAATGCAAGGCTGTTGATGCTCCCGGCCGTGTTTGCGCTCAGCCTTCCCTACCACACCACGAGAGCTCAACAAAGTACAATAATTATTGCACGGGTTCATACTTTACACCCATTTGCAGAGAGTATGCCTGCTCACCCAATCGAGGTGACATCAACTAGCCAGGCTTGATGCGCCCTTGGTAGACAGCAGCAACGTCCGCCGAAAACATCGTCAGCCCGAAGTCGTAAGACAGTATCATGGATGGTCGTGTGGTACGAGGCGTCCAGCGCGCAGCGCTTGAGCAATGGTCCGAATTCATAGCCAAGAGTCTTTCTCATCGCATAGACCCGGAAAAGTTCGAGTCATACGTGCCTTTCCTTCAGGTCAAGCACCCGTTGCCGCCCGTCGCCGTTGCCGACCTCTTCCTCCGACCTCAGCCTCACAACCACGAGAGCCTCGACCCTCGAGTACCGCGCTACCTCCAAGTTCTCTCCGACCTGAACTACATCGACACGGCTTCGATCCTCAAATCCCTGTATAGATACTCTACATCTCGCGCGCACTCTCGAGACGCTGCACAGCCGGCCATTGGCGAGGCGCAACCGCTCAACTTGCCGCGATGGGGGAGCTCGTATGCGGCAGAAGAGGTGATGTTTTATCGACTTACGAAGGCCGTGGCGCAGGGCATAGCGATCCAGAATACAGGAACAGGTCTTGAGATAGCAAGCATCATGGCTAAATGGATTGCGCTCTTTACGGATGCTGCGACGGCCTTCACGGTCGACGTGATGGGCCAGCTTCACAACAGTCAAGTGAGAGAGGAGATGGAATCAGCACGCGCCGCGTTCGTGGCTCTTCTTTTGGGTGTCTGCGAAAATCAAGTTGTTCTGAAAGCTCTGAGTAAACCCGAAGCTCAAGGTAGGCGCTCATAGTTGGTCCTGTCTAGAATCACCCGCTGACTTGACAAGGCACCAGAAAAGCCCTATCCGAGAGCCTCGCGAACTTTGTACCGACCATAATGCAGAGTGCTGGTCCCATTGCGACTCGCCTCGATATGTTCCGAACAAGCACGTTAGCGGGCTTCGAGCCCGTCGACGATGAGAAGAGCAAATCAAATGCCGAGATCGAAGACCTCTTCGACTCAACGGTGGCGTTGGACAACTTTGTGATTTCCGAGCTGCCCATTGTCAACTCAAGAGCCGGTCTATACATATACCTGAATGCTGCGGTTCGTTTGCCATGACTGTGGATGGTACGAGAGATGCTAACAAGGCGTGGGACAGCTAGTTGGGCGGCCATTGGTTGATGACCTTGCTATATTCAACTACTTGAACAACCGATATCAGGTAGGTACTCTATTTGTTCTCTATGCAGGGATATCTCTGATACTCTCAGGGCGATGTGCAATCGACGACGGTCGACCTTATCCTCGCCTCCTTTGACGTGTTGGCCAATGCCGCCTCGCGGAATGAAGGCAACCAGGCCGCTCATCTGTTACGCTCGTTTCTGATGAACAAGCTACCCATCCTTATCGAAAGCCTGAGCAAGCACATGTACGGGCCAGTCAATGCCGAGTATTGTATCACAGAAGCCCTTGGCCGTGTTGACACGACAACGTTTCCTACGCTATCGTCGATGTTTGATGAGACTAGGAGCAACAACCCCTTCACGGACTCTGTGAGAGAAGAGTTCTGTTGGGCATGCTGTTTGCATGGCCTAGTGCGAGAAAGCAGCATCGAGACTCTTCTCGGAGAGACCCCCTATCAGTCACTTCCTGCTGGCGGCAGGTATGTCAAGGAAAACCTGGTTGCAGAGTGTCTGGCAGACCCGGAACGAATGCAGGCTCTGATTGGAGAGTTGGACAACAAGGATGGAAATGCTGGCGCCGTATGCCAGGCTTTGACGGAGGTATGCGCTACATCTGCCGCCTGTAACCGTACCTCATGCTGACCACACTCATAGGTAATGGGACAACTCTGTAGGAACAAAGAGACTATGTCTCTAAAGCTTCTGTGCAGCCAACTCGCCCAGAAGCCGTTGTCTCTGGACGTCATGTTGATGTTTGAGAAGCCTGGGACTATCCTTCATCCGCTGTGCGACCTTCTGGACAACTGGAAGTATGAGGAGGACCAAGGGGAGTACCAGCCCGTATACGAAGAGTTTGGTTCAATATTGCTCCTAGTCATGGCTTTTGCGTATCGCTATGGCCTATCAGCGTCAGACATGGGCGTCGCATCCCCTGACTCGTTTGTTTCGAAGCTTCTCGGCCAGGGTCACCAAAGCCGCCCGTTTGATGAGCTGTCAGACCAAGAAAAGGGGCATCTGAACGGATGGATTCACGGCCTTTTCGACTCTGAGGCTGGTGGGTTGGGTGATGAATTGATGTCATCTTGCCCGCCACAAGATTTCTACCTGCTGGTATCGACACTGTTCCAGAACATTGTTCTTGCCTTCAGTACTGGCCACTTGGCCGAGGAGAGCCTCAGAGGGGGTATAGAATGTGAGATTACCACTTGTCCCGGGGCGAACTTGGCGCTAATGCAATCGCAGATCTTGTCGATACCTTTCTTCTGCCGTCTCTTGTCGTAGCCATCACCTATCTGGCTAACTCACTGTGGGTCGAGCGCTCCGACTGTCAGAAGGCGATCGTAAGGGTTCTGAACTCCGTTCTGGCGCCTACTTCAATATCCAATGAGGCGCAGGCTATGCTCACTTCCGTAATGAACATAGTTGCCAAGCCGCTGGAACATTCTTTGAGAGCGTACCAACGATCGGATCCCAAGAGTCAAGAAGTCGAACCCCTTCTCAAGGCAATCAAAGATAGCATCCCCTTGTCTCGGCGGACGGGAGCAGCAGACCACACCGAGCTGGATGCTTGGTCTCTAGGCGGCTTTTCCAACTCTATCCGCCAAACATTGCAGCAATTGGTGCAGTGGAGCATCCACCCAACAATGGATAGAATGCCTCCCGCATACACCCATCGACAGATGCTTGTTGCGCTGAAACTACTAGGTGCGAAGCGACTGCTGCAGCTCCTGTACGAAGACATCAGGCAACAAACAGACACGGGCAGTGGCAGCATCATTTACGATGTAGCAACGGCAATAGTCTGCGCGCCTGACGTCGCCAACACACCGCCAAATTCCGTCAACTTCCTCGATAACTCAGGCAACATGCCTGCCCCTGTCCAGCGGAAGCTGACTCTGCGCGAGGTCTTGAAGTCGGATGCCGAGGACTGCAAGAGGCTACAGAAGACGGACATGAACCTGGCCGAGATTGTCGTCAGGCTACACCGCAAGGTGGAGTCTCAGATGGCTGTTTCTCAGGCTCAGGCCATACAAGCAGACACGATGCTGCAGACTGACCTCGGTCTGGGCCTAGATACCGGCGCAGGCTCTCTCGACGATGCCATGGCGGCCGCGGCTGCCAACGTTGGGCAGGGCGACGGCATGTCTGTGGATAATGTGAGCCTCGACCTGGGCCTTGGCGGAGTTGGTGGAGATATGGGCCTTGGGGGCTCGTCAAACAACGGTGGAGGGTCATTGGACCTAGGGACCGATGACATATTCGGTGCACTCGGGGCCAGCGACGACTTTCAATGGGATAACATGGACCTTTCATAGGAATGATCTATTGCGCTTTCGTCATTGAGATGCTCGACCTGGCGCAAGTACTCATTGGCGTAGAGGGGATGGGAATAATCAAATTCAAAAAGACATTAGCCTCGACAGAACAGCATGTTACATTACACCTGATACCAAGAAAACACATCCAAATTCTTCCTTTTGTTTGCCGTCCACCCCTTCACTTTGTCTCGGGCCAGCTGCCGATGATGAACTGGGAATTGCACATGTTGGTGAGTTCCCAGTCCTCGGCGGCCATCTCAGCTTTCATGTTCACGTCACCCCGCCCCCCACATAGCCCGGCCACGAACATGGTCGCCATGAAATGGTCGTCCGTCGCATGCGCTTCACGGTACATGGGGTGCTTCATCAGGCTCGTTGCCTTCCGTCGCAACATCGGCCCTCCACACGGCTTCTTGCCGCGGATGGTCTTGCCGTACGCATCCTTGTCAACGGGGACGTCGTCCTCGTAGGCGGGGCAGAACGTGTCGATGACCTCCTGGCGGAAGTCCATCGCCCACGCTTCCGGCGGGGTTGGCTGGGCAAAGTTGTCGCGGTAGCTGAGCATGGGCGCCCAGACGTTCCGGAAGAGGTTGTGCACCGACCCGCCGGAACCGATGAAGAGGGTCTTGTGCTTTGCAGCTCTGAGGGGTCGTAGAGCGGCACCGATGGCGATGTGGAAGTGAGGGTCATAGTAATCGTTCATGGAGATCAGGGTCGTGGGCGGGCAACCAGCGGGGAACATGCGAATGAGGACGAGGTAGGTGTCGTGGATCCAGTCAAATGTCGGGTCCGTCTTCCAACGGATGCCGGCGGCGTTGAAGTGCGCCTGGATCGTGGGGATGAAGTCGATGTCCGGGTTGAGCTCATAGGACTGGTACTTGTTGGGGTTTACGAACGCGACTGGGGATTTGGCGGGCTTGGGGTTCGCTGAGATGAGAACCTCGCCGGGGCTGTTTGTAGCCCAGTGTGCACCCTGCGGGAGGGGTCTTTGAGTGAGAAGTTCTAGGGAAAGGAGCACCAGCGTCGTGGGTGAAGGGCGAGAAGCTTACCATCATGACAACGTGCTCGATCCCCCGAGCGCGAGCTTCATCGCCGCACTTTTTCCAGTAGGTGGCCGAGTTGCTCTCCTCGCCGAGCATCATAGTTGAGCCATGGGAGAAGAGAAATACGGGGTTCATGGGACCCTCATCTTTTTTCCCTATCGCCATGGTACGTCTGTATCTGTCAAAGTGAAGCTGCTACGTGGTTCGGGTGCTGGTAAGAGCTGGAGATGGTTCTGATGACTGTGTATGTGCGTGCGTGGATGGATGATCGATTTGGATTCGAGTAGTTAGTGAGATATGCCTTCTTAGGTACGGGAAGACACTCGAATCTCAGATACGCTGACCTGGAGTACGTGGATATCCGGTGGCCGACAACTCTGCCGGCACAAATTGGCGGCCCCATCGGCGAAGCGGGCTTTCCTCTTGGCATGCTTTCTGCGGGGGTCACAACCTGGGGTAAAATGGGGCCGGCGGGGCCGGGACAAGGGAGCTGTAACCCAACCGCCACTTCCCGAGCCGAATCAACCAAGGGGTTCCGAGTCGATTCGGAAGACTGCATGCTCAACATGTCAGTTTGTGACAACAACAAATTCAAGTTGGTCGCTGTATTCTCGATAATCTTAACAAATGAAACTATCAGGTCTCGGCTAACGAAAAGTTTGTTAACAACCAGCACTACAACGGGCAGGCAGCATTTCTTACGAGTACTGAATGCGGGGTGACTTCTGCTAGAAAACTCATACGAGAGAGTACATCATGGTGTCAAATTCAACTAGCATCGAAGGAAAGCCTGCTACAGAAAATGTAACCTCGTTCGCACAAAATAAAACCTAGTAAAAACACTATTAAAGGTTATCGGCTGCTTAGCCCCCTAAGCTTCAACGCATAATCAAACATCCTCCGTCCGCCAATCCAGGTTCCGTACGCAAGGCTAGGTAGCAGGATGCTCATGCCTAGACTAGCACTCAGCAAGAACCCTCGCTCGAAGAATCCCAAACTACTGTTCCCGGGTTGCTTCGTTGGCTGCAGCGGCGTGAGGGCCAGCACGTGCAGGTTCTGTGCCGTCACGGCGCCGGAGCCGGTGAGAAGCTGTTCGACCTTTTCGAACGCGCCAGAGGGCCGCTCGATGAACTGCGGCCGGGCAACGGAGAACATGTCCTTGCTGTAGCGGAAGGCAAAGACCGGTTCGTGCGAGATTGGCGCCGCGGGTCCGAGGAGGAGGTTGGATGGGATTTGGTTGACAAAGGAGATGTGTGCGGGCAGGTGTTGGGCGAGGTACTTTGCCTCCTCGGGGCCGGCGAAGAAGTAGGCAGCAAGTAGCGGGTTCCTACTTGTCATGTCAGGCGTGAAATTACCCTCCTGGGCGAGGTCTGACTTACTCGAACTCTCGGGTGTAGATGGAATCTACAAGTCCAGAGGACGTCGCGATGGGCAAGAAGCGGCCGCTGATCTTGATATCCAATAGCGGAGCGCTCCTGATATTGTCAGTATTGTATACTAAGCAAATAGTTTTGTACCGGAAGTGTGAGTTTGAGCGTACTTATTCTTAATATCGACCAGCTTGAAATCCTTGGATCCAAAGCTCGAGACCAACCTCTTGTCCTCGGCCTCCTGAACAACCCTCCTGGTCTCGTCGCTCGAATTTTCACTCGTACGTCTGACACTTGTCTCCCGCGCGAACGCGAGCGTCGCGTGCTTGGAGCATGCCTCGAAGAAGTCCTTCTTGACAAACTCATTGACAAGAACTAGGTCGGGCGCGTAGGGCGACTGACCGCTGAAGCCGAAGCGCGCCGCTGTGATGGCCTTGGCAGCAACCTCAACGTCGGCCGTCCGGTCGACGACAGCGACGGTACGGGCGGCGTTGGCCGAAACGAGGTTGTTTGCGCGGACTGCAGGAACTGGAGATCTGTTGGTCTGGTCTACGAGGATCGCTTGCTCAAGAAGATCTGCATCTGTGATCTTCTTGGTGATGCAAAATGCGTTTTGGTTAAGGGCGCGGGGGAGTACGTCACGGAGGACCGTATCGAGTTGCAAAAGAGAGTCCTCGAGCTATTGATGATTTATTATCAGCTTTTGATCTAGGGCATCCTGAGCATTCGTCGTAAACATACCTCAAGGGCTACGACGGACCCAGCAGCCAGAGCTGCTGCAAGGGGACACAAGATGGAGAAGAGTCGGGTGTGAGTGGTCGGTCTGATAATCACCAGCCCGGCACCGGTTCTCCTGCTCGCGTTATCCTTGCCGTGAGCCACGAGATACTCCGTCTCAAGCTCCTTTTTAAAGTCGAGCGACCCGTAAAAGTGCCTTACAGCCTCTAGTGTCAGGAAATGTTCTGCCTCAATCTCCGCCTTGGAAGCATCCGTGTCCTCCTCCTGGGCTGCGGTGAGGGCCGAGGATTCTTTGCGCAGCTCGTTGTGAAGGCTGAGGAGGTTGTCCTGGCGGAATCGAATGCCCTCGGCGCGCCCGTCGACGAGGGTGTCGAGCAGGTTCTCAATTGCAGAGTCCATCGCGAGGATACAGTTGCTCTACGAGCGGGTAAGATGAGGATTGGGTGAAGAGGAACGAAGATGTGTGTTGAAGTGAGATGAGATCGCAACGACTGGGGGCCAGGGACGAAGAAGTGTTATGCAATACGATGCGATGCTGTACTATCTACATGTTCCGAGCTCAACGTTGCCTGGACTCTCGATGAACTCCCGACGAACCGGCAGCCCAAACAGCTGTCCGCGGACGGTGGAGGGGATAACTTTCGTTTGAGCTAGGCCAGCGGCTCTGGGCCCTGGGAGGGGCGGAATGTGGAGGACAGGGGGGTACCTATGATACCTACGTTGCACCAGCTAGGGGAAGAAACGCTTACTCTCCGCACTTCCGACGCTGAGGGGGGGCGGGCGCGGCTCCGCAGGGTCAATGGTCGGCATATTGAACGGGTTGTCTCCCACACTTGCTTTGGTTTTTTGAGATGGGCATTTGCAAGCTTGACGTGAAGGCTTTTCGACACCAGGCTTTCATCGAGAACAATCCAGGCCTCGCCCGTTTCATCTTCACAAGCCAAGACAAAACCGCTCAGAATATCCAAAATGTCAGCAACGGTCACGGAGAACCCTGTCACATCGACGATCCAGCAAGACTACTTACACGACTACCAAATTCGCCTCACGGGGGGGATCGAGGAAGCATTCGCCCGACGCAACGAGGACGCGCCGGCGCCAGCGGCCGAGTACCCGCCCGGATGGTACGACCAGCATCGTCAGGTTCCTCCTTATAGACCCGTGAACAGGAATTTGGACCTCGCGGACAGGCCGTGGGGTTCGAACGGCATCGAGTCGACATTCGTATATCTCATGATGAACGGCTGCTGGCTTCAAGGGGTGAGTCAAAGACACGGAAAGCAGCCAACACCTGCAAGACAACATTTCTGACGCGGCCATTGATAGATTGCTAGCTGGCTCTGGAGGGGAACGGGCGAGAGAGTTAACAAGAGCTTTTTCAGAGCCAAAGTTGGTGGTGAGATTTGATGCTTGGGACAATGATATTATCGATGACAGAATCCAAATGGCGGTACTGGGCGGAATGTTGGGTTTACTACACTAAAGGTGCTCTCCATAACATACCCCCAAGGTCATCATGGTTATTCGATTCGTTGCAACAGAGCTGCTAGTTGTGCTGTGACGAATTGCTGCAAGCGGTAGACTTGATACTGCCAGTAGCACTAGGCGAAAGGATGAGACTTACACAAGCTCGCTACCTAGGTAGGCATTGCTGACGGAAACCCAAATGCAAATGCACTAACCTCCCATTGTCCCCTCGTGTCCCGAAGCTTGTATTGCTGCTTGCTGGAGTGTCGCGGGTAGGTGCCGTGGTTGCTAGCCTTACCTAGCAACCTAGGTACCTAGAGGTAAGTAAGTGTAAGTAGGTACTTGGGTACATAGACGTGCCACGTCCGCTGGGGTAAGCAAGCCCGCCCCTCCCCCACCCTCCCGCCCGTGCGGAACATAACAGAGTTGAGGGGAGGGAAGGAGGGGTCCGATCATCGTCCACATGCATCAATCGCCCTCGGTAACTTGTCGTCATCGAAGAAAGCGAGGTATCACTATCCAAGAAGAAAGCCCCGTGCAATAAAACCCAGACAGTCCCGTTCAGTAACGGATCCTTTCGCATTGAAACGAGGCAGACCCCCACAACCTATGCTAGACACAGCTCAAAGGAAAACATGTCCGTCAAGACCCCTCCCATCAAAGACCTCCTCGAGATCACTGAGGATACCGAGAATGGCCTCACCTTTATGAAGAATGTGTCGATACCCCTCAAGGACTCGCCTTTCCCCATCCGCGCAAACGTCTACCTTCCGCTCACCGCGGACAAGGGCACCCGCTACCCCGTGTTGGTGACCTACGGGCCCTACGGCAAGGACATTCCCTATGCATCATTCTTCCCCAAGTCGTTCAGCGAGGTCAGCCCGGAGCAGAAGTCCAAGTACTCGGCCTGGGAAACACCCGATCCCGTCTTTTGGACGAAACAAGGCTATGCCATCGTCCGCGCCGACGAGCGCGGTCTAGGCCAGAGTCCCGGCCTGCTGGACACTATGAGCCGCGGCACGAGCGAGTGTTTCTTTGACGTTGTCGAGTGGGCAGCGGACCAGGAATGGTCTACTGGCAAGGTCGGCCTCTTGGGTATTTCATACTATGCCGGTACGTTTACCTTCTCTTCAGAGAAGAACCGTCGAAACATGTGGCTTACGCTGTAGTCAGGTTCTCAATGGCGTGTCGCCGCTCGCAGGCCCAAGGGACTCGCTGCTATCATCCCCTGGGAGGGCATGTCGGATTACTACCGTGACCGCTGTCGTCATGGAGGGATCTACTCCAATAAGTTCATCGGTGTCTGGTGGAACCGCCAGGTCCTCGTTAACCAGTACGGGCGGAAAGACAGATCTCGGCTACAATTCCCGCCTGACGGCCCTGGCGCGAGAGGTCAGGAGGACACTATCGAGGGTGATCTGCCGGACGACGTCCTCGTCGCGAACCGCAAGGACCAGACCAAAGACAATGAGCTCAATCGCTTCCGCGACGACGAATACTATGCCAGCAAGGAGTACAACTTGTCAGACATCGAGGTTCCCGTTCTGAGCGTTGCCAACTGGGGCGGTATCCTTCTTCATCTCCGAGGCAATGTGCAGGGTTACCTTGGGGCTGGCTCCAAGCTGAAGTACCTCCGTTTCATTACGGGTCGCCACGACCTCCCCTTCTACTATCCCGAGGAGGTCGAGCTACAAAAAAGCTTCCTAGACGCCTTCCTTAAGGGCGAGGATCGCGTCGGCTGGAGCACGCCTGGCAAGGTGCCTCCGGTGACGCTTACACTGCGAAAGGGCAACGTTGGCTTTAACGATGCTGAGAAGGAGAAGGCGTACCCCAAGAGAGATGAGACTGCCTGGCCCATCCCGCGCACAAAGTACACAAACTTCTATCTGACACCAGACCTCGGTCTCACTACGAGTGGATCCAGCACCGAACCCAAGATTGTCTCTTACAAGGCTCTGGGCTCGTTGGACAACCAGCAGGCCGTCTCCTTCACGACTGCGCCCTTCGAGCAAGAGACCGAGGTAACGGGCCACGTCACCGCTCACCTTAACGTCTCAGTAACGCCCGATAATGCTGATAACGAGACCGATATCGATCTGTTTGTCACTTTGCGGCACATTGACGCAAACGGCCAGGAAATATATTACACGGGCACGGCCGGCGATCCCGTCCCGCTGGTCAAGGGCTGGCTGAGAGTGAGCAACCGCAAGATACACGAGGAGGACCCCAGACACAAGTCCTGGCTGCCACACAGGGAATACCTCTCAACTGACGTCCAGCCAGTCAAAGCTGGCGAAGTTTACGGCGTGGACATTGAGATATGGCCGACGAATGTCGTTGTCGACAAGGGTAACAAGCTTGTTTTCGAAGTCAGCAGCGGCGACACACAGGGCAGTGGTATTTTCCAGCATTGCTCCGAAGTCGACAGGTAAGCTTCATGGGTTCTGGCACTCTTTGAAGACCATATGCTGACCACCACTCCCAAGGCCTGCGTCCAAGTTCGGAGGGCTGAACAACATTCATTTCGGGCAAGGCTTTGAGAATTTTGTTACCTTGCCTGTAATTCCGCCAAAATGAGAAGAAGACGAGAGGTCACCCGCTGCGTAGTCATCTGCAGCGTGTTCGGTACCGTGCCGTGAATCCTTGCCGAGTGCGAAGCGAAGCTGAGCTCCGAGCAGTTGAACCGAGCCTCCTACGTACCTGGGTGGATAAGGGGCCAGAGGACGGGGCCGGTGGGGGTGGGGGGACAAGGTGGGGGAGGGGAAGGGGAGCGTAGACTCGTGATAGGCAGTAAGCGAGCGAGCTCCTTCAGAGTTTCGCCATGAAAGTGTTAAGCGACACAGGCTGTCGCAACGCACACTCTTAAGACAGAACGCACACTCTTAAGACAGCTGTGTAATTCAGATCCTTTCCATGAGCGAGCCTTTTCATTGCAAACCGTCATCCACCATGAGCTTCTCCGAGCACTTCTCCATTGCCAACATTCCCTATGGGATTGCGAGTACTCCAAAGCGTCCACGAGGTGTAGCGACGAGAGTCGAGGACTCTGTCATCTTTCTCGCAGACCTGGACATCGAGGCTTCCGAGCAAATCAAGTCCGCATTGTCCCAGGTGGGCCCCCCACTCCTTCGACACCCAAGTAGCAAGAGGATGTTGACCACCACTGTAGCCGACTCTTAACGACCTGATAGCTGTGGAGAAGACTGAACTCCAGCTCCTCCGGAGGAACATCCAGAGGCTGCTGTCCGACAAGTCCACGTTATCGAAGCATGGAGTACCCGTCAACGTGGTCCAACTGCACTTGCCTGTTAAGGTCTATGGATTCACTGACTTCTCATGCTCAATGCAACACATGCTGAACGCATCGGAGGCCGTCATGGGAAAGGCCGAGATGCCACCAGCGGCGCCCTATCTACCCATTGGCTACAGCGGCCGACCATCTTCCATTGTCGTTTCGGGAACGAGTATCACTCGGCCATATGGCCAGTATCGAGACGGGGACCGAATTAGCTTCGGCCCAACGCGAGCGCTGGACTACGAGCTGGAAGTAGCTTGCATCATTGGCAAACCGACGAAACTAGGAAAGAGAGTATCCGTATCAGATGCTGACGAGCACATATTTGGCCTTGTGCTTTTGAACGACTGGAGTGGTAGGTTTCAAATCACCTTGGCGGGGTTCATATGACTAATAGTGACAAGCTCGGGATATTCAGGGTCTCGAGATGAATCCTTTAGGCCCGTTGAATGGCAAGTCTTTCGGGACATCGATTAGCGCCTGGGGTAAGTTATGCCCTGTAAAGTTTCGTGTCTTGGTGACCCGCCACTAATCGGGAGTCTCGTGTAAGTGATCACGCTCGAAGCGCTCGAACCGTTTGCGACACAGCCGCCAGCGAAGGGCGTGCCCGCACAGCCATACCTCGCAGACAAGAAAGAGAAATCGAGTTACAAGATTGAACTAAAGGCCGAGGTATTGACAGGTGGCGAGGCCACGACGGTCTGTCAAGCCCAGCTCAGCTGGATGTCCTGGACGTTCCGAGACCTTGTGGCTCAGCAGACGATCAACGGGTGCAACCTGAACACCGGCGACTTATTGGCGACAGGAACAGTGTCAGGGACCGGCGACAACGAGCACGGTTGTCTGCTTGAGATGACTAAAGGCGGCAAAGTTGGATGGAAAACGAGCGACGGTCAGGACAGGACGTACTTGAAGGATGACGATGGTGTACGCATCAGTGGGTACGCAGGCGGCGGTGTGGGATTTGGTGAGTGTGTGGGATTCATCGATGCCGCCCTGCCGTTCTGAATCGTCAAGGAAGCCGATTCGTGAGACGAGCAACCGTAGTTGGTGTCAAGGGGCTTAGGTGCCTAGGGAGGAGGGTGTAATGCATGTAGGGAACGGATAGCTCTGAGCTGGCTTGGGTGGGTTTGTAGAACCCTCGCCTCAAAGGCGTGTATTGAAATGAAACTGCGGCAGCGCGTGGGCGAATGAATGAATGTAAGGCGCGAAGGGTGGTGAGAGATGGAGGTTGAGTATTAAAATAGTAACCAGCAGTACTATTAGATATACCTTCCCATGGATCAACTCGGTTGCTTTCCCTTCTCCTCTTGTCGGCTTCTTCTTGAGGTCATGGGTGTCTAGAGTTGTTTGGAGCCGGCTATACGGATACTTTGCTCTGTGAGACGTCTATACTAAGCAGTCTTGGTTGCGGTGTCGGCAAGTTCGGTGCAGGTCGGGGCCCACTTTCCCGAGGTTTATGCGCACGAATCAAGGGCGATCGGAAGAAGGTACCTACGTGCGTGCACGGACGTGTGGGAGTGCCGCCGCCCCCTGACGGGAGCGCAGTGCAAAGTGAATCGCAGAGCGCATGCCCAGGGTTTGATGACTAGATGCGCCAATGCTGTTTCCGCTAGCCGCAGAAGCTCCACTCCGCTAGTCGCTCACAGTTGGATAGCTGCGCGCTCCTAGAGACCCAGCCGGCACATATTGCTACTTGAAGGCGGTGTCGTCATTCATTCGAGCAGGGTTATAATTACTATTCAATCTGGAAGAAGGGGAAGAATTCGGATAATGACAGGAGAAGATACAAGGTCGCAAGGAAAAGATGGGCAGAGTTTCATTCAGCCTACAGTCCTACAGACACACGGACAGCGGCAATGACGACGGGCATGGCCGAGGCGGTCAACGGTCATCGAGCATGTACTGTACACGAGGACATTGCAGGTGGCATGTGGTTGTGTGCACATGTTGTCTGTCTCTCTTCTGTGCGCGTATGTGTATGCATGTGCATGTGGCAGTAGGACCCATCTACATACACTACCGTACCGTACCTAGGTAGGTAGGTACTTACACGTACGTAGTAAGTATTCCTCATAGTAGCGCAGCCAAGTCTTCCAGTCCGTTCAACCGTGGTGGTTCCGGGCTACTATCGGCGACAAAAATTTTCTTATCGCACCCATTATCGGACGAGTTTGCAGGGGTAAGAGTATCTGTACTGGGCTAACAACCATCTGGCACATGTTCCTGAATCCCGCGTGGAGCCAAGCAAAAAACGAGCAGGGGAAAGGAAAAAAAATCTACTCTGACGCCAGATGGCTGATGATTCCGAAAAACGGACTGCCAGGTCCTTGGAATTGACTCAGGTCATCCATCCCGCTGTTTCTGGTACTGTCTCTCGGAAAGTCCATGCATGGACAGAGAGTACTGCGTATACTACCTACTGGTCTCCCTCCTGATACCGTCTTAGTCTGTTCCCTCATCTGAGACATACTGAATCATTCTTCTCTGCATTCTCTTACTTGCCGCGTGCAACCAAGAAAGAAGGAGACAAGATACCTAAAAGGGGAAGAAAAAAAACCAGTGGCCGGCTGCAGTGAAGAAGCTTTTTTTTTTTTTCCGTTTGTAGACGGATACAGCGTGACGAACTTCCCCAGATCGGACCCTCCCAATTCCCAGTTCTGCCCCAACCTTGCTCCTTTTCCTTCCCCCTCTTTCCCTCAGCCCTCCTATCCTTCGAGTATCGTCCTTGTGAACCCCCTGTATTTCATATCGTAAGAAGAACGACCGAAAGGCTGGAGAGACAAGGAACCGCGCTAGGTACTCGCCGACTTAACCCCCCGGCCCACGTCGGCTAGAGCGCAATCTTATCGCGACCGCACCAACCTCCTTCGCGGGATAGCAACCCACAACCCACACGAGGGCCACACAGTCACCTCACCCTCACCGAGCGAGCACCCTTCTCCTCTTTCTGTAACGAGACACAGGAAGACGTAACCTACAGACTATTCCTGCTGCGCCCGCGCCTCCCAATCCCTCTTCAGCTTTTCCTTCTTCTAAGCACCCGCCCATCATGAGCAAAGCAGCGGTTGTCAAGGAGGCCGTCAAGGAGGCCGTCAAGGAGAGCCTCCTTGGTGCTGAGGAACCCGTCCAGCTGTCGGCGCAGACCAAGGCGAGGTTCATCGCCAACGCCGCCAAGGACGAGGCCACAGGAGAGCTTTTTATGGGCCCTGAGGAGTTCACCAAGGCCGTTGCGCCCGAGAATGAAGACTTCGTACGTCTGGATTTTCCTTTGTGTGTGCTTGTGTTTGTTGCGTCTCCTTCTCGCTGTCTCCGGCCCAGGAGGCGCACAAGCCAGCTTCAATGTCCTTCGATGGCTCACGCGACCGGTTTTGCTAACTCTACGGGCCCGCGACTAAGCACAAAATCAAGCGGGAACAGTATGGCATCCTGTTCGGCGTTGCCGACCGAAAAGGCGTTGGCAAGATCACCCTCTCCGAGTGGGCCGCGTTCGAGAACCTGTTGATGAAGCCTGATGCCGAGTACGAGATAGCCTTCCGCCTCTTCGACGTCGACAGGACCGGCAACGTCAAGTACGAGGACTTCCGAAAGCTCTACGAACTCAACAAGGGTCCCGACAGCATCCCCTTCGACTGGGAATGCGAGTGGGCCAAGCTGTACATTGGTAGCAAGAAGAAGCGCCACCACATGGACTACCCCCAGTTCTCCCAGATGCTGCGCGGCCTACAGGGCGAGCGCATCCGTCAGGCTTTCCAGCTCTTCGACAAGGATGGAGATGGCTTCATCGACCCGGAGGACTTTGAGCGCATCATCCTCGAGACCTCCAAGCACAAGCTCTCCGACCATTTGCTTGAGAACCTGTCGACCCTATGCAACATCTCCCTCGGCAGCAAGGTGTCATACGCCAACGTGCGCGCGTTCCAGAACATGATTAAGGAGATTGACCTGGTCGAGCTCATTGTGCGCCGTGCCTGTGCCAAGAGCCCAGACGGCAAAATCACTAGGACCGAGTTCCTCAACCAGGCCGCCAAGATCACTCGATTCTCCCTTTTCACCCCCATGGAGGCCGACATTCTCTTCCACTTTGCCAGCCTTGATGAGCCATCAGGCCGCCTTGGTTTGGGCGACTTCGCCAAGGTGCTCGACCCTTCGTGGAGAAACGCCATTTACGATGCGGACGATGCGGCCTCGCGGGCGCTGGCCAAGAGTGCCACGGCGTCCAAGGCCGTCCTCACCTCCATCCTCGAGTCGGCGTACAACTTTGGTCTGGGCAGTATGGCGGGCGCTTTTGGCGCATTCATGGTTTACCCCATTGACCTCGTCAAAACGCGGTTGCAGAACCAGAGAAGTGCCAGGCCGGGAGAGAGGCTGTACAAAAACTCGATCGACTGTTTCCAGAAGGTGTGGAGGAACGAGGGCCCTCGAGGCCTGTACTCAGGTGTCGTGCCGCAGCTCATTGGTGTTGCCCCTGAGAAGGCCATCAAGCTGACCGTGAACGACATCGTGCGTGCGTACTTCACTAATAAGGAGGGCAAGATATGGTATGGCCACGAGATTCTTGCCGGTGGTGCGGCTGGTGGTTGCCAAGTTGTGAGCCTCCCCTTTCACCCAATGATGCATTGAATCTGAAAGAAGAGCCGCATGCTAATGTTGCGTCCCCCAGGTCTTCACCAACCCCCTCGAAATCGTCAAGATTCGCCTCCAGGTTCAGGGCGAGGTCGCCAAGACGGTCGAAGGAGCTCCTAGAAGGTCAGCCATGTGGATTGTGCGTAACTTGGGCCTTGTTGGTCTCTACAAGGGTGCCTCTGCTTGCCTGTTGCGCGACGTTCCCTTCTCGGCCATTTACTTCCCCACGTACAGCCACTTGAAGAGGGACTTCTTTGGCGAATCCCCCACCAAGAAGCTCGGTGTCCTCCAGCTGCTGACTGCAGGTGCCATTGCCGGTATGCCCGCCGCCTACCTCACGACTCCCTGCGATGTCATCAAGACCCGTCTCCAGGTCGAGGCCCGCAAGGGAGAGGCCACCTACACGGGTCTCCGCCACGCCGCCAAGACCATCTGGAAGGAGGAGGGCTTCCGCGCCTTCTTCAAGGGTGGCCCTGCGAGAATCTTCCGCTCCTCTCCCCAGTTCGGCTTCACTCTTGCCGCCTACGAAGTCCTGCAGAACGTCATCCCTTACCCCGGCAAGCCCGAGAGCTCCAAGGTCCATACGGGCGTCGGCGATGCCGTTTCTACCCTGAAGAAGAACCTCGATACCAGCCCCTTCGCCCGCAGCCGCAACGCCCTCAAGATCATTCTCGACATTGACGAGGACTTTGGCAAGGTCAAGGTTCCGAACCAGGAGAGTTGGAAGAAGCTGCCCGCCTTCATGCAGACCAATGGAAACGGCTCTTCATGAGCAGGCTGAACTCGAAAAATCGGATAGCCCGGTGAAAAATAACCAGAGTAAGCCTCATTATGCTTAGCTGGATAAAAGTCAAGTGTTCAAAGTCACAGTTCGCAAGAATCGCATATATGGCCGGGTATTACAAAAGTTGTAGAGCAATAAACCCAAGACGGAGACAGAGAAAGTCCTCTGGGGCCGATCAAGCAAAAGTCGGGTGGCAGACATCTTTGCAAATTGCAGATGGTAAGAGAAGAGAGACTGCATATTCCCCCGGACGGCGTTCAGGGGCAGGCATACAAAGGGTCTTGAGGCATTTTTTCTTCCTTTTTGTTTTGTTGTCTTGTTTTTTTTTTTTCTTGGTTGCATTTTTGTTTACCTGCTCTATGCCCTGCGTGCGGCCTTCTTCTTTCTTGGTTATAAAGTAGATGGTCTTTCTGCAGTTGCAAAGCTGTTTAGCATAGTCTGCTTGGTGCCGCTGCCAGTTGCTGCAACATTGTACACATGTCGTTGGTCATTGGTAGAAATCCTAGACTATCGTTACCTCTTGAAGGAAGTTTTGGGGCAGTTTTTCTGTCCTAGATAGATATCTATGCTGTAATCAGAATGTTGTCCTTCCAGGACCTGGCGTCTTCCCGTGGTTCAACATACTCCTCTAGTGCAAAGTGTTGACATAGACTTCGAGCAAGATACTAAGTGTTCAGGCGTGGCTCAAACAAGACACTCGCATACGTCTATGGTCTCTAGACGCTGATCGGTGTAGAGAATATATTTCAACGCAGGTATGGTCTAGTCCAGTCTCTGATGTTCCTCATCATCCCCTTGGAGAAGCGAGTCCCTCTCGTCGACCTTGCCCTCAGAGCCGCGGTACAGAATGTAGTGCTGCGTCATGAACATAACGTCGTACACCATGGAGACGTTGCCTAGCGCAAACTTAACAGGGTTGCCCGTGATGCCGGACCAGTCGCGCTGCAGGTACGAGTCAATGGCCTGCTGGCTCACAGACAATAGACCGCCGGAGAAGTCGAGCAGAATCTGCCAAATGGACCAGCCTTTGGTCGACTTGTTGCGGTAGTTGACCATGACCTGCGGCGTGTACTTGATCAGGGTGACGACGAGCTTGACGTAGGAGACGGCGTAGACGACGTCGAGGGCACACCAGCTCGTGCGTGGGTCACCGTCGCCCGGGGCAGCAGCAACAATGAAGGCAACGCAGACAACGCCGACGACGCAGCCGAAGGCGATGCCCGAGATGAATCGGCTCGGCTTCGTGCCGTGGGCCGGCGCGAAGCCCCAGAGCTTGGGGATGTACTGGGAGGTGGTGATGCAGGAGAGAAGAAGGGCGTGAGCAGCGAAGGTAATGTCGTTGAAGGCGACGGTCGGTGTCAGGCCATGGTTGCGCGCGGCGTACTGAGAGCGGACGACGGGCGAGTAGTAGAAAGCGGTGTTGGATACGAAGTAGGCGAGGAAGCCTATGATGGCGTAGTTGGTCAGCAATCGGGCAGCAGTTGCTAAAGGCAAACAGAACAGGTCTTACCTAGGCAGTTAATCAGGGGGAAGTCAACCGTCGTGCCGGCCGTGGATTTCCTGTGAAGGTTGAGGAGAGGCTGCGGGTAAAAGGAGCCGGACCAGCAGAGGAAGTAGATCCAGCCGAAGACGGCGGAAAGAAAAGGGAGGAATTCGAACGCCATGGTTGCCAGGCTCTCGATATGGAACTGGCCAGGCGTTGCAAAGAGCCAGCGGGTGTCTATTTGTTTTACGCCGCCAATAACTGTCCTTCTCACGAAAACCCTTCAGTCAGCCAGCCAACCTGTAGGGTTCGTAGGTTGCGTAAATGGGGTGTGAAGGTCGCAAAGTGCCAAATGAGATACTCACGCGATTGCAGCGTGGGGGTGACTGCGGCCAGTTGCGCCTTAGTGCCATTGCCGCGCTATGTCGGCACGGGCCCGCCCAACGTCCAAGTCACAAGCCCCACCTGCAATGACGCTGGGCTGCTTGGGCCGCGCCAAAAGCAGCGGCTAGCCATGGCCGGTAGCAATGTTACGGTGGGGCCAGGGTCTAAGAGGGGCACCCGATTGAAAAGACCCCGCCCGTGGTAGAATTGGGTTCGGTGTCGTCACCGTGGGGTGCGATGTCGCCATTGGCCGGAGTCGAGGGGCCCCTATGTATGTTGCTTCAGAACCGCGTGACTGATTGCTTTAGATGAACAACGAGCCCGAGACCATAGTTCCGGGAGGGGGGGGGGGGGGGGGGGGGTTCTTGGTCATCTGTCGCTCAGGCAATGCTGGAATGTCGAGACTGAGTGGTTGTTACTGAGATAGTTTCGTTGACGAAGGGCTCTGGGACTGATGACGATATCGGTCAGCCTAAGCAGCGCATTCAAACTCACACCGTTGAATTTTGTCGTCATTCTCAACAGGCGAGGCCCTCCCGCCGCCATCAGCGCCGCGGCGCATCACGCCCTCGAGCCAGCGAACATACTCCTTAAATCCGGTGATGCTCCCATAGACCTTAACGTCCCTGACGCCGCGGACGCCTTCGAAAACCCGCAACGTGGCGTGGTCGGCCCCCTGGAACACGGCCTGCCACACTTCAATGATGAGTTCTTCGACGCCGCTGAACGCTGCTGCCGCGGCGCTGGCGTCAAAAGCCGGGTCGCAGTCAAGCCGCACGCGGATGTGGAAGCGGCGGATGTGCTGGAGCACCGAGCGCTCCCGTATGGGTGGATACCAGGGCCGCAACCGCGGGAAAGAGGCGAGCAGCGTTGTGTGCGCCAGGAATATGTTTTTGGAATAGAGGATGGCTGTGCCCTCGGCCTGAGTTTGTCGGCTCGCGGCGAGAATGGCTGGGTGTAACCGTATTACAGGCCGGGCCTTATTAAGTTTGTCGATAGGAGGGTGAAGAAGGAGATGGGTGTAGATATCAAGCCGGATCTCGAGCGGAAGGTCGAGGAACTGACATCTTGAGGAAGCCATTTGCGGCTATTATAAGGATTCTGCAGAGCAATTATAAGTAAGCCTCGTACATCAGTCTGTGGGCATTGCTGAAAACCTGAAATGTGAAGGGGAAGGTTGAAGTGTAGATGGAATTCTATCTGTCCGATGAATAAACCTCGCTACTTTGGAGAAGCAGAGATAAGACATGACCGGTTCATGCATGAGCTGATCGGTCATCGGTGGTGAAGCCCCGACTTAGCGCCTTTGACGCATCAGATCAGCCTCCTCCAATGAGACCGGGCCAACGGGCAAGCCGTTGTTGATCAGGCACTTGCCACTCCTACAAGATGACAGTTGCCTATCATTAGCAACAGTTTCAACTCGAACCGTGTCAGTACAAATGAGAAGCAGGAATTTAAATCAACACCAGGTCATGCAGCCCCCCGCCGGAAAAGTACAAACAAGCCAGCCTACTTGAATAGCCTGAGCGAGGTGTCATGAATGAAAGTAGACTTGTCATGCGGATAGAACGGCAGAGCATGCGTTTTTTTTTTCTACGCTAGAAAGAGCTTGACAAATCGATGGAGGCGTCTCGTGGACTTCTGCTCAAGTTGTCGCTTTCGCATGGGTGAAGTTAATTCAGTGGGAAAGCCTTACGATTCTGGATATGGCAATCCAAACCACACATCGCTGTCTCGTTTAAGATGTCTAGAACATTTCTATTTTGTTCTTCTACCTAGCGCGTGTGCCCATCATATCGCTATATCCACAACGACGCCCGCTTACATGCTCCGGCGTTAATCATACTATACAGTTGATAGGCCCCAACGCAAACCGAAAGTATGCAAGTTTGCGCCCTGTAAGAAGGGCAGTGATCCGGGTACGCTGCCCAGACAGTGGGAAATATCGGAAATTATGTCGTGCGTCGTCCGCTAGGACATGGTTAATTCAGGGAAGTATCTTGACAGCTTGTTAGGATGTCCAAATTCTGTCCTGTTCTGATTTTGGTCCTCAAGAACCAGTGACTCAGTGTCACTGTCGACATGGGGAGAAACTTGCTCTGGCGCAGTCCGTTTCACCTTGATGTTTCCCTGCACCGTAGGCCGTGATGTGTTGATTTGCGCGCTCGAAATGCTCAAGATCGATCTCGAATCTACCGGCGTTGACACCTCGTGAAGCTGGCTGGGTGACCGCGCCTTACCGGTGAAGCCAGGCTCTGGCGTGTGGTTACGAGAGACGCCGAAAGGGATGGTTGGACCAAGGTTCTTTTTCGAAGTCTCAGGACTAGGCAACGCCGTTGCCGCTGGGCTGAGTAGCGATGAGATTTTCTCATTCGCCATCAACCCCTTCGTCTGAACGAAGGCACTGGATCTGGCGTGATATGGACTTCGGTCGTAGTACTTATCAATAATCGGATGAACCATGACGGTTTGATTATGGATTGTTAGAATTGAGTTGGTAGGGACGTTCACCCAATTTTCTATGAAGGGGTCAGCATATGCTCAGATTTTCACCCATGTATTCCTCCCGAAACGTACCTCTTTCAAAAGTCAGTGGCTCGCTCGCGACCAGAACGATATCGGCACCTTTATCTTGACGTTCCATTTGGTAGTTTCGATCGCTGACAGCCGATGTCCTCGTTCCCCATTCAGTTCCGGACGAGTAGTACAGGCTCGCCGCCTCGTCCGTCGCGCTGCTGATATAGCGTGTGCAAATCACACTTTTACCGTCCGTAACGGCGAAATTGAGCAAGCTCCGAGTGTCGACGTTCTCCGACTGAATTGTGCTCTCCGGAATACCATCGATCAGCTCGTTGATGATGACTATGGTCTTGAGCATAGTCTTCCTCAACACCGTAGGGCCGAAGCCGTTGGCAGGTTGTGAGCTAGGGTCAAGCCCCATCCTTTCAAGAGTGTCAAGGAACAAGGCAAACGCCCATTCACTGTCTGTCCCACCTTGGACACCCAGGTACCACTTGTCGGCCAGCCTCTCTCCAAGTCTCCTTTTAATGTATTTCCAACCTCCTAGGCCTCCATTGTGCATCCACATCAAACTGCCGTGGCAAAACGGATGGCAATTATCTTCGCTCAGCGACCCCTCGGTCGTGGCCCGAACATGGGCAAATATGAGTTGTGATGCGGTCTTGGAGGCGATTCTCTGGAGGTTGGTGCAGTTCCATGCGGGAATCGTCGATGTAAAGAGACAAGGGGCGTGGCCCAACTTGGAGTCGGTATAGAAGCCGATGCCAAAGCCATCAGCGTTGTTCTGACCTCTTCGAGTGTCCTAAGCGACCAGCCAACGTTCGTCAGTAACGTAGATGCCTGAGTAGCGGGAACGGGTTCCATAGACCTACCAACCTGAGCCTAGAATCGAATGATTGCTTCAATATGGAGTGAGTCGGGTCAAGGATAAGCTTGGAGAGAAGAATCTCATCACTTCCCCGGTAGACCTTGGCGAAGTCAGCAATTATTCCAGTTTATCCAGCAACGTGAAACCTACCAGGAATCGGCACATGTTGGCTGCGTTGGATGATTTTGCTAGAGGAGCGGACAGACAGGGAGGGAGAGAGAAAGAGATAGAAAGATACTCCGTAGACGCTGCGGTGGTGGGTGGTGCGGATTGGTCCGACAGTACGTGACTCTATTTGTATCACACGGACGACAGGCAGATGGGACGAAGAAGCATTCCGCAGAATGCAAATATTGTGAATAAGAGCTAGAGGGAGGTGGCGGCCAGATATTGTTTGTTTGATGAGCTATGGCGCGATCAGGAACCCCAGGGCGGTGGCGCAAGTTGGTAGGGATATTGATTGATGGAGCACGGAGTACCGAGTAAGGCCAGTTAGTACCTACATCAGCGGCGGATGATATGGGGGCTGATTCTGGGCCTACAGCAGCTGATATGTAGTCCGTGCTAGCAAAAAAGGAACAATGGAATGGCCGATTGCGCCGTTGTTCCGAGTAAGTGCTTCAAGGCGGCTTGGGCGCTTCTAGGTCTCGAAGATGTAAAAGCAGGCGTTCAATTTAGTACTGGTATGAATACGAACGGCTGGGATGACATTGCCAATTTTCCAACAGGCCTGGCTTGATTGGTGATGTTGTGCAACGCCATCAATGCTTTGAAGCTGTCAGTAACACGTATCGAGTTATCGAGGGCCCTGAAGTATGATGGCGATTGGTGTTTGGCAAATATGAGATAAATAAGCACTTATCCTTTACAAATACTCCGTATGTGCAGTATTAATGCATTAAGCCAAACTTCGGGGAGCAGCTGTCGACCCGCCGATACCAATTCATCACCCCTGAGCACGACTCGGAGACCGGCAGGCGATTGCATTACAGCGGTGTAAGAGCCACTGAGCTGAAGCCTAAGGTCACATACGCCTCTTGCTGGGTGGGGAGCCGTAGTGACAGACACCTAGGTACTTGCCTGCCCGGGGAAAGTAGGTAGGTACGTACGTCAATGTCGTCCCCACCACTGCAAATGGGCTCTTCATGCAACTCGAGAACCCGTTTGCATTCTTTACGTGGTTGATCCGGTCCATCCACGCCACTCCTGTTCGCGACATTTCCATCCCGACAGATTCTGGCGTCCGTGTTCCCCCGGCGGAACAGAAGCGCTGGAGACAAAACAAGAGCAACGAAAACATCAACAACAATAGTATCCAAATTTATCGAACACTACAATTCGGCATTTTCGCTTGCCTTTAGCTCTTGCATGCAAACAACCCATCACCGCTTTTCGCTCAACGCGCCTCGTGCTTCGCCAGCAGCATGAGCGGACGTCTCCTTGCCGCTGGGCTTTCGCCCTCAACGCGACGTGCCCCAGTCCAAGCTGTACGACACTTCCATCGATTTCCCGCAGGCGGGCTACAGCGAGCTGATGCAGCTATTCGGGCCACCCAGCGCCGTATGTGGTTTCCTGGCAATGCCTTCCACAATGCTGTCATCGTGCGGAACGCATCTTTCGCCCGCTTCCTGCCCAAGCTGGTTGTTAAGTTTGCCAGGATCCCCGCCATGTTTGGCGGCCTAGCTGTAGGAACACTCGCCTGGATTCAGTATCAGGCCAATCGTATGTCTATCCTATCCGAGTTTCCAACAACTAACTACTGACCGAATCATCTATAGAGATAACCAACAACGCCTGGGACATGGTCACCAAGACGGCAGACGGTGTTTCAGAGACTGCATCAAGCTTTTTTGGAGGCGCGAAGGGCATTGTAGACCAAACGATGCGCGGATGGGAAAACACGAAAGAACAAATCGAGACGCCCGAATGGTTGCAAAAGGTTTTGCGCATCCACGACGACATTGGAACTGGCGGTGGCGGTTCCGAAGGTCCCGGAGGGGAGCAGCCAAAACAGAGTAGAGCAGGTGCCGCTGTTGTGGCGGGAGGTTCGGCTGCAGCATATGGCTACGATCAATCTTCAGAGGACGACCCGCGAGAACCCGACGAGGTGGCCAGAGATGACCAAATGATGGTTCTGACCAAGAAGATGATTGAGATTCGGGGCATGCTCCAGCAAGTTGGACAATCGAGCACTCTGACACTCCCTTCGATTGTTGTGATTGGATCCCAATCATCTGGGAAGAGCTCCGTTCTGGAGGCCCTTGTGGGCCATGAATTCCTACCCAAGGGAACCAATATGGTCACTCGCCGGCCGATAGAGCTGACTCTCGTCAACACTCCTGAGTCGGAAGCCGAGTATGGCGAGTTCCCCGACTTGGGCCTCCGACGCATAACCGACTTTTCGTCCATTCAAAGGACATTGACTGAGCTCAACTTGGCAGTCCCCGATGCTCAATGTGTATCGGATGATCCTATCCACCTCACCATTTACTCACCCAACGTCCCAGACCTGTCTCTCATTGACCTTCCCGGATATATCCAGGTGGTAGGACAAGGCCAGCCGCTTGAGCTGAAGCAGAAAATTTCCGAACTCTGCGACAAGTACATCCAGCCACCCAATGTCATCTTGGCCATCTCTGCCGCCGACGTGGACCTAGCAAACTCGACAGCCTTGCGTGCCAGTCGCCGCGTGGATCCTAGAGGTGAACGAACCATCGGAGTAGTAACCAAAATGGACTTGGTGGATGCTCCTCGCGGTGCAGCTATATTGGGCGACAAGCAATACCCCCTCAGGCTCGGCTATGTGGGCGTTGTATCCAAAGTTCCACAAACTGGCGGCTTGTTCAAGCGGTCTGGCAGCGTCATGTCTGCCATTGCAAAGAACGAGAGCACATTCTTCTCAGCACACCCGCTCGAGTTCGGCGAAGGAGCAGGTGTCAGTGTAGGGACGATCAACCTGCGTAAGAAGCTCATGACGGTTCTTGAACAAACAATGTCTGCCAGTTTGGCAACCACCAGCGACGCCATTAGGCAAGAGCTCGAGGAGGCGACTTACGAGTTCAAGGTTCAATACAACGACCGGCCCCTGTCCGCCGAGTCTTATTTGGCGGAAAGTCTCGATGGCTTCAAGCACTCTTTTAAGCAGTTCACAGAGGAATTTGGGCGCCCTCAGATGCACCAGCTTCTTAAGCAAGAGCTGGACCAAAAGGTCCTCGACCTTCTGGCAGCTCGGTACTGGAACAAGCCCATTCAAGATTTGTCTCCTACCGGGCCTGAGCCGGACAGCTTGGCGGACCTGCCCAAGGCCGACCCGGACTCTCTGTACTGGCGCCGCCAGCTTGACGCCTCAACCTCTTCATTGACGAAACTTGGCGTTGGGAGATTGGCCACGACTGTCGTGGCATCGGCCATCCAAGCACACATCGACACGTTGATCAAGCACTCCACGTTTAGCAACCACCCGTTCGCTCGGGAAGCAATCAATGAAGCAGCCTCAACAATCCTAAACGAGAGATTCTACAGCACGAGCGACCAGGTCGAAAACTGTATTAAGCCTTACAAGTTTGAAATCGACATTGACGAGAGGGAATGGACCCAAGGTCGCGATCACTCGGCCGTTGTCTTGAAAAAGGAGCTTCAGGACTGTGAAGGTGCTCTGAAGAGTATCGAGGATACTGTTGGCGGTCGCAGGAAGTTAAGAGAGGTAATGAACTTTGTGGACCGTGCTCGTAAGGGAGAGATTGTGGTCGAGGGAGAAAGCCGGAGTGGCGCCGGAGGGTTCAGCGCTTCTCTCCTCAAAAGGGGTAAGTTCCAAAAAAGTTGCTCTCATGAACCATGATTACTGACGGTTGCCAGGACGTGAGGCTGTCTTCCTTCGAGATCGCGCCGATATCATCAAGATGCGCTTGATGGCAGTCAAGTCGAAGCAATGTGCCAACCTGAAGAACAAGTACTATTGCCCCGAGGTCTTCCTCGATGCGGCAGCCACAAAGCTCGCCTCGACGGCTGTGCTGTTCCTTAACGTGGAGCTCCTTTCGGAGTTTTACTACAATTTCCCGCGTGAGCTTGACCTCCGCCTCGGAAGACATCTCTCAGACGAAGATATTGAAAGGTTCGCCAAGGAAGATCCTAAGATCAGAAGGCATTTGGAGGTCATCCGTCGTAAGGAGCTGCTTGAGTTGGTCCTCGAGAAGATGGAGAGCCTGAGACAGCTCGAGGGACGCGAGCGGGAGCGATTGAAGGGCGGCAATAGCAGGCCCGCCAAGGATGACAAGCAGCGCGGACGCTGGGGGCTCTTTTGATGAGGACAAAGCTACCATGCTCCGAAGCCCCCTGAAGAATGGACCTTCTGTCCGGAATACCTGTAACGCGTTATGACTCTGGTGTAAAAGGAGTTGCGGTGTTGAAAGACGGAATGTTTTGCTTTGGTCTGTTGCGCGTTTTATCGACAGCAAGGCAGGCCTCCTTCTATTTGCAGGTCTCTCTGCGGTTATTGTTGTACATAGTGGTATATAACAAAGAAGGATACCCTCCTCGACTTAGCCGCTCGAAAGAATAGACTTCCCTCTCTCTCCGTTCCTCTCTTGAACTCCGGTTTTCATTTATAGCTAGCCAGGCAATGACTCTTATACCAGCACGTTAGATTGATGCCCACTCCGGAAACAACAGCACTGCCCCTATGGGCCCGCGAAACCAAATGTGCTCAGCCTTGTCAAAAAGCAGCATCGACGCTTGTTTGCAGCGTCACCTCCCATCTGAGGCTCGTGCCACGACCATAGCCTTCGCCGAGTCTGTTCTGGATCAGGGTAGATATACGACTTCGCAGCTTGCTGATAGCACCCTCGTCGCAGCCTTTTGCCACGGAGATTTTAAGGTTCGCCATGCACAGGCCGTAGTGCACCTGCCAAAACTGCGCATCCTCGATTCTCGTGACACCCGGCTCGGCTTCAATATCCCGCATCACAGATGACACGCCCTCGTTGCCCCCAATGCCGCCGTACGACATAAGCAGCATCATGGCTTGTGCCATAGCCAACTTGGCGCCAAAGAGGAACATCGAAGCGGCGATCGCAGCGCAAAGCGTACGGTCAAGCCAGATATAGCTCTTGATAGACAGGAGCGGCAGAAGGAGAAGTAGACTCGAAAAGAACACGGTCAAAAAGTGAAAAATGTTGGAGAAGTGCGTGGGCAGCTTGGCCAGCCATGATACACGCATGATTCTAGCGATACGTGCGTGGTTCTTAAGGCCATATGCTGACACAGCAGTGCTAGTGATGGCGGCGAAGGCGGCCCAGTCTACTTCACCCGCCGAAACGCGTTCGTGGATATGCTCATGGTGCGGCTCATGGCCACCCTTGGTCTCCAACCAGTGCTTGAGATTATGCGACACGAGGTCGAAGCCGCCGAACAAGAGGAATATGGACATGGCGAAGCCGGCGAGAACCTCGGCTCTCTCAAGCCCGAAGGGATGCCGAATACTGCTGCGGCGCCAGACCTCGAAGTTGCCAAGAACATCAACAGCGACACAGACGGCAGCACTACCAGCGTCGAAGAAGACGAGGTGGGACAATGCCATCATGGCGAGAGAGCCTTCCGAGATGAAGAAGAGCCACGACGCAACGGTCAGATGGCATAGACTCCAGTAAAGCCTGACGCGCTGGTCGCGGGACATGCTTTTCCATGCTTCTCGAACCGTGGGTACAGGAAGGGAGGCAGGGAGAACGGGCGGCGGTCGCTGAGGCGGCTCCTGGAAGATCTGATGTTGGGTCGAAATAGAACTGTGCTTGTATCGATGACCACGGCGCTGTCCAATGTTCTGCGATGCGCCATTGTCAGCGGTCAATCGGTGAGTGGCAGAGGACGCGGACGCGCGCATCATCATCATTTCACGATTTCGTGTCTGAACATACCGACTTGACAGGCGAGGTCGAGATGGCCTGCGTCTGAAAGTTGAACGGGCTCGGGACGGTCGAGCCCCCAGCAGAGGGAGGGTCGTCTTCGGCCATGGCTGGCATTCCTGTGTCTGATCGAAGCAAGCCGCGTTTCAGATCAGCGGGAGCAAGAAGTCCAGGGCTGCCTAGAAGTGCCGATGCAACTTGAGGGGGGTGGGGGGTGCTCTGGTCGTAGCCGAGGTCCTCGTTGTCGTCGTCGTCGTCAACTGTTATAGATGGGAAGGCAAGATCAGGAGGGGGGCTGCCGACATGGGTTGTTGATGTCGATGCGTTATCGCCTCCGCCGTAACCGCTTTTGGGGCTCAGTGGGGTGAAGGTTGCAGCAGGTCTTCTTGGAATTGGAGGGGTGGAGGATGAAGTTAGGTCGGGTGCAGCAGGGCTGGAATCCATGGAACCTGTTTATATTTCTCCCCAGCAACCTGTGGCATTTCCCGGGCAGCAGTGACCGGTCAGAACGGTGTTTACGACAATATCAATGGCGATGATGTCCGAAAATGGCTGGCATTCAATGTATGTACGCGCGCGAGAGGCTTAAGGCAGTAGGGGATTGGCTACTGTAGGTTCGTGTAAATCCAGAGAAGCGTGGTTTGCAAGACAAAAAAAACAACTGGGGATGAGATGGGACGAGATGTGCAACAATCTGAAAGTTAAGATTCCAGATTGGAGCTAGGAAGAGGGACTCCCGAGGAGGCAGGTAGTTCCAGCGAAAGACGGGACGGTCTGTCTCCCCACGCATTCGCGTACTGCTTAGTTGCATATGACTCTCAGAATTATGCTCCCATGCTGGACATGTGCCTTTACAGGTGCATTACAGTGGGTACCAGCACACACTTTCCGCAGTAACTGCTGTGTCCCCTAGCGGAAGCGACATTGATTTTACCGTAGGTATATTGATTGGGCTGACCATGTCACAACGCAGGGTCTACATCTTCTACCTATTTGCAGTTAGCCCCCCTCGCCGTTAACCCAGTCATCCACCAAACTTAGCCTGCAGCTCTTCCGTGACTGACATTTTTACCAATTGGGCGAGGTTGCTAGCTTCAACTTCACAAATTGTTGCTTTGTTTCTTGGTTTTGTACATTCAGGGCGGGCCATGTGGGATGAAGTCCTAATCAGTGGACATCTCGAACACCGACCGTCACAAGTCCCTGGCCCGAAGCCAAGGCTGCTCACCCCACCCATCCCTACCGACTCAATCCACTCTGCAACGGGACCAAGCTGCTGCGATAAGGGATTATCGCAGTTCAAACAAACGCAATGGACCGCACCACCACCGCGGCTGGCGGCGATGACGCTGCCACCGAAAGCCTCGTAGACATGACGAAGACAGCCTCACCGAAATCATTCTTAGAGCACCAGCACCACATCCCCCAGAACCACCGGCACCCGGTACCGCCATCCATTCCCCATCGACGCACCTCGTCGGGCGCAAACTTCTTCTCCAAGCTCCCCTTCATGCGCTCTCTCTCCGATGGCAAACAACAACAGCAGCAGCAGCAGCAGCAGCACTACCAAAATCATCAGCATCAAGACGCCGACGAAGACGCTTCTCGCTCCCCGTCCACATCCATGTCGACCTTGACCCAGCAGCAGCAGCAAAAGTCGCGACGGAGAAAGGGGTCCCTTAGGAAGGTGGCCTTGCTGGGAAGGGGCGCGCAAAGGGAACGCAGGGAGGCTAAGCAGCTCACCATTGACACATCGCACAGCATCTCTTACAACATGAACGGCGCCGCATCCCGATCAAACGCGAGTCTTGAGCAGGACCCTCTCGGGCTTAACATATCGGACCTGACGCCGCGTCCTTCAATGGATGGATACGCAAGCAGGTCAAGCGTCGCGGATTCCTCTGTACCGCCGTCGACGAGTCCTCCGCGTTCCAACGAGACGGAACCTGGCATCACTAGTCCCACAATATCCTACACCTCTACTACGGACGAAGACGATGTATTACACATAGCAAACCATATCCCTTCTCCGTTGGGGCCAGACTTGTCGCTGTCGTCGGGCTCCGATTCATACTTCAAGGACCGCTCAAGACGGCGGTCTATACTACAGGCCAAGTCACCGCTTTCATATAGTGGGCTCTCCACGACGCCGTTGCCCCCCAACGATGCGGAATGGGATTACTCGGAGACGGAGTGGTGGGGTTGGGTTGTCCTGGTCGTAACTTGGATCGTGTTTGTTATCGGCATGGGCTCGGTCCTGGGAATCTGGAGCTGGGCTTGGGACGTCGGGACGACGCCGTACGCTCCCCCGGAGCTCGAGGATGACCCGACGCTGCCCATTGTGGGCTACTACCCAGCTCTCATGATTCTCACCTGTATCATGGCTTGGGTGTGGGTTGTCGTGGCGTGGGTGGGTATGAAGTACTTTCGTCATGCTAAGATCAGCGGGGAGTAAAGAAGGAATGGCTTTCGATTGGGCGCTTTGCTTACGATACTCGATTGGCGCATTTTTGGACGAGCATACTTCAGCGCCGCCGCGACCACTTGTCTGGTGTTGGCTACGGGGGATAAAAGGGGGTTCCAAAGCAAGCGAGCGTACGGATACTTGGGTTTACTCTTGTTAGTAGGCGTATGGGAAAAGCTAGTATAGCTGTCACGAAGAAGCGAACAACAGAAGCCTTTTGGTATTTCTAACGGATCTTCACCAATCTCGGTTCAACGCAGGGTTCATTCATCAGCGCAGGCGCCAGTCCTTGACCGGGACCTGAAGACAGACCTGCAGAACAACGATAGATCCAGAATCAATGGAGCGCCATGCCTAGCACCCCGGATGCTGGCACGCAGCATCCATCGTGACAGCCAGTATGTCTGACAGACTATGACACTGCTCCCCGATGAGTGTGTGTAGCTGTCAGACGGCGGAAACGACCGTCAGTCGACATGCTAACAAGTCTGCGTTGCTGGAAAGGCGAAGCCGTGGCTGGAAGTGAGGTTGGAAGTATCCACCTTCTGTGCGTAATCATCAAGGGGCTGGGTTGTTGCAGCTTGGCTGGGCCCCTCTTCTTTCTTTTCTTCCCCCATTCATCTCTTGCCAACCTTTCGGGCGGAGAACAAGGGTCCACGGACCGCACTTTTACAAGATTTCGGGGTGGGGGTTGACGTGGTTGGCTTGGGGGGGGGGGGGGGCCTTCGGTATTGCTGTTGGCGAGTCCATGTCAGGTGATGCTAGGGGACGTAGTGGTCCGGCTAAACTGCCTGTGGCGTGGCGTACTAGGAGCGTAGAGCAAGGTAAACGAGTGTCGAGATACATTCTGGTGTATGCATCAACACAGACAGCCCAGTTGGACACGTCGAGGTTGCACTGGGTTGGGTCAGGATGGTGTAAGCTGCTTAGAGCTTATGTATTTTTCTTAGGGTTTGGTTCGTCTGACGATAATGACGACGGCAATATCCCAAATCGATGTTTTCTACAAAGTTTACTGTTCAAGACTACGTGACTGTAAAAGTTCCGCATGGGCTACAGACAAAGGGGGGGGGGGGGGGGGGGGATGAAGGCTCGGTGCATCCCTGTCAAGACATGTCATGTCGAACAGCTATATTAGTTACATAGCATAGGAAACATACCAGGTACCATGAGTGACAGCCGACGAACGTAGTAGTTCGGATTCTTGTGTAGGCCAAGTTGGATCGGCAGAAAGGTGAGAGGTCTTCAACTGGAGCTCAGGTGCTCTCTGCAATGAATGTGGAGCGTCTGAGCGGGCCGCGTGCATGATATGATGTTCAGCCAGGAGAAGCAGTGGCTGGTGCCAGCCAAATGATCTGGTGCGTTGGCATAGTAAGCAGATTGCGACTGGCTGCGAGATGCATTCAGTCCAGTAAACCGGGGTCGACACATCACGATGCACCCGGATGGACTGCTTGGACGGAGCTGGGGGGAGGGGGTCTGTGAGCAGTCACGGACACTCCCTACTAGCTTCCTTAAAAAGGGAGAGCTGGCGAATAGCGGTAAAAAGAACAATAAACATAAAAGAGTTAAAAAGGGAAGGCGAGAGAGGTGGTGGTGGAGGGGAGGAGTCTAGGCCTCGGGCCCCTAGTGAAATTCGGAGAAGTGTGAATGGATGGGAGCAGGGGTCAAGTGGAAGAAGAACGAGCTCTGCAGGTTGATTTAAGCGCTTTTGAGAATTGAGATGGCAGAGGCAGCAAGGAAAAGAGAGAAAAATGGACGACGGGTCCCCGCACGACCAATCAGCAGCAGCCCAGACTCCATTGCAAGTCGGCCTCGCTTCAGATAGCAGCATCTTGCAACAAGGAAGCAGGATGCTCGTGCGCCATTTGCATCGCTGGATGATGACTTGCGCATCTCGCGTAAAACGAGTAGTTGGGGTAGGCGGTATGTGGGGTTGTTGGCTGGGTTCGGCGGCAAGCGTTGATTGACCAAAAAACAGCGCTTCGTTGTTGTCTCCCCCCCCCCCCCCCCCCCCCTTTTCTTTTGGAGCTTCTCAGTGGACTCGTCAACCGCCCGAGCATTGTTCCAACTCGTGGCAAATGAGCGAGAAAATACCCAAAACAAACAAACAAACCGCCAACCAACCAACCAATTAACCGAAGAGAACAAACACGGAAAGAAGGATTCTGCATGCAGAAGCCTAGCGGCAGCGGCAGCGGCAAAGCGCTTACTACAATTCAATAGCAAAAAGCGGGAAAGACAGGCAGGGCAAGACCCGGAAAAGCCGGTTGTGTCTTGGTACAACCGCCCCTGCCGCTGCCGACGCAAGTGAACAGAAACTTAGTGAAGGGTTGCATCACGCATGCTTTGGTCAGTGCATGTCGATAGTTTCCGGCGGCCGAGCCCGGCCCATTTGGGCATACATGAACTAGTATAGTGGTATGATGGTTCGGAGATGTTCCGTCAAGGGAACCAGGACTAATGTGATTCAATTCGACCAAGACGGCTGAGGTGGGGGGGAACAACAGTTTCGGGGCTGGAAAGGTCGGAGGGCCTTGTGATCGTCTTCTGTCCGACCACGAATAAAGCACGTTTTGCCAATGCTGCAGTGTATCCGTACATGCTGTTTCAAGGAGCAGCAGATATCGAATACCGTTACTCCTGACATACCTACCTATGTAGGCAGGTGGATAGAAAATGGAAAGAAGGAATTAATTGAGCTGCAGTGATTGAATGGGCGCAGCGGGTCCAGCGGGTGTGCATGTTTCCCCTGTCCACGTTACGTCGTAAAACGTGCGCAAGATCGGGGATTGATACACGGTTTTGTCTGTGCCCACGCGGTGCGTCCTCCCTCCGTCACAGCATGACCTCACAGCTCCTTCGGGGGCACGGCAAAGGCCCAGAGTACCAATACAGTTGCAGAACATGGGCTGCGACAAGGCTCCCGAGGAAGAGACAGAACGACGCCCACTACGAAAACGGCGCTCTACGGAATGCGCAAGAGGACCGTTGGATCTGGGGCAAGTGCCGTTTGCTGACGATTGCTAAAGATAAATGGCGCGCCATTCCATCCAGCTTCTACTGAAGCATTCCAGCTCGACTCTGCAAGCACCACGGACACTGGACCAGGAGAGGGGGACACCACAACGCAAGGGATGCAGAAGCATGAATGGCACTTGTTGACACGGCCCGTGGTTCCTTTTCCGAAGCATGCATGCCATGCCATGCCATGCCTGGCCCGATGTCCACGATTGTCGGGGTGGTAATAATGGCAATTCGACGGCATAGGGGAGAAAAGCAGATGATCTCGTTCAACAAAACACCGTAGAATGGTAAAAACTGCTGGACTGCATCAAGGTATAACGGATTAGGTATGGGCGCTGGCTGGACGCCCATGTTGAGGCTTTGGAGACGGGAGCATCCTTGTGTGCCATGGACGAGGCGCAAATTGCGACCATGATCCCTTCCTGTGCCCGAATGGAAGATGCCGGATGGAAAGCATTGTGGTACGTACATACCGTACCGGGTAAGGTTCCTAGGTAGGTACCTCCTATACGGATCCAGAGCACACAGGTGAAATGTACCTATCTATCCGTACCTAGAGAGATAAGGATGGCGTACCAACAACAGGTGGTGGTGCGAACGGTCGTCGCATGTCAGCCCATCGTCTCCCTCACAAGTTGCAACCAGGTCCTAATCGAACTCTGAAGGAAAGTAAGTCACTGAGAGACCGGTGGCCCTGACGTAAAGCTGCCGGGCTAGCCACCTCATGGCTCGGAAGTTTGTTGACCTGCCGGAGGGGCCACAAGCCTCCATCGACGGGCCAGCTTTGATCTTAGCATGGGCACGGGATCGTTAGACGACACATGCAATATGCGGCCATTCATGCAGCTGCGCGCAAGCTCGCCTTACCCAAAGCCAGCCGCCAACCTCGCACCGTTCCGGATGGATCACTCGGCTCCCTACGCTTCTCCATCTTCGGTGGTTGTTCCATGAGCTCCGTCAGCTGTTTTGGATTGAGCGGTTGCGGCCGTGACTTGATCTTTACCCTGTCAAGCCTCTCAATGCAGGCAACAAATTCTTGCAATGCGTCGCAATCGGCACAGACAGCCCACGAATTTACGTGTGGTGGATGCGATCCGTCCGCCGCCGCTTCAGTGGAGATTTTACTCGGGGTGTTCAAGGATCACTCGGGTGGGTAGGCAGGCAAAGGTAGGTAGGTACCTAGGCTAGGGTAGTTGGGTACTCGGTGGTTTACGTGCAGAGAGACCAGTCGGGGCCTGCTAGAATGCCATCCCTGGAATGGGCACATCAGCGAAATAAGCAAAGGATCTGAAGCGACGGCACGAGAAGTTGTGGACGCGGCAAGGACGACGCTAGACGCCGCCGTAGGGGGCTGGTGACCGTCAAAGACGACAAGGAAATCCGAGTCGACTCGAGGGACAAAGAGAATATGTGAAAGTGAAAGACAAGCGAGCAGTACCTGAAGTGAAGAAGGCGGCGTGTCCCAGGCACCCGGAAAAGAGAGCGTCAAAAGACGGTGAAGGAATGGGAGCGGGAGCTAGGGGAGCAAAGTGTGACCACGACACCCCCTTGGGCGACGAACCCTTGCTCCTCCTTCGCTGTAGTGACCCAGTGTGAGGCGCCAAGACCCAGCCAGGGCCGCACGCAGCCGGGTGTGCGGGTGCGAAATGGTAGGCCATGCTTCATAGGTACTTTCAAGCCAAGAGGTTCCTAGGTAGTTGGATCTCGGCAACAACCCAAGCTGAGCTGGCGGCAGCAGCTGGGTACTGACTTTCCGTCAGCAAGGCATGGCTACCTAGGCAGAACGAAACGTCAGGTGTCGCTCTCTCTCTCTCTCAATAGCGGCCAGTATCAGAGTCGATGACAGAATGCTAAGGCAAAACGATTCAACAAACTAATCAAATCCACAAATCAAAGAGGGGATAATGAAAAGGGAGAGGAAGAAAACTTGAAGGAATACCTACAATCATTCAATGGCAAGCCCATCAATGATTGGATCGGTCCGTTATGCTTGGGCTACAGCGGCGTCCAAGATTAATGGTCGTCGTATCCGCCCCGGCAAAATGTACTACTACCCGCCACTCATCTTTTTACAGCAGGCTGCCATGATCCCGAGAGGAGAGACAGGCCCAGGACCTTGCAGTCATCGAAGCCCCTGAATCCCGACTGGGCGTGTTGCGGCGGCCTTTCCAGTAGCCGTCCTCGGTATCCTCCTCCTGCCACTGCTTCCTTAGTACATAAGGTAGGTAGGTCGTGTCCCAGCCCGCCTGTGTGTGCTGGACCAAACGGCCTACTTCGAGCCCTGTGGTGTTCGGCCTGTGTGCTGTGTGTCACCCAGTGCGTTTGGTTGTTCACTGACTATGAAGGTATGCCCTGTGACGAACGAGGTTGCGCCCTGTTTCGGGGTTTCCTTTCCATTGCTGCTGGGTCCCAACTGTGTGTTGTTGTTGTTGTTGTTGCTGCTGCTGCTGCTGCTGATGCATTGCTGGCTGACTGGCGGGTGGTGCTGGGCTGAGCCTGGGCTGGCCACCACTGCACAAATCTCGCGTGCGCAGGACGTGCGGACCTGATGCATCCATCATCGTCTGCTTCTCCTCTCGCTCTCTCCTGTCCCGTCTTTCTCTCCCTCCTTCACTTTTCCCCCTTCCCCAACCTCCTCGTCCTTTTTTCCCCCCTCTCTCTCTCTTGCCCACCCCCTCTCTCTCATCCATCCTCATTTTCTCCTGCTCTGTGCGTCAAGCGTCTGTCTGCACTTGCCTTGCCGCTGTCGTTGCATGCCAGCATTTGCTTCCGTGCATTTTCGGCTGCCTTGTCTTCCATTTTGTCTCTCGGCTCAGACCTGGGCTCTTGCTGACGCTGGCTTTGCTACCTACCTTTGGGTACCGGTACTTGCTATTGGCACTTGCCGCCGCTGCCACTGGCCCATTTCACCGCACTCCTCCGAGTCACGCTTCCGGTTGTCGGTCCTGAAACACAACCAGACCAATCCATCACCCTTCGCCCTCGACCGACCGTCTTTCTTGTGTCTACACATCCATCCGCACACCATTCATCCTTCCCCCTTCTACACCTCTCTTTCTACTCAAGACCTAAGACCATCTCCTCCCGCTCCCATTTGCCCCATCAAAGTGACGAGTCTTACGATCGCGACGGAATACTCCAGAGCCCTGCAACGTCCGTTGGCCTGCGCATCCAACCCCCTCGCGCCGCACGAAACTAGCATCGAATCGAGACGAGTCCGCTCACGCACGATCCGATCCAATACAACCCAATTCTCATACACACACATAACACTTTATCGCCACCCTCGAGCAACCCCGACCCCAAATCAATACTCGCCCTCCCTCTTCCTTTCCCCTCTCCCTCTTCTCTTGCACCTTCAAACCAGTGCATTTCTCGAATCTATCGAGCCCGATACTGCAACCACTCCCGCCAACCCTGTCAAAGGGGCCATCCAAGCTGGAAGGGATTCATCGCTCTCCTACCTTTCCACGGCTGCACTGCCTGGCCCCATTCGACCTGAACCACACCTTGAACGATACATTGTCATATTGACCGCTTTTCAAAATGAGAGAAGTCAACTTCAGCATCCCCAACGTCAATAAGGCGTCGGTCGGCATCACGACCGCCCTTTACGATCGTCGGGCCCTTGACTGTACATCCACCCTCCCTCTTATCAACTCTCTAAACCATCTCGCCTACCTCACCACCTCCTCCGCTCGCATCCGCGACATCCTCACCGTCGATGGCGGCATCGAGCGCTTGGTGTGCATCCTGAAACGCGGTCGCAGTAAAGACATGATGGATATGTGGAAATGGAACCTGGCCTTTCAGTGTGTCGTCAACATTGGTGTCAGGGGCACTGAAAATGTTCGCACACGCGTCGTCGAGGCCGATATGGTCCCCGTCATTGCTACCATCCTCGACAACTATATCAAGGTCACGGAGAAGTGCAGAGACAAGTCCGATGACAAGAGCAAGGACCATCATCATCGTCACCGGAGCCACGAGCATCGCAGCGCCCATAAGGCTCCCTCCTTTACCAATAGATCCAGTCGAGTCGAGGTTGATCAGCGAGCCTCCCGTCGTCAGGCGCCTCCTCCCTCCATCGACGTTTCTGCGACGTACGCCGGGTCCTCGTCTACTTCTGCAGTCGATCAGCAGACCACCGAGACCATGACTGCTCCGGCGCAGCATCCGCTGGCGTCCTCGGCCGAGCGATCTGCTCTCCCAGCTCACCGACACCACCACCATCATCACCACCACCACCATTACCGCGCTGCCGAGGCCCGCCATGCCGTTGCATCCCCGCCTCGTCAGACGGTGCAGCCTTTGGCGCCTGCCGTGCCTCCAACGGAAACCATGGAGGGCTTCGTTCGGCCAGTCCGTGACGTCGATCGTCTGGCTTCCATGATGAACTTTGGCCACGCGAACCTGACCTCGCAACCATCCTCCCCCACGACTCCCTTGGCGCCTCCTCAGATGCGTTCTCCTACCGTTCGGCCCACATCTGGACTCGCACCCACTAGTCGATCCCGGCGCCGCCCTTCCATTCGACACCAGAACTCGACTGTGGACTCGGACGACTTGGTTGGGGATGACGCGCCGTCTGACGAATCTCCTGATGCCGAAATGTCAGGCACCGGCACCGAGCTCCAGACCGCTGTCAACATCCAAGACATCACCATGGAAGAGGGAGACAGCATGCTTGCTGGCTCTACCACTATGGACCTGAACACCCCCACCGTCTCAGAAACACAGGATACCGGAACCTTCAACATTACACATCGAGGTCCTGTTGAGACGAGCAACACAGCTGCTACAACGCCTGCGCCTGTGCCTCCCATTGGCCTTTCCCCGAACCGCCCCACAATGGTCACTCCACCCCAGCCGGCCATCCCCAACGCCAGCGTCCCTCGGTATTTACTCGACCGGCAATTTGTACCCAACGCTCAGGTGCTGGCTGCTATGCCTCGTGAAGAGGACGTCTTGATGTCCCTTCAACTGCTTGCGTACGTTTCGAAATACTGCGGCCTGCGGTCATACTTCCAGAAGAGCCACCTAGTTCCTAGACTTAAAATCGGAAAAGAACTTCGCTATCTGGATGGCGAGAATGCTTCGACGGATCAAATCGACGATGAGGAACTAGAGGAGGAGTACTTGCTACCGAACGACTTCAACATCTTTCCCCTCGTGGAGAAATTCACAGTTCGACACCACAGTACAGATATGCAGTATTGGGCTGGCGTTGTCATGAGAAACTTGTGCCGAAAGGACGACACCCGCGGAGGTATTCGACAGTGCGCCTACTACCAGTGCGGCAAGTGGGAGGAGTTCACCCGCCAATTTGCCAAGTGCCGTCGCTGCCGTCGCACCAAGTACTGCAGCAAGGAATGCCAAAAGAGTGCGTGGGCTTTCCATCGACACTGGTGCGTTGCTGCAACCCAGTGAATGACAAAGTCGCTCGGCGCATCGGCACGTTCGACTATACCCGGGATACGTCTCCAGGCGTAATGTTTATAATACGGATTCTACGCCCCCACGGGTGGCACTGCATTGCACAGCACAGCGTTTTTTGAAATGCATGGCGTTTCCCTCGATACCACTGGTCTTTCAGCAGCATGTTCAAGGTTGGGCATTGGGTGCTTGCTATTTATGGTGATGGCACGACTTGACTTTTTTTTCATGATGATATATCATCGGCTTCTTTCATTCCCTCGCACATCACACAAGGCAACTGTTCAAGTCGAAGGGCAACACCACAGGTGTCTCCCACTGTGTACATTCCTGACGGCAAGTAAACGCATGAGCTACGGTCTGTCGACGCCGATCCGCCTCGGCAGCATTTGATGAGGGCTCAAGGACGGCCTGGTACGCGATAGGCGGCGCACGCTTTTGGTCGCCCATGGCTGACGTAACATGGATGGGCTCAGAAATAATGCCAGTGTTCTGCCTAGGACAACTCGTGCGATTTATGGACAATCCTTGTGTCGTTGGATTGGCAGGTTTCTTGGTCTTTGGCTACTACTAGACTGGCAAAATTTTACAACAGCCGGTATGGTGATTATGGATAGCACGGGCGGTAACTCTGGATCGAGTATCAATCATCCGCCTGCCCACGCCACACAAACACGGAAAAGAAAAGAAAAAACGAATAAAAAAAAATCAACGGCAGAGGAACCATGGCGGCTTTACCAGACATCCCGGGGGACTTAGAAGCATGGACGGCCGGTAAGGCGCTGGATCGGTACTCAAAGGAGCATATGCCGAGCGGCCGGCGGAGGACCATGTATGTATTGTTACGAGAGTTTACCAGCTATAATGTCAGGATTTTATGCGGTCTTCCAAATTGCTTGCTCTTTGCTGTTATGGTTATTGCAAGGCGATGCTCATGACGTAGTGCGCCATGTATTTTGCGACAAGCAGTTGACACAAAGCCACCGGGGCTCGACTGAGGGGCGGGCGCGCTTGTGCGGAAGTTTCGTTGCGCGCCGTCAACCCTCGTTTTGGGACGAAGTTAGGCTCACGGAGTCGCTGTGCTTTGTGTGCACGGCGCTGGGCGCTGGGCGGGCAGGTATCTCGTTGTGGGACACTCGATTCGGAGTGGTAGAGGCAACAATCCCAGGGAACGGAAACGTGAATGTTCAAATTAGATGTAGCAGAAAATGCGATTGGTTTCTTTTTAACAGTCCATACAGCCCGAGGGGTATTTGCTCCTCCTCCATCCATCCACTCTTTTGCCCTGATTTTCACTTGTTCCCCCCACCGACGATCGTTCATTCTCTACAGGTCCCCCTTATTTATTCGACATGGCCTTCCTCCTGTTTTTGCCGGGCCGCTGCTGGGGCTTCTTGCCGATACCGCCCTTCATGCGCTTAGGGTTGAAGGCGCTGAGGTCACCGGAGCTGACGGCGTCGCCAGACTTTGCGTGGCGCTTCTTGCCGCCGAAGCCGTACTTCTCGTTCTTCTTGGCCCGCTTAGCGTTGACACCGCTGCCGGACCGGCCACCGTCGCGCTTGCCGTCGCGCCTCCCGGACGAGTTGGTGTGGCTCTTGATCTCGTTGTCGACACCGACGTCGAACAGATCAGCCTCGTGGGTGTCGAGGTTGGAAGAGCCTTCTTGGCGTTCTAGGCGGGTAGTCAGTAAAACCCCAGTTTCTGGTTCAGAGAGTCAAGGAGAGCAACTCACTCCTCTTGAGCGTCTTGATCTTTTCAAGTGTGTCCTTCTTGGCCTTTTGACGCTCCTGCAGCTTGGCGACTTGCACCTGCTTGCCAAACTTCTTGAGGTCACGGAGCTTCCTCGCCTCAGCAGCGGCCTTCTTGGCACTGGCCTCCTCGACGAGTTTGGCCTTGATCTTCTGCATCTGGCCGTCGTCCTTGGCCATCTCGGCAAAGTAGTCGTTGGGGCGCGAGAAGGGCACCCCCTCCTTGATGAGCAGGCTACGGCCCTTGCGCGCCGCCTCGAGCGACTGCGACAGGAGCGCGAGTTCACGCTGAAGGTCGTCCTGGACGTCGGGAACGGCGTCGGCCGTGGGCTTGGACGAAACGACGGACTGGTGCGTCGCGAAGGGCACAGCGGACGAAGTGTCGATGCGGATGCGGTTCAGCGAGGCAAGGAGCGCCGTCTTGTTGTTGATGGTAAGCTTGGTGTGCGGGACAATGTCTTCCAAGTCTTCCTCGTCGGCGTCGAGGTCCGAGAGGGGCACGTCGTCCGCCTCGGGGTCTTCGTCGTCGTCGTCTTCCGACTCCCCGTCCTTCTCCTCAACTTCTACCGGCACCTTCTTGGTCACCTTGGTTGTCTTGGTCTTCTTGGCTGGACGCTCAATCTTTTCTTCCATGTCGATCTCGGAATCGGAACCGCTGTCTGTGTCGTCCAATGCCTCAATGTCGAGCTGGGAATGCTGATGTCAGCCGACCTTCATGGTTGGGAAACGCGACAGGGGAATTGATACCTTACTATCTTCCTCCTCGTCATATTCATCCTCATCATCTTCTTCCTCCTCGTCCGAGTCGGCATCCTCGAATTCGGCATTCAATGTGATTTCACCCTCGACAGAAATAACAGAGGCATCGTCGTCATTGTCCTCTCCCATCTCCTCATCTTCGAGGTCATCTCCTTCATTGGCGCCTTTGGACTTGGCCTTCTTTTCTTTCTCCTTGGCAGTTTCGCGGTGCTTCGCCTTGATCTTTCTCTGTTCCTTGACCTTGCGTAGGTCGACGCCCTTCTCGGCCGCCAAGGCGAGCTTGAGTTTAGATTTGGTGACCATGTTATCCGTGTCTTTCTTTGAAGTTTCCTAGCGTATACAAGATCTAAGGAAGAAAACACACTGGCGTTGGAATGGTTGCGAAAAAACGTGTACTGGTTCAAAGACTGGACCTGTTCCTCGACGGGCAGTTGGAACCAAGGTGGGGAGGGTGCTAGGAAAAAATGTCGATTGAAAATAATTCTGCCGATTCGACGACCCACTCGGCCAAGGCGGTCAATGCGTGGTGGGTTCTCGTCCGGCATGCGGTGGGGTCTGGTTTGGTAAGCAATTGATTGGTTACTCTCACTTACTTCTGGCATACGAGACTCTCGAACTTGCTAACATTCTCTCATCATTCACCTCACACAGACATGCGCTTGAGTTTACTTTCACACACTTACTTCCAAGGCCAAGCCGCAAGTAAATCCAATCATTTATGTAGGAGGTGTCTCCATCCGTACGAACAAGCAATTAGTTACACCAAGAGACGTTGAGTATGCCAACCCCCCTTGCTCAACCTGTGAATACATACGGCTATACTCATTGAAAAACACAGGATCTCGTGCACTCTCCCGTAGATAACCTAGTAAGGCCTAGATCAGTTCTTAGTTTGTTTGGTGACGACCGGTGAATTTGCATGGTTATATGTCATTTGATTTTCAAGTCCATAGTTTGCAACATAGCATTGTTCGTTCTTCAAACGTTGCACGAATGCCACACAGGCGCAAACAGAGCATTCAACAAGAACGTTCTTTATTCTCGGTCCAAATATTTTGAAATTGACTGGAGACCATGTGCTATGGGGAGCAGTCTGGGCCGCCGTACGATGCCTCATCCAGAGTAACGGGTCCGTCAAGAAGATATCCACTTTTCGAGTTTAGTGAGCGTTAGGAACAAAAACAACTCCGCCATTCCTTTTTCGCCCATTGTCTCTTTCTCTTACTTTTTATTCTTTGCGTCTTAGTAAGTTGAGGAGGGGATGTGATGGCGAGTCTGAACGGGTCCTTCATTGCTTGAAGGCGGAAATGAGTCTCCCGGTGAGAAATGTAAATATTCGGCTGGACTGAAGTATATTGATTCCACATCGGGCCATGTGGTGGGCATAAAGGCTGGGTTCATGTTTCTTTTTTCCGATTCTTTTATCGGGTTCTTCATCCCCTAACCAAGTCCTTCGGACTTTAGTCGTGGCGAGCGAGCGTGACGGGTGAAACGAAGGGAGTCTATCTCGACTCTGTTTTGCTCTACAGGATCACACAGCCCAGAATCGTAGCTCCACCGTAATCCCCTTGGTTGGTGTTCTTCTGCGCCGTGGTAGCACCTCCGCCAGTGCCTGACTTGGGCTTCATCTTGATCTCGCAAAACGATGGAACAGAATCCATATTGGTGAATTGAAAATGTGGACTTAGGATCACTTCTTGCTTGTTTGTCTGGAAAAGAATAGACGCTGTACGGTATGTGTTGTTTGACGATATTAGAGAGACTGTGGGAAGCCATTGGCTCTTTTATTTCCATCTGTCCAGGCTGCTCCTGCATTCCTCATCGGTCACATGCCCAACTAGATACGCACTGCTTCACTATTTCGAGCATATGTTGTGCGTATCTAGACGGATGCGGCTAAGACCTTTGGCTTTGGAGCCCGTTAGTCAGAGTACGGCATGTATTTAACGGGCAGAACAATTACTCTACTCAAGTCATCCTTTCAGCATCTGGCTGCTGCGGGAGAACACGGATACAAGTGTTCCGAGTAAACAGCATCCTCTTTGACTGGCCGTCAGAGACATGCAATCCAGTCTTACGACTTCAAACTGTGGCTGTCTCGTCGGGTAATACATATCTTGCTAACCGCAGGCGAGGGCGCACAAGTAAGTATGTTTCTTTTGGAGAGATGGTTCCTTTTCTTTTCCTAGGACCTATTTGTTGGGAGTTTACCATTCACCACGTGGGGCACACCGGAGGGATGAACTTGAAGAGGGGTCTGAAGGGAGAGCCATGTCAGCTGAATCTTGCCAGGCCGTTTCTTTGAATCGCTATATGTTTGTTTGTTTCGACAACTGTCGAAGTATTTGATACGCTGTCGTCTGAATTCCTTTTCGTTACACGAATTGTCTATTAGTGGACCATTCGTAAGCTGCTTTTCCATATTCTAGAAATTCTAGCCTTGATGCCCACTCCTTGTAGCATCTTTCAATGAAGACCTGTTGAAGCTTTCTTATAACATCAGAGAAGGAATGTCACCCTTCGCAGCAACGCCTAAGCCAGAGAGGCGGTTGGCGTAGTGAGCTGTAACATTAGTCGGACAATTGGACTTGATGCTTTGCACTGCGTGTCTAATGTTAGCCCCCAAACTCGACTGCCACAGCTTGAGCAACGACGGCCAACAGTACTTTGCGTCCTTCTCGCTTGCGAGTCTGCGATTTTGGTGCCATAATAAGACATAGACAGGGGAAACGGCGGAAATTCAAGTCATTGCGGTTATTTATTTTCCAATACTACTCACATCCTATTACTCCACGCCTCTTCCAGCCGACGCTGACTGATAAGCAATGGTAGCAAGTGTCGAATCGCATTACTTGGTGTAGCAAACATGTGCATACCAACACCTACTACCTCCCTTGCTCTAGAAGCGGGTGAACGGGAGCCTTCTACCAGTCAATACAACCTTTCCCAATTTCCAGAAGCAAGAAATGGCTTCAGTGTGGATCAACGGGGTACATACCATTTGCCCTTGAGGGTGATGACGACCCATGGGTTCCCGGCCTCGTCTGTCTCCTTCTCAACATTGGTATTGAAGCATATAGCGCTCATGATACCATCGCCAAACTTTTCATTCATGATGGCCTTGTAGGCGTAGCCGTAGTTCTGTACAATCTCGTACAAGCGGTAGATGAGCGGCTCGACAGGCGGCATAGGTCCCGAACGACCGCGGTCGGGAAAGGCAGTTAACTTAGGCTTCAAGGACGCTGCATCGACGCCGAGGAGTTCTGAAAGCTTCTCGACATCTTCGTCCGACGCTTGCACCTGGCCATAAAAGATGCCCGCCACAGCCACCTCGCTGCGGCCCAAGTGCTTCGCGATGGCCTCGAAGGTATGGCCGCTTTGCGCCTTGGCATCAAAGAGGAGCTGTGAGTGAGAGGGAAGGCGGTCGGCCATTGAAGGCTAGCAGTCAGGTCAGCAAGGAACTTTGCCCCCAAGTGTTGACCTCTTCACTCACATCCAGAGTTGCAAGCTTGCCGGACATGGTGGCTAGAGATATGAGTTGAGATCACAACGTGCCAAGTCAATTATCTAATAAGAAGATCGAATTAATGGCAAGTTTGAACTTCGGAAGAACGTTCGTTTGCAGTGCGGTGAGCGAGTCGGAACAAGATAGCAGGCTTCAGATGTGGCTTCTATGATTGATAGGCATGAGACGCAAGTCCAGCGATTTGTTATATACTTCGCAGGTTCCCTTTATGGGGTTGTGCGGACATATCGCGTTCGGACGTCATTCAATCAGGTCACACTCAAGGATAATGCGGGGTCATGAGCTCACGGAAACACCAGTCTGGGATGCGTCTACTGTTCGCGGTTGCGGAGGCCGACGCCGCCCCCTACGGAGAAAACACGGCATTTCGGCTTCACTCATAATGGCGCATGTCCATCTCACAAATCCCGAATACAAGAGGATGACTAAGTCGATTTGGGATTGATGCTTCATTCCCACGCCGGAGCCGAGCGGGGACGGCCCGGCCACTGGTGAGCACAGCCGAGGCTGGCTTTTCTTGGGCGGACCTGGGGATACTGGCCTGGTGCACCCCTTGAGTCTCGTCCCCTAAATGTTGTGTAATAGAAACACTACGCTCTACTTTACGCAGTTCTGAGGGCTTTTAGGAGCTGACTCGTGATGCTTGCCTCTCTCCTTGGCAGCTATAGAGATAGCATATCCGGTTTTTCTGGTCCATTCGACCGAACTTGATAGTCGATATCCCCCCCCAGTAAAAACCTCCTAATAAAACTGCGTAAACCACGGCAGACACAAATTATCGCGCTGTAAGTCCACCGTTGGAAGTTGTGGGTTGGCCGAACAATGCTGCCAGTGCTGAAGTCGAGTAGTGTCGTTGAGTGGGTATCTCCTGTGTTGTCTCGTGGTATCCGTTATACCTATTGCCAACTGTATTGGACGTGTTGACCACTTCACGTACTTAGTAGAGGTCGCATCTCCTACATAGCACTTCATGCGGAAGCAAGACGGATACTTCTGGATGATTTGCTGTTCGGAAACGCTGCGAATGGCTAGGCTGACTGCAACTTAGCCTGTAGCTTCAAATAGCAGTGGTGCGTTGCGTCGGTGCTGATAGCTCACATGGTGATATGCTGCATCCTCCAGCGTATAGTCCGTCAGGCAGGCATCGTCGAATTCGCAGTGAGTTTTGGCCATCCTCTGAGGTCCCATTCTTTTTTGGCGCCTTTGAGGTCATCCACGTTCAGAATATCAACGCCTTCCCGGATGAGTACATCCCACACGTGGTTTCTGATGCTGACGGGCCACGCGGGAAGATTCCAGTACCGAACTTTCAAGCCGCGTAAGTGGGCTTCCTTAACCTGATTTCTCAACTTCGTCATTTGCGCCTCTGTCAGGTCCCCGAACCAAACAGTACCGATTGCCTTCTTGAATGAGACACTGGTATAGTATGAGTTGGTCGGGTTAAAATCGTGGCTATCTAATTTGAGAAGAGGGGCGTCGAAGAAGGCATCTCTATAAGTAGAGTTCTCAGCAACCAGCTCGAAAGGGGTATTTCCGGTTCCGACAACAGTGATAGGCCCGTAATGAATCTTGTCATTGACGACCTTAGTCAACCACCCTCGCTCGCGCAAGGGCTCTAGTTGACGCACCACCTGCGGCCAGGTGTCGGGGCCGCCTGTCTTCAAGTCCACGAGAAGTATCATTGTTTGCACCGGATTCGCCTGGTAAATACCCCTGGGCGCCCTCTGAAAGGAGTTGTTGAGGTTCGCGTTGCGTTGGTCAAGTATTCGAACAAGGGGATCGATGTAGAGATTGGTAAAAGTGTTTTTTTCGCGAAGGGACCATTTGTTGTGGCCGACAAAAAGCTCGGTGCCAGATAGCCAAACATCGGCCTCAATGCCAATGCAACCTGCTTCGAGCGCGTCGTATATTGGACGTTTTCTCCAGTAATCGTTGTGGGAGTGACAGGGTATGGGCACGACGAGACTCGCCTCTTCAAAGCCCCCGGACGTATGGTCCCAAACTTCACTGGCTAGAAGCAGAACCAAGTTCAAGAGAATGAATGTCAATCTGTTGTGAGGCATTAGTTAAACCTAAGATATTTATTGACTTAAAGAACCTACAGCATGGCCAGCCAAACAGCGCCGCACATGAGGAAAGAGTGCTTTCGTGTCCATGGTTTCGGAATCATATGGGTAGGAGGTAGTAGGGCGTCCTCGGAAGTGTAGCTCTCGGCTGGAGTCGGCGGTGCCTCGTCTTTAGATGAGTCCCTGTACCGGGCGGTTGTGCTGCTGTCCTGGGACCAAAAAAAACGGAAACGATCGCGGACGGCGTCAATGCCGGTGTCACCAGGGTTGGGCATTGTTGAAAACCAGGGGTACTCAAGAAGCTTCAGTGCGCTCCAAGTGAGAGGTGATGGCTGTTTGTCCAAATCGGATATTCCGGTGTCGCTGGGCGCAATCGTGGGTGGCCAGTAATTTCTTACCGGGAGAATATGCCGTGGCTGCGACTAGCTGATAATTGCCTCTGGTGTCCTGAGTGTGGCAGAAGCCCGAATGTCGTAACGCGGTATATAAGTTCGTCAAAAGTTGGGATGGAGAAAAGATCAAGGTGAGGGGCCAAGCAGGGAGAAGGGGGTGGTGGTGGCTCGATTGTGCAAACAAAGAGGGCAGCAACAAAGGTAATAATGATCAAGGGAGGCACCGTTTTCAGAGAGACCGAGGTACGAAGGAGTCGTGGAGAAGAGACACCAAATATAGTAGGAGCTATCGAAGTGGCCCTGGAGCTTGTGTTGCTGCTGCTTGCTTCAAGAGCGAAAGGGAAACCAGTAGCAACCTTGTCAAGGCCATTTGAAGGTTAAAACGGCAAGCAGATCCGAGCATGGATAGGGATGACCAGGGGTCGGATGGTTGAGAACAGACTTTTGGAAGAGCCGAGGGGGTCTAAGCGGGACAAGAGCTACACGATGGAGTCTGGACAGTGTTAGAAAAGAAGGATGGGGGTGGGTGATGAAGATGAGGGCAATACGCTGTGCCGTAGGCCGTCGAATATGGAGTGTGGTTCCAGAAAATGGGATGTGTGTGTGTGTGTGTGTGTGTGTGTGTGTGTGTGTGTGTGTGTGTGTGTGTGTGTGTGTGTGAATAATAAGCGTGTGAGGTACAAGTGCGTGTTGCCTGGGTGGTTGATTCATCAGCGACTGGCGGCGCAATGAAGTGTCTTGATGGAGGCAAAATGTATTAATGCTAGTCAGCCGACGGCACCTTCAAACATTTCCAACCCCTCCATGTGCCTGGTAGATGGTGAGGTGTGAGGCGCTAAGAAACTCTGTCATGAGCTTAGCTACCTAGTCCAAAGACGGGGGCGGGGTGCCCGAGGGAATGTCTCTGGCGCCTAGGCCCGCCCAGGATGAATGAATGCGACTGCGAGAATGCATCTGAATGTAGAGTACCTGTTGTAGGCATGTAGAGGATATGCGTGCGTGTATCACACCCCTCAGTCATGCGCAGTACACGAGCAGACACATCGTGTCAGGGCTTCATATATGTGCCCCAAGGCAAATAAACCTAGAGGCACGCCCGAGGCAAGCAAGGCTCCTCAAGAAAAGTGAGGCCAGTCAGTCCCAGAAGAGGAGAAACAAGCATGGGTGGTGACTTGCGGGAGCGCAACAAGCTCCTGTTGCCGTTAGCAGTAAAACAAGAGCCCCGAACTAAGGTTAGTCGGCACGCCTCCTAAATCACCATCGTTGTACCGGAGTGCCTCAGTCGATGGCGACAGGGGTCCATCGGGGCCTGGCTCACAAGGGAGTCCCCTGCCCCTCCACCGACCGACATGCCCCCGTACGAAATGCCAACGAAACGGTTCGAGGTGACTGCACGGATACAAGTAAATGCGTTTCCAGCCCCTTTCCCAAGGTTTTGAGATACAGGGACGGATATGTACCAATAAGGAAAACATGAGGTGCCAAGACAAGTCAGTGCCGCACGGGAAGGCAAGTGATTGGGACTTTGGACGTATTGTGCTACGTCCATGCTTGGAAAAGGGAGGAATAACAATGAGCAGGGAGGATGGTAGTGTAAAAAAAGAAGAGGGAGAGAGAGAGAGAGAGAGAGAGAGAGAGAGAGGACAGGGGCCAAAGAGGGACCTAGGTACGTCTGGGCCTCCAATCAAGTCAACAGATGCACCTTCTACCACCGATACGAGTCTCTCAATGGTCCATCGTATGCCGTCCCGTCTGCACCTGTTCCTGGCCATCCCCACGTGGCCCGTGCCAGCGCTGCCTTAACCCTTTGTGGAATCACCCTGTAAGGTGGGGGGCACGCATGACATACTATGTACTTGAATGAGTTGGGTCTCGCATGGGTATTTCTCTCTTCGTTCTCCCCGCATCGCCTTACGCTAACATCAGTGAAGCTATCACTATCCAGGCACGTGGTGCAGCTCATAGGCGGATAAACCATCCAGATCGACACCAAGCGCCCCCCCAAATCCATTTCTTTTCCAAATACCTTGTCTGTTCGCGCGCGCCACGTTTTCAAGTAGATAGGGTACAAAGCTCTGTACTGTCCTCCCCTGCAGTGTTTTCCGCTGCATCACCGCTGGCTGATGAGCAGTTCACGTTGGCGTCGCACCAGACCACACTGGACTATCCCCAAAATTCCTCCTGACCAAGCGCTATGTACTATGACCCTAGGCCAAATTGGACTATTACAGATATCATCACCGCCTTGCGCCTACAATGGACACGGACACACCTGACGGTTGGCGACGTAGTGGTCGTGCGGCACATCGTCTCAGTCGTTCAGCTAGAAACACCAACCAGGTGCCATTCAGTCGCAGGTTTATGAGTGGGTGTGTCTACGACTCGACCTGGCCATTAGCCGCCCGACCGATCCCTACAGAGTATTCACCTGAAGGAGACGAGAGACATGGAATGGTCAAGGCGAATAAATACGTATGCAAACTCGTTAGACACCGAGACACGCCCGAAAACGTCCTTCAGTGTCATATTTTCAGACGATCACAATTGACTTCATCCCCTCTTCGTCAACGGCCGTTTGATAACACCGACATGCGAAACGAAAAAACACCTACTAGTTTGACCATTGCTACAGTATTTCTTTGTTTGTTAGAGACGGAATCGCGTCCTGCTGCCCTTGCTGCTACTTCGACATGGCGGCGTGTCCGTGACTGACCAAAACGATTGAGCCTGGAGTCACTTAGCCTACTCCACCCTCACCAAATTCGTCGAAATACTAGTCGCCATGTTAGCTTTTTGTTATACTTCACTTCCATTCCCTTGGGCACCCAGCTTTTGGAACCCTACTGAGTCGAGCAGAGCAAAGTACCTAGACATTCGCCTTAGGGGGGTCGAATAATGCTTAGGTGAATATGTTTCTGGTTTTTTTTTAAATAGACAAAAAAAGAAGTGTCTCGATATCGCAGCGATGCAAGCGAAAAATTACTGGCAGAAAATTTGAGGCGATCGAAACTCTGCAGGCGGGTGACTCGGTCTCAAGCAAAGTTTCCAAGCCTCTATCGGGATAAAGCCAGTTCATGTCCTCGAACTGTCATTCATCAGGTGCCAAGATGCCAGATTGTGGGATTCCCGCTTCACCCTCGACTGTGGATCGGCTCCAGGGTCCTTGCATCCAATCCCCGCACCCGGGGCAGGAAAAAACTGACCACACTCTACTCCGGTACATACCTAGTAGTTCTCTCATACCACTAACTAGTATACCAGCAGTATATCAACAAACAATTCAACATTTATCACATCAATTTTATCATACAAATAAATCAAACTCAATGCAAGGTTGCTTTCTCTACCATTCACTAAGTACCTTTTCCATCCCTGCCAATTACTTATTGTAGCCTGGCTGGCATTTGATATAGATTAAATGTGCCCCGCAAATAAGTATACTACATAGTAGACAGACCACAGGGAGTTGGTTTCATTGAGTGGGACAAAAGTCGGATGAGAGGGACACCTTTATGCTATCGGACTACTTTTCCTTATCGGTGCTGACATAATCCAAAAATTTCACTACTAGATCACCACTAATCGTGTGTATCGCAACCAACGCGCATGCCCGCCTCATTTCACCGGCGGAGCTTGACAGCGATCGTTTCCTGGACTGAATCGTTCAATTACCGGTAAAGCCACTCTAAAATGCCTCACAAGCACACAAGAAGGGATCACGATCCCGCAGCGTAGGTTTGGCCTGTTCCGAACAACATGACCCATGCTGACTCTTCGCTGCAGGTTCGATCTTCCTCCATCGCAGATCGCGAGGCCGTTGCCCGTGCAACAGAGAAGTCGGAAAGCTCTGGCCGTCGCTGCCGCCGCAAAAAATGGCAAGAACGGAAAGAACCCAAAGACAGAAAATGATGGGGTCAAGAAGAGAAAGAGTCGTAGCAAAGACGACGACGCCCCGAGAGCGTTCAAGCGCCTAATGGCGCTAGCATCCGGCAAGAAACAACGATCCGGCCTCGACAATGGCGAAACATTGAATCAAAAGAAGAAGGCGGCCAAGAAAGCCGCCGCCGCGACCGAGAAGAGAGACGAATCAGGTGGCCAGCCCGATAAGCCGGAAGTGCCAACCATCCGTCCGGGCGAGAAGATGTCAGACTTCTCGGCGCGTGTCAACGCTGCTCTGCCGCTGGCTGGTTTGGTCAACAAGACGGAAAGGGGTGGAAAGGATCCTCTTGGACTCAAGGTCTATAAAACGCGGAAGGAACGGAAGATGCACAAGCTTTATGACCAGTGGCGAGAGGAGGAGCGAAAGATCCAAGAACAGAAAGAAGAGGAGATGGAAGAGGTTGCTGAGCGCGAGCTGGACGAGGAGATCAATGGCGGTACTTTTGGCAACTTTGGTCAGACATCCGCAGCCTTCTACGAGCCCGGCCAGGACGGCAGCAAGAAGAAGAAGGGCAAGAAGGGCAAGGGCGCAGACCGTGAAGAGGACCCCTGGGCAGTGCTTAAGAAGATGCGCTCAGAGGCCAAGGTAGGACTTCATGATGTCGCGCAAGCGCCTCCAGAGCTTCACAAGGCTGGACGAGACAAGCTCTTGGTACGCGGTGCTGCAGTCGATGTATACAACGTACCAAAGTCTGCAGGTAGCTTGAGAAGACGCGAGGAGCTTCAGGGGATCCGAGACCAACTGGTTTCGTCATACAGAAAGAAGAGGGAGGAGAAATTGGCTCGTTTAGCTACTTAAAACTTCTACTTCCAAGACATAAGATACCCGAATTAATACTTTGCATTGTCGAATGAATCTGGTGTACACAGCTTAGTGCGCTGCTAGGTTTACCTTTCTATCTTCCCATAGGTGCCTGCATATCTACCTAGATATGTTGAGTGATTTCAAGGCACAATCGGCGTTTCAGGCTCGTGCCACCGATCGCAGGAAAGCGTCATACGCACTAACCTCGGGACACCAGCCCCAAATCAGCCACAATATCAGCCACAACCTGGCCTCAGCTGTCTCAGTACCTCTCTAGTGGCAAGCAGATAATACCTAGCTACCTAGGTAATGGTCTCCATATGGGGGGTCCTAACGCTGCACCTGCGTGCTGCCACTATGTTCCTTCTCTCCACCGCCGAACCCAGTAGACCTCGCCCCCGACCCAAACGCCAAAGAGGGAAGGGTGAAGGGGAAAAAAAACCGCCAGAGATTTCCGACCAACTCCGAGCACCATTTTCAAAAGTCTCGGGTTCGATTATCCCTTGTCGACCCTTCACGCCTAACTTCTGCGCATTTTTTTTCTTCCTTCAAGCCGTCCACCCAAGAATGTTAGACCGTTACCGACGGCCACAATGTCTCGCGACCTTGAGCGATTGATAGAGTCACTCATAACCGACATTTCATGTTACGGTGACCTGGGTGAGTGAATCCTGCTGCTTCACTGAGCGAAAGAGTTTGCTCTCATTTAGGCTTCAATTTTTGTCCCCCACCCGCATTAGCATTAATCTGCTTCTCGATTATGTTGTTACAAGTGCAAATAATTGTCGCATAAATCCATCGCCTCTTCCATCGTCAGGTTCAAGAAGCTTGGGTTTTCATACTTATTTCTTAGCTGGTACATGGCTTCGCTTACTGACAAGAGACGATAGGATGCACTGTGTCGCATGTACTTGAAGCTCTTGGCACGTTCTACAAAGATGCGAACCTCCGGGAAAATGTATCGGCGGCTCTCCCCTTGATGTCAACGCCCGTAGAGTCAGAACACCTACTCTGGTCGACAGCCTGGGACTGGCTAAGAGCAAGGAAGGATATCTCTGTAGGAGCGAATCGAAAATGGAACCATCTAGCTCTATCCGATGTCCTTGCTGTGCCAGACCCCGACTCTGAGGGCGGGTCAACAGCACCTGGTATATCGGGAGAAGCCCCAGGAGCAGCGCCGGATGGTTCTCAACCAAAGGAGCCATCTCAAAGTATCACAAGAAACGATATTCCGCGGAAGCGACCCCGAATCTATGTTGCCGAGGACCGCATGTGGGAAGCCATCGCTGGACACGCGCCCGACTACCGAAGAGTTCCGAGACTAGAGTGGATGGCCTTAGTTGGCATCGCATCTACGAAGCATCAGGGCATTTTGCAGGGCGATCTAGGTCGACTTGTAGGCCAAGACAAACGGTCGTTGCCCAAGAGAACAGACGCGCTTGCCGACAAAGGATATATCTCGAAGCGCACGACTCTTGTTAGGGGCACCAAGACGAGCAAGATGTGGTTAACGCGCTTTGCCCCTGCCCTTCCGACAAACCCGCTCAAGACGGCCGCCAGCCTGCACACAACAGTCGATATGTCTCGGGATACTTTGGCACGCGATTTGGAACCCGTCCCATGGCGTGATAGGTGGAACGGGGACTCAGTTGACTACATTTCTCTTGCCCAGACAATCATGGCTGTTGTCAAGGCGTTCGGAATCATCAGGTATCACGACCTACGTTGCAAGCTGGGCATTCTAGGTTTGAGATGGCAGATGAAAGTGGCGGCAAAAACCTGCCGCTTTTTTGTCCAGACTGGGGCTGTCCAGTACGTAGGTGCCACTTTATCTGGCAAGCTCTTTAAGGACTGTCTCAAATTCGACCACGACCTTACTCATGAAGACTGGGCAGCCTATCTTGCTACAGGCAAGCAGAAAAACATCTCCTTCTCAACTGCGGACTTGGGCGATGCGGACCTTGCGCCCAGTCTGGCAGACACGGATGTGAATGCCGATCCCTCAAGCCTCGAACCTGGTCCCCGTCGCAACACTAATAAGAAGCACATCAGTTCACGGTCCAGTTGGTTGCCAGATAAGCCACTGATTGCAATCGTTTTCGATAACATCTCGGCTGCTGGCGCTGCGGGTCTCTCCAATAAGCAGATAGGAGACTCTACGCTGGGATCGTCATTCCGGAGGTATTTGTCCTCAATTTCTTCGACCATCTCTCTTCCAACACAACAGCCCAACGACCTGAGGCACTTCCAAGTAACGAGCGAGATGCATCGGAAGGGCAAGTCTCAGCAATACCGATATTTTGCAAGGAATTTGCAGCAGGCTTCTACGATAATCGTTGCTGAGGAAACAGCTGATGGAGAAACCGATGACCATTCCATGGCTAACGCCGTCCATGGTGATACTTTCGCAGCACTTTTCACAGACCCGGCTCTTCTCCCTGACACTGCTCGAGCTGCCGGCGGCTTGGCAGCCCTTGCCCATGTTTCCGGTAGGGGGCTAAATGCCATGTCGAAGAGAAAGTCTGAGATATCGGAATCGTCACAAGCCAAAGGAAGCCAAGGAATGGGGCCTCATTGTGCGAAACGGGCGAAGGTATCAGAGCAGGCTGAAGATGAAGCCACGGTGGGCAGTGGCTTTTCGCGGAGGGCCATTTCAGGGCACGAATCTGAATCAACCCCTTCACTTTCTATCCGTCGCGGTACAAGAAGACAATACGCTGAAGAAAAGGCGACATCATTAATAATTACCCTCAAGATGGATCCCTCTGCATTGTCAAATATTCTAAGAGTCACACAGACGAAGGACAAAGTCGACACCTCTTCTGACCCCAAGAAGGTTATCAATACTGAGGAAATCAACGATACCACACACACTCCTTTAGATCAAGCTATTCATTCGTCAATCCTGTTAGCAGCAGAAACGCCTCCAGGAAACCCCTCAACAGGAGAGGCCACAGTTTCAATTGACGCTCTAACAGTTGAAGAGTCGATTGTTGTAGCTTCTTTGCCCTCAGGGGAAGATGCGGACATGGACAATGCTGAGGTCACGGAAGACAGCCCCGCTGGAGAGTCACCTGTAAAACGCGGAGGACGCCGCAAAAAGAATCACGCAATGAAGTCTTCGAGCCGCGGTCGCTCCAAGGTCTTCAAGTGCGACAAGTGTGGCGGGACGTGGAAAAACGACGTTGGTATCAAGTACCATCTCGAGAAATCGAAAACAGCCTGCAACCCAAACTACATCCCGCCGCTATCCGGACCTCCTGAAGCTCTGTTTCCAACAGCCAAACGTTCCACACTAGCTAAACGAGCAGTCGCCGTTCCTCGGCAGATCCAGTCTCGCCACTCAAAGTCGTCGGCCATCGCTGGAATTCCCAATGATGATGATCAGGTTATAGAACAGATGCCAGAGGATTCAACCTTGGCAATTGGTTCGGGTACTAGCATCAGGTCCTCCAAAGGCAGAGTCATGCGACGCTCTGGAGAAGGGTCTTCCAACAGATATTCAGAAACCAGGCAGGGGGCGAGGAAGGGCATGATCAAACAACGCGGGAGCGCCAATTCCGCCTCGTTTGCACCTCCGCGCTTATCTTCAACCCAGGCGTCCATGAGCGGATTAATTGATATCGCTGCTGGGGGGGTTAGAGACGTGCCGTCAGAACACACGCCAGTCCAGCCCGCCTTTAAGAGGTCACGGGCAGAGGACGCCACGAACTTTGACGAAACGCATTCCTCTGCGGGGCGCTATAGACAGTCGTTCGCTGGAAAGGATGGGTTTGAGCAGCCATCTCCACCGATGCCCAAGAGACCTCAGGGTAATTCTGGGCGGAGAGACTCATATTCAGGCTCTACCAAGCCACGCTTTGGGCGGCACACCAATCAGAACGCCAGGACGGTAGCAGTTGGGGAAGCACCCTCGTCGGGAATTAGCAGTTCCCAAGTCGCGCACGCCGAAGCACTGAAGGCTAGTCTTGATGATAACGGTGTTCTATCAGAGCTCGAGATCATGGAGAGGACCCTCTTGTATATCCTCCGTGCAAATGGCGGAGTTTTTGCCGGCGGGCAGTCATTATGGTACGCTGTCATGGCGATGTGGGAAGCTGCGTTTCCTGTCGAAGAAGCTCCGGATCATCAATGTTATAAGGATGCTCTGGCCAGATTGGCCAAGAAGAAGCAGGTAGTGGTCAGCACCCATGCCTTCAAGGACTCGAGAGGCATGATGGCAAACTACCAGCTGATTCGAATACCTGGGGTCGAAGCATCGTCCCCAGCGGGTGTAGCTATGAAAGCCAACATTGTTGCTGAGCACCCAGGAGTTTACACACCATCCGCCTTTACACCTAGATCAGGGCTTCCCGAAGAGCATAAGCACGACGCTCAGCCTGTCTTTTCCAGTCGCAGGAAATTGGTACAGGGGATTGAGGTTCTCGACGCTCCATTCTATGCCACCAAAGCTGCCAATGAAAGACCAGTCACCCCCACTGAAGGCATTCAGACCCCCAGGAAGCGCAGGAGAAGGATGGTCACGAAGGAGCAGCTTACCCACGCTGAGGACGAAGGCCCTGATGGCAAACGGAGGAAAGACATTTTCCGTATTTTCATGGATGGACGGGGGGTAGCAGGTGACGGGCCCTCCGCCTTGCCGGAAGACAAGAAATCCGGCTTTTCTCCTCGACTTGTTTTCCTCAGTCCTAATACCTACTTGGAACGAGAAGTTTCAGAGGATGTTCATCAGGCATTGATACCTGTTCGACCAGATCCAGAGCCGACGTATCCCGCAGCATTGGCGAAAGGTGGCACCATCAACGACCATAATTTCGCATTTGCTGATGCCGATGTAATTATGGGCAAAAATGGCACCTGGCCAATCTACGACGACAGCTTCTTTGAGACGAGGGACCGTAGCCTAACGATTACTGGTTGGATGCCGGACTCTCGATGGTTTTTGAGGCAAAACTTGCCTCAGAATCTGACCGAGATGATCAAGTGGCGCGGTCGGCCCAAAGCCAGCTTCACTAGCAGCAGTCAGTACTCCGAGTTTGCCGAACAGGTCGACGCATGTTTTGACTGGGAGCTGTCTACCGAGGGAATGAAGCTTCTTCTGGCCGAGTCAATTGCTCCTGATCACATATTTATCAACCATGGCGTCGGTGACCTTCCGTGCGAATGGGAGAACCCGCCACTGGAATGGGATCCTGCGAACCAGCTTAGCCCATCTGCCCTGTTCGACATACAAATATCAGAACAGACGACGACAGCGACTGACCATCTCTGGGGTGGTGAACTTGGCCGGCAAAGAAGGCGGAAGCGGCGACAGAACAAGCTAGCAACCGAGCCAAAGGAGCTTGTCGTCGGCATTGATTTGAAAGTCAGAACGCTCATACCGCTTCCTAGGGATATGGATCTGAGGGACGTATCGAAACGTACTGCCGGACTTGATGAGACGAATGAAACCATTTTAATTGCAGCGTTTGTTGTTACGAGAACACTGTTAGGGGGCGCTGATCGAATTATCGAATGGGGTCTAATGATGACCTTATTCCCTGACATGGCACTTAGCGCTATGCGGCGATTCTGGTCGAAGGCTCGAAAGGACCGGGGCACGTTCATCAACCAGCTTACGGAGCGATTCCAGGTCCAGTTCATCTCCGCCTACGAGAACAACGAATTTCCACCCATTGATTTCGATAGCTATATTGATTACGATTGGCCGCGTCTAATCAAGTGGACGGCTGGCCTGATCGAGGATTCGCAGGAACTACCAGCCAACAAGGCTGCCCTGGACCGGGGTTATTCTCTGGGCTCGGCATGGACGGACGTCACCGACTGGCGAGACGACTACTACAACTTCCAAATGTCCGTCTTCAACCGATTTGAGGCGGCAACCTCCCGCCCGGCAACCTCTCTCGTGGACAGGAGAGACGAGATAGAGTCAGAAGTAGAAACTGACGATCTTGTCACCGCCATGTCATGGCTACGCTCTCTCTGTTACACTCACCGCGATAGGTACGCGCCTCAGGATATCAGGAAAAAAATGGCGAGCATTGGGGGCGGTAACGAGGACCGCATCCAGTCCTTACTTGAGCAGGCGGTCGAGATCCTTCAAGGTCAGGGTGTGATCACGGACAGCAAGCTTAAGGCCCTCGAGGGCCGACCGTACCGTCTCACAGAGACATTTCTGCCACGGTTCATGAAGTGGACTCACGAGGTCAAGTTTATCGATGCTGCTATGTTCAAGTTGAGACTTGACGGGAGCTTTCGGCGGGGCGAGAAGATTCGTATCCCGTACGTGTTGAAAGATGGCGAGGTCATGGCCATGATGAACCTGCAGGCCAATGGGCGAGTCACCATCACCACGGTGGATGTACCGAACATTCCCCTTGGTTTCGATCCGGGCAACTATGAAAGCAGAAAATACCCCAAGTCGTACTATAACTTTGGTCTGGAGATCGCGCCGACCGATACGTACATTTACGACGAGGACCTGGACATCCTTCGACAGGCCAAGAGCGACAAGCCTCTAAAGGAGAACCATAATCGCGCGATACCGTTGTGGTCCGACTTCTTTGGAGAAATGAATATAGATCGCTGGTCTCAGGTTCTTGGTGCGGTCGCGTTTGTTATCGCGACACGGGGACCTCTGGATGTTCCATCTGTTTGCGCCGTGCTCAAGCCATACTTGCTGGAGTTCGAGGTGCAAATGGTATTCGACTGGGGAAGGCGCAACGGTGTGTTGAAGGGAATGGCACATGGGGTAAGCTGTACAGTTGGCGAGTGGTGGTGGCTGCTGATTGGAAGGCAGCGAACCAGTACGGTGCTGTAGGACAAGATTCGAGGATTGGAAGACTTCAGCAGGTGTCTAAGGTAGGCGGACGTTGTGCCAACGGGTGGTTCGCACGGCAGCCCTCGTAAGAATACATCAACATCACAAAATATCGCGTATCGAAACCTTTGATATGAAGCTAGTGAAAATGCTGAACACCATAACCAAACGCCAGCAAATAAAGCAAACACCATGCCCGTGCCGTCTACCAGGCAGGCTTCGGTGGGAAAATATGACCCGCATGCCATAATAGCAAAAGGAAAGCAGAAAAAGACTAAATCAGGGGGGGAGACAGCATAACCAGCCCTTCATCTACAAATCCAGCAGAGCCTTTAGAATCATAGCCAGTAGAAGAACGACGAGTACGACGATCGCTCGATCAATCCAGAGCGGCACGCCTTCATCGTACGCACGGGCAGCCGGAGGAACTTGCTGCCGCACACCAACATTCGGAGCCGGAGGCAGCGAGACCGTCCTCGTAGGCGCTGGAATTCCCTGTCCCGGACGAGCGAGGGGATAAGATGGCGCCGAAGGTTGTGAAGCCGGCGCCGTGCTCGCCGCTGTATTAATCTCGGGCACCGTACGAACGAAACCCTCCGCCAGCTCGGCGCTTTCCATGTCCACCGCTTCAGTCCTAGGTGTTGAAGCCTCCGATACCGCAGCCGCTGCAGTCGCTGTGTTTGGCGATGCCTGCTCACCACCCGAACTAGTCTCAGTCTTGCTCATTTCATCCTTGTAACCCAACTTCAGTTCTGACGGGATCTCCACTTCGGCCGTGATTTGGGAAGAGTCGGCGTTGGCTTTGGCAGCATCTTCGCAGTCTTGAATGATTTCAAGGTTCGTTTTGGCGCATGTTGGACATTTAAAGGTATGCGATGCTGTGGCGTGGCGCTTTCTTACGGCGTCGCTTGTCTCGAGACCGCCTAGTTGACCCCTGGGGTCCGTCTCCATGAAGCTGCGTAACCTATTATTCGTTAGTCGGGGCAATGCTCGGATGCGACAGGGACGGTGGCCTACGCTACAAGTGCCGTCCTCACGCCCCATGCAGGCTGCCATGTCTCCTCGTGGTGACCGCTGATACTCAGGCAGATCTCGCGGTTGGTCTCGAACCGGCCGCTCGGGGTCAGGAAGCGAAAACTTGGCGGGCGGAGGGGGTAGGTGGGCGGCAGCACAATACGGCCGTGATAGATGCCTTCGCTGTAGGACGAGTTGGGAGGACCTCGGAAGGTGAAGTGCCATTCAAACAGATCTGATTCTATCGGGGTGGCTGTGTAATCTGGCGATGGGGAGCTGGAGAGTTCTTGGGCCTCGCGTACTGGATGGGTCAACAGGTTAGTCAGGCATCTGAGTGAAGTGGTGGACTCTGCAGGGGATTCTCACGTATGCGTCGTATTGTAGGCGACTTGGAGTTGAATTTTGGAGTTGTCATGATGGATGACTGGGTGGTGGAAGATCCTTTGGCGAATGGCTCGCTTCCAATGCTGAGAGGCCGGTTTTCTAACAGAGTGACGAACAAGAGGATGGTAAGGTTTGCAAAATGACAAAGACGAGACCACAAGTGTGAAATTCGGACGGGTTTCGAAGCTGTAACAAGGGAGAAAGAAAAAAAAGAAAAATAAACAAAGTATTGATTGTATGGTTCAGAGTTAAGTCCCTTGGCTGATCAAAGGAGGTGTAAGTAACTAGTGCTGAAGGGGATGAGTGACGGGATAGGTGGCTCTAACGGTACGTCGCGATAATCAATTGGGGGTTTGTCAGGTCTGAATGAGAGAGGCCTGTACCCACCCCGCTCTGAGGGTCGTCAGTGACTTTCCAGGCCCCGCCCGCCCCGAACTCTGGAAGCTCCTGTAGCGGAGAGTGTTTCCAATATCTAGGTACCTAGGTAACTTACAGAGGCAGGATACGTACCGAAAATAACAGAAGCAGCGAAGGGGCCACCGTCAAATGTACTTCTCATCATTGGTGCTCCGTCCGTCTCGGCACCACTTACCTAAGCATAGAAGGCTCAAGTCACTTTCCACCCTGTCGCTCTCGAACGGAACGACGCTCCATCAACCTTCTACCCGGCACCTATCACCACGTCTTGAGCTTCTCGACATATCCTGCCCGCGAAGTCCCGAGCCCCAGTAGACAAGACGACACTCAAGGTCTGTTTATAAACCAGGTATCAATCGATTGAGTTCTATGAACGGACCACTGACGGTTTCAGTTGCAGGATACCGTCTTCTCACCATTTCCGATCGAATATTTCTCCTAAAACAGACGCGCCTGGGCGAAACTACCAGTCACCATGTACCCTGGTCCCAAGCCTCCGACGCCTCACGTTCCTGGCATCTACCGCTTCACAGCGACTGCCTTGGGTGCCGGCATGTGGTTCTTCGTGCGTCTTCTCCTGCAGCTTCCAACGACGACTCCGAAAGTCCGTGACATACTGACATACTGCATCATCAACAGTTGATGTACCGCGCGAAGAAGGACGGTTTGTCTTGCTCCATATCTGGTACGCCCCTTACAATCAGAGACATGCTGACGGACGATATGCAGGACCCGTGTTGTTGGGCTGGAAGCATCCTTGGGATCACTAATCAAGAGGTCTTGAGATGGGAAGGGCTTTGAGCAGGTTGATTGCGGGTTCGCATAGAAAGCGGTAACGGCGACGAAATCGATCTCTTACACCGGGACTTTCGGTTAGATGTGCTAAAATGGGAGGGATAATGGTTGTTCTACTGTGCGCACAACCTAGATTTACGTTGAACGCGAACGTTGAACGCAATCTGTTGCTTGACCTCTACTCCATGTCTGCCTACTCATTTGCCGGGCTTCTCGAACAGGTAGTGCGCGACGCCCCAGGTGTCCCCGCCTTGATAGGCAAACAGCTCGGAACACGCCAAGTAAAATATCTGCCACCGATTATACCATGCGCTGGCGTCCAATTTCCCATACGTCTCGACCAGGTGTGGCCAGATTTCCTTCTTGTGTGCAAGCATCTTGCTCAGCCAGTCCTATGGGATTCGTGTCAGCTATTAGCCCTTGTGAACCTAACTCCAGATTGCCGAAACAAATTAGTATAAGAGACCGACCTCGCATGTCTTGGAGTAGTGATGGCCATTGACCCACCACTGCTTTCGGATCCTGAGGTTATCCTGAAAGAAGAGGAGAAGATCAGTCGACGGCATTGTGCCTCCGGTAAAGAAATGCGTGGTCATCCAGCCCTCCTCACTTGGGTTTGCAAGGTCAGCAACTATCGCGGAGGCTGAAGAATCGTCTTATTGCCACTTACTAATCGTACGGCGTGGTCTTGTGGGCAAATATGTGAACGAACAGCTTGCCGCCAGGCTTCAGTGCCCGCCCGACCTTGGCCATGAGGAGCTCATAGTTCTTCATATGCTCGAACAGCTGTTGTTCCTCATCAGTAATGGTTCAGTTGTAGAGGGTGAGCGGTGAAGGGAATGCATACCTCAATTGAAACGACTCGGTCGAACGACTCTTGGTCAAACTCATAGTCAACGACATTGCCGGTGATGACGGTAAGATTCGTGAGTCCCTTCTCCTCGGCCTTGGCATCAATGTACTCCTTTTGCGTCTTGGAGTTGGAAAAGGCTGTAACCTTGGAGTGGGGAAAAACTTCGGCAAAGTACATAGCACACGATCCCCAACCACAGCTGGCCACATTAAGTCAGCAGGGCTATTCGTTATATCTTCTGCCACTTGAATTGCAGTAGGTTGTAAGTATAACAATGGAAAGAGACAACTAACCCAAGATCCAGGATACTCATGCCATCCTTCAATTCGGCCTTTTCGACATAGGTCTGCAGCATGGCCACCTCGGCCTGGGCGAGCGTTTCGCCGCCCTTGGGGTACAGGCAGCACGAGTATTTCATACGAGGACCCAAACACGCAGCAAGGACCCCGGTGCCAACCTCGTAGTGCTGCTTATTGGCAGTTGCAGTCTCAATGGCAATAGGCTGGGTGCGAAGTTTCTCGATGAAGGCCATCTTGCGCTCATAGTCAAGGCTGAGGGAAGTGCTCGCGATGGAGTCGAGGCGCTCCTGAAGCTGTCGCCGGATGCCTATTCTGATGATGGCATGGGGCAAATACCCGCTGTCGAGGATCCAGTCTGTGTCAATGGGTTAGAGAAGAAGCATCACCGTGGTCATACGGCGGTGGACTGTGACGCTGGCACAGGCAGGGTACTGAGACCTACCCATATTCATATTGCATTCAAATCAACTAGAAGCAGCCTAATAGCTTGAGTAATGCTGAGATATACAACGATGATGCTCGACTTCGGCTTCGTGATTACTGCAATGTTTATTTTGACTGCTTGTGTGAAGTGGGTCCAGGAATGTTGAATGGTCCAACGCTTCGAAAGGGGAAGGGGTGTCCGAGCACACAGGGCAATTATGTATTGGATGTGTTATGAAAGGCACTTGGACAAGGTTATTTGTTTCATTGATGGAGACGTACGGGAGTCAACGGACATAAGAACGCTCTCTCTCGACCAGCAGTGCAGCACAAAGCCAGGGAACTCGGCAGTCGCGGTGGTTGGGGTGGCAGGTTGCATAACACAGCTTGAACCAGCCCCGATGCGGAGCCGGGGCGACCGCCTAGCTCGGCACCGGGGTGTGGGCCTTTGTGGACCATCAATGACACGTCCATTTTCCTTTTACTCACACCCTGCGCTACGCTGCCTTATATTATGACTCTGGGCACTCCGTAGTGGTTCTTGCTATATCAATAAAAGGATAGCAACTCGAACCGATATGCACAAATGCTAAATTTCAAGATGCCGATGTACAATTTACAACCGCCGCAACAGTGTAAGTACATAACCCAATGCAGTTTCAATGCTATGGTCTGATGTATTCTGATGAGACGCACGACCAGGTCGACCGTAGCCTTGAGGCGATCGAAGGATTCAAACCTTACACCTGCATGCTTTCCAAAATCGTCTTATACTCCTTCCTCTGCTTGGGTCTCTTTAAAACCCGCTCCTTGAAGTAACCCGCCGCCCGAGCCAGCTTCTGAAAGATATATTTTTCCGATGTCCACGCTGTTGCCAAGTAGACGCCTCCCAGAAGGATCATGAAAATTCCAAAGTCCCAGCTCGTCTTGGTAAGCTGCATTAGATGCCGTAAAGCGTGCGCTGGCCCGATTATCATGTACAGTGTGATCATTAGTGTTACCGCAATGGTCGCCATGAATGGCCCTGGGATTGGTTAGAAAAATCGGTGGCTACGACAGATTAGCAATACTTACAGTTCTTCACCGCCGGTTCCCTGAAAGGCGGACCGGCATTGAGTACGACGCCCGCTAGTATGTATTCGAAACAAGACACTAAGAACAGGACTGTATTCTCCGAGTTCTTGATGTTTGATTTATCATGGTCGACTTGCGGCGGAATATACCTGTTTCTTGTGAGCGAACGTGAATATAGTCAAATCACCGGTATATCGCCTGCTTACCACGGTTGCGCTCGCACCGCCGCGTACACGACTGCCTGTATCAAAATGCAGATGCCCATTTGGCCGAGCAGTGGAATGAGCACCTTACGAGAAACAAGATCTGCCGTTGGCCGTTTTCGTGACAGGACAGGAAACGGTCCAGCCCAACTCACTTAACGTAGAAGTCAGTATACCAAGTTGGAAACACCCGCTCGGGCTTGACTTACTAAAAACAGCAATTGGCAGGATCAACAGCAGATCGATAAACAGAAACTGAGACTTGGTCAGCAGTCGTACGCTTGCGGTACAACACGGCAACAGACCTGAAAGTCGCCAAGGTTTGACGCCGTGGCATAGAGAAAGCTGACAGACGTAAATTGAATCGCCGAGTACAGACTCATGTACTTGAAACAGCTAAAACTTGTCACAAGAGCGGCGCGTCCCTCTCTACATCAACATCAGCAGGTGTTACCAGGACGAGATGTTATCACACTTACCTGATGACCTGAGGCACACATCTAATGTCGAAGACGCGCGATGTGAAGGGGGCTGCGACAGAAGCCTCCGCCTCTGATAGTGAAATGCCAACGTCGGCTGCCTTGAGAGCACCACAGTCGTTCGCACCATCGCCACAAAACCCACAGCAATATCCAATACCTTGGAGCTTCTCGACTAGCTCGTGTTTTTCGTCCGGTGACATCCGTGCGAACACGCGACCGCGGACAAGCATCTATTGTTATGAGTTACCGATGCCAGAGTATGGTTTCGAAAGGCCAACTAACCCTTTGTAAAACCAACGGGGACGCAAAATCCACGATCCACCGGAAAACATCGCCACTAACAGCTAAAGAGTAGTTGCGTATATCGTTGATATTGTATGCCAGTGACGCATCAACTTCAGCCGGAGGAGGCAATGGCTACAATTAATGATTAGCTCGGGCATCTGAAGCAAAAGGTTGTCATTTACCAGTAATGTCTCCGCATTCAGTTGGAACATGCCATTGTCGATACTCTCCCATTGAAGCTGTGCTTTGGGATCACTAGCACTGCCTACCGACTGTTAGAAGAAGGCGCAAGGTAGCTGAATGCGCCACTTACCTTCTATGAATCTCGGAATGAAGCAGTGTGCCGTCTTGTTGATTAAGTTGCACTCGCGAGCCACACTAATGGCTGTCAATATATTGTCGCCGGTCACCATGGTTGTGCTAATGTTTGATTCAAGGAGCTCGGCTAGCACCGAGGCTGTGGTTGGCTTTAGCTTGTTCTCGAAAATGATGAATCCGGTGAACTCCAGGTTTGCCTCTACTTCGTGCCGCTTCATCTTCTGCGCTTTCACCCAACTGAGTTTGGGGATATGGCGAGTGGCACATCCAATTACACGGTAACCCTTGTGGGTGTAGTAGGCAAGTTGTTCATCGTAGTCGATCGGGACTGTTATGAAAGAGAAACGACGGTCAGCAACATTGACAGACGTGGAAAAGTGCCACTGCAATGGTGCTATTTCACGTACAGCTGTCTTCGCGACATATCTCCCGCATGCATTCAGGTGCACCTTTGACGTATATATCGCCACTTTGCTGGCCAAATTGTCGGACAATAACACTCGCTCTTCGAAGTTGAGAAACGAACTCGAAGGACCTTAAAATCCCGAGTTCGAATGGGGCCTATTCATCTTTGTTAACAGTGGTTTCCCCGGAGTAGAGTCTTTGACCTACCGATTGGTCCCGTAGCGCAATGGTATGACGCAATATGGTACTGTGCTCGGGAGGCGGTCTGGCAACTGACGGCGAAAGACTGCCTTGGTCTTGGTCATCTATCTCATTGGGGCTCTGTTTCCCTTCCTCAAAAGACCATCGCGTGAATTCGAACATTTTCAAATCAAGCGGGTCTCCCATTAGCTCATCATCAACGGATCGGAGTGAATGACATGTTGCCATGGTAAACAAGGCAGCCTTGAGCCTTGATGACTGGGATGAATCCCCGGCCTGGTCAAGTATGAAAGACGACGGGTCGGTGAGCACGTCTGTGAACTTGCCTGTGGCCGGTGAGGCAACCCGAACGCCGTGAATATCCAGTCCGTCTTCTGTGAGGGTGCCCGTCTTGTCAAAGCACATAATGTCAAGCTTGCCGCCCACGTTGACACGTTGAGGGCTGATACAGAATATTTGCTTCTTCTTAAGCCGACTTATCGCAAAGTTGGTGCCGATCGTGAGTGTAGCTGGGAGCGCAGGAGGCACCACGATGGTAATAAGATCCAGAGCGCGCACGATGATGAGGTGCCAGGCCAGGTTTAGACGCAAGAAGTTGACGAAAGATGCGATGAAACCAAGCATAGCTACCACGGCCATAACGCTGATGTACCGGAATGAATCGCGGTAGAACTTGAAGCCGGAGGGTTTGGGGAAAAGCATGGATCGCACAAGAGAGCCCTTCGTTGTACTGAACCCTGTCCTAACCACAAGCGCGAGAGCGACAGCGTCCCCATCGCGATCTTCTTGGGGACGTCGAGCCCGAATGATCTTGGTACCACAGAAAAGGAAGTGCTTGGCAATCTCTGGAGATACTGTAGGTGCAGCCAGGTCGAGATCGTACATAGTCTCATCAATGGCCGGGGACTTCGAGACAGGCACCGATTCGCCTGAGGCAGGTATGAGTACATGCTAGGTGCCGAATCGAGAATGCCCTGTGAGTGCTTACCTGTAAGCATGCTTTCATTAACGATACAATCGCCGCTGAGGAGTAGGCCATCAGTTGGAAACTGGGTCAGGTTCGGGTCGCTAACTTCGTATACATCGCCAGGCACAAGCTCGCTCGAAGGCACATATCGCCCTTCTGTTGTTAGTGATACTCTAGGTAGTAGTGGATTGACATTGCTTACAGAATCCATTTCGAAGAACTCGGACGTCACACTCAAAGCGAGAAATTTCGCGAAGTCGTTTCATCGTCTGGGCCTGTCAGCATCCAGCCATAGTTCTGGAATCATGGTTCCAGCTCACCGCTTTAGTTTCAATAAGGGTTGTCGCGATACTACCAAACGACATCAAAAAAATGGCAACAGCGTAGTAGTAATACTCGTCAAGAGACCAGAGAATCAGACTAGCAATCTGGAAGACGTAGAAAGGATGAAACACCTGGAGACGTCAGCAATTTGGCTCCGACTTCAGGCAATGAATGATAGCCAACCTCGTCCACGAGCAGCTGCGGTATCGACTTTTGCTCAATATCAATGAGGTTGTTGCCAAAGACGACTTCCCGTAGGCCCTTCTCGTCACTGTCGATACCGGCACGGACAGCGCGGGGATCAGTCCAGTTCGGGTCGACCCATCCATTGAACATAACAAACTTGTCCTTCTGTTGATTGAAGTACAGCCGGACGTAACGATAATTCAGCATGCGTAGTTCGGTGATGATAGGATCGTATTCATCGTCCATCACGTAGCCCTTCTCACCGGAGCCAAAGATGGTGGACATGGGCCTGCCATATAGTTTCTTGTCCACGTTCATGACAGCAAACTCTCCCCATTGATTCTGCGCAAGTTAGTGGTCAGTCTAGCTGGCTGGGCCCAGGATCTTACCTCCACCACAACCCAGTCACACTCGGCTAATGGGGACGGTTTGCCCAAGAGCCTCACCTGCCAGCGGGGAAGCCATCGCAATAACAGCCAACCAAGACCAAGCGTACAAAGACAGAGTCCCACATACGCAACAAAGCCCAATCGACTAGTCCGGAAGCCAGCAATAGCAATAGTCAGATCCTCGTTCACCATGTATATCTTTTGACTCAGCCGGTCTCCGCCCATGCTTTTATTCGTGGTTGCGCTGTCGTGGCGCAAAAGACGGTCATGGACGGAAGATCTCGAGTGCGTAGAAGATCGTCTATGCTGAATCATGTAGTCGTCTGCCACGTCCCTATTTTCGATATCGATGTCACTCTCATCCTCGTCACCAAAGGTAGAGTCCTCAAGGTCGGACAAGCTTTGGCGTTCCTCATCATACGAGGTAGGAGAGGGCTCGGGCTCGTCTTGGTAGTATGTAAAACTCGTCGTGGAGTTTGCACGAGGCCGGCGATGGGAGAAGGAAGAAACACTAGTGGGAAGGCTTTCGGCGATAGGACCGGAGAAGAGCTAGGGATACCCAGAGTCAGATCTGATGGATGGATGACTGGTGGTACTGGTGCGCATTGCAGGAAATCTAACCTCATCATGGGCCATTTCCACCTCTTCGAAGATACTTGTGCTGCTTTGGTTCGAGTTGAGCCTATACAATGGAGCGTGGCCATTTCTCGATGTCGATGGGACACGATGGTGTCCGTTCTCTCCCGGGGCTGACATGTTGGCGGTCTCAGTGCGACGTACTCGCTGCAGCGGAATTAAGGTCTCCAGCTCGAGCGATTGTACTTGGAAGAGGGTATCAATTTGCCGGAGCAAGGTGCGACCGAGGAAGGACGGTGGTGTATGCAAGCTGAGCAGGGCGCATGTCCGCGAAACAAACGTACGGTGTCGACAACAGGATTGGATGCTGTTGATAACGAGGCAGGTTGAGGAACTGCTACCTACGATGCGGTTGCGTCGAAAGGCTTGCGATAGATCTTAATTACTGTGCTTGACCATGAAACTGCAATACAGACAAAGAACAGTGGATCGGGGTGCTATGTAATTTGTTCTGCGACTCGGGCTCACAGCCGAGCAAAGAAAACCAAGTAGCGTCGCCGACCCGTTGAATAACGCGAATGCGAGGTTGACGCACCCCAAGTGCGTCGCGTGAGGTCAGGTACGGGACCTCAGGTAGAAAAGCTTGGCAAAATACTTAGCCACAAGTAACCTTGGAACCGTGAGGCTGCCATAGCCGCATCTGGCCCGCCGGAGTAGGTGCTTTTAAAGATGATGAGATCACTGATTGGTTGTTGATAAGGATTTCCATACCTTATCCATTAGTGTATCTCTCATCGGCTCCCGGGCAGTGCCCCTTTCTCACTCGCAGACTCAGTCTTCATAAGGATAAATGTCGGAAGACTTACGGAGTACTGTATATTATATAAGCAAGTCAGGATGGCTACGCGGTTGCAATGGGCGAATGCAAAAAGAGCAAATGACACTTTTTGGTCTAGTGGGGTAGAACTTGCTTTGTCCCCGCTGCAATGCAATGCGCTGCTGTTGCTGCAGCAGGGCGCCCCTGGATTGTGTATCTGGCCCTGCCTCCACTTAAGTAACTGGGCGCGAATGTGGCGTGGCATTGAATGGACGGTGAACTCTTTCTCTTCTCTCACTTGACCGACATTGCCTGGCCCAAACACCTATTGATTGGGATCCTGGCTCGTCTTGGTATTTCACGCAAATACTCTTAATGATTTGGGCACTGTAAAAGCTCAAGACTGGCCTCAGGGTATCAACCCCATAGGTACTTCTTAGGTAGACAGCGTGTACTATTATTCATCGCTGTTCTGGGGCAGCACCTGCCCCTCCTTGCGGGGGTGTTGAAGGCCGGGGTCATAGAGCACAGCAGTGAAAGATAGAAGGTGCTAGCCCGCCTAGCCCATGGGCACCCCCTACACACCGTTGCCGTAACGGAATCTATTGGCAGCCCGCTACCCGCTGTGTCCGCCTAATCAGGACCAAAAGTAGGCGCCTAGGCAGGTAAGGGTAAAAAAGACAGTTGCAATACCCGCCCCAACGAAGGAGGAGAAAGGCCTCTCTCCCTTGTTTTTTTTTTCCAACACCGCATATTGCCTCGCCCCCCCACCAGAATAAAGTCGGGTGCACAATCTAGAACTCCTACCACACCGGGACCCGCGTCCTCTGCCCTGTCAATTCCATCAACCTCAACCCCCCCAAATCAGCCTAGGAATTTTTCACCCCCCGCCTCTCACAACCTCAATCTATTCCTCTCAACTACGAGAAAGACGAATCGAACGCACATCATGGCTGAACCTATTCGCAACAAGCGCCTCGACCCGGCCACTGCGCCGTAAGTAACAAAACCTGCCGCACTGTTCGGTGGTGGCGAGGGGTCGCTTTCTTGCGCATCGCTTCCCGCACCCGCCTCGGCAACCCATCTTCCCCAGAATTGACCACGATGGCTAACACTGACGTCTCTATCTCAAGCACGCCGCAGAACACCCCTCTTCAGAATGCACCCATCTCTTCGCATGCCCAGCAGCCTGGCGTTGCGAGCATCAAGGAGGGTATGTAACAATAGCCCCCTCTCTTAACTTTGCCCCCCCCCCCCCCCCCCGTTTTGCCATGCCCCTCTATCGACCTGTTACTGACGGTGTACCTCGATCTCAGAGGACTTTGACCGCGCCGCTGCCGCCTCCATCTTCGCTCAGAACCCCAAGCTCGTCCAGATGATTCAGGGAAGACTTGGGTCCCTCGTCGGCCGATCCTCCGGTTACATCGAGTCGCTGCCACCCCAAGTGCGCCGTCGCGTTGCCGGCCTGAAGGGCATCCAGAAGGAGCACTCCAAGCTCGAGGCCGAGTTCCAAGAGGAGGTTCTCCAGCTCGAGAAGAAGTACTTTGCCAAGTTCACTCCCCTCTATGAGAAGCGTGCCACGATCGTTAATGGAGGCTCTGAGCCATCCGAGGAGGAGATCAAGGCTGGTGAGGAGGACGACGAGGAGGACGATGAGAACGATGATGCCGAGAAAACTGACAAGGCCGACAAGTCCGCCGAGTCATCTGAGCCTGTCTCTGGTATTCCCGAGTTCTGGTTGTCTGCCATGAAGAACCAGATCTCCCTTGCCGAGATGATTACCGACCGTGACGAGGCCGCCCTCAAGCACCTTATCGACATTAGGATGGAATATCTCGATAAGCCCGGTTTCCGCCTCATCTTCGAGTTCGCCGAAAACGAGTTTTTCACGAACAAGACCATCACCAAGACCTACTTCTACCAGAACGAGAGCGGCTACGGCGGCGACTTCATCTACGACCACGCTGAGGGTGACAAGATTGAGTGGAAGGAGGGCAAGGATCTGACGGTCAGAGTCGAGAGCAAGAAGCAGAGAAACAAGAGTAAGTTTGCACGAGCCACAACCCGACAGCCAATGGTCGCTTACCCCGGACGCAGACACCAAGCAGACCCGTATTGTCAAGAAGACGGTACCCACCGAGTCTTTCTTCAACTTCTTCTCGCCCCCCCAGGCCCCTGCCGACGAGGACGATGATGCTGCCTCTGACATCGAGGAGCGCCTGGAGCTCGACTATCAACTGGGCGAGGATATCAAGGAAAAGCTCATTCCCCGTGCGATCTATTGGTTCACTGGTGAGGCGTTGGCATTTGAAGAGCTGGAGGACGACGATTTGGAGGGTGACTACGATGATGAGGACGATGAAGACGAGGATGACCTTAGCGAGGGCGGTGATGACGATGAGGAGTCTGAGGATGACGTAAGTTGTTCCTTACACCAGTAGCTCAAGGCAGTGCATTGCGGGCACATCGCAATACAGATGCTAACCTCGGACGCAGGACGACACCGGCAAACCCAAACAGGAGGCGGCCGAGTGCAAGCAGAGCTGAGCGACGTAAGCACAGGTCACTTTGTTGCTAGGTTCCTCGCGTTCATGACAGTCTGGATTGAGGAAAACTTGATGGTCGGGCAGTGGCTCTCTCGCGATGACAGATGCGCGGTAGTAACTACGTTACGCTTCGCGCCAGGGTAGCATTTCACGTTCAAGGATTGGGCCAAGCAGAGCAGCGTCCGACAGGCGAGCTCCTGCTTGATAGATGGTAATTGACATTTCGGTCCGAGACTGCTTTTTTGACGACTTTTTACGTCTTGGTCATGAATGATGTTGTACGTTGCTGCTAAAAGAGGATTCGTAGACAGTGTGTTTTTCTTTCCTTTTTCTTATCTTTTTTTCCTTTTTTTTGTAAAACGGGTATTGGAAGACCAGCAACGCAGGTAGTAGACAGAGAATAAGTCAAGCCAGCATTCTTTCCCTCTTGCATTACATGTTGAGGTTACCCGACGACAATAATGCAGCCTGAGGATAGAGCAATCTGAAGCAAGCCTAGTGCCTGCAGCCATGCTCATGTCAGGGATGGATATTGTCAAAAAGACCATGGTGTTCTCTACATAACGGTAAGTCACAATGCGGGTGAAGTCAAAGAGCGAGCAAGCGATGGAAATCGAGAATTTCGGGTTCGGTAGTCTTGGCGGTGGTGACCAAAATGGTAGCTCCGTTTACATCGAGTTGCCGTGTTGGGATCGGAGGCGGACGTCGCGGCGCAGGTGAACTTGAGGCGTGGCACAGTAAGTAGGAACGGTTTTCGAATTAGTCACACGGTCACAGGTTTGCAACATGGTTCAAGCTTAGGGTGGTTGGTTGCATGCTTGTGCCATGGCTGAATAATTCTGGAGCCTGTTTGAGGGGACATGTTTTCAAATGGTGTCCGACTGACTTGGGAGCGCTTTTCTCATATACTACCCATGTCCGCATTGTGTTGGCTTGGGCATTGTTTGCGGCGATAGAGTGGTCCGTAACCGGTGCTGTAGGTAATGTCGACGAATTACACTACCTAGAGCCGCAGGGGGTCCATTACATCAGGTTGTAAATGCGGTCAAATGATCAAGGACGCCGCGACCCATGTGGCATTTGGACAATCGGTCCGGTCATGCCTCCCTCTACGCCGGCGCTGGGGAAAAGTTTTTCTGTCTTGCCCCCCCCGGCCCATGTCGAACCGAGTGACTCAAGCCAAAGAATAGGGCAAAATATACCGAGCCATCTATACCTAGGTGGATTGGATGGTGTGAGTCTTTCTCTAGATCCTGCGACCGAGTGCCGGAACCTTGGAAGATCGTGCCATCTTCGGAATTGCTCCTCTACGGGCTGTTAACACTGTATGAGCAAGGGCATCTACTCCATCTGGCTAATGATTTGCTATATTGTTCAAAGTAAGATATCCGCCGCTCAGTATCAACACAGTGCGCGACTCTGGAGCGGTAGCGTCATGGGCTACTAACCCACAACTTCGGGTCTGTCTTGCTGGGTCTTTCCTTTCTTGCCCCTCCATTGCCTAAGGAGCTGACCGCTGGCGGCGCACGTCAACGACCTCAAAAGGGAAGCTGTGAAGTATTTTTTAGGTGAAGAAGCCTGGGAAAGATACCTAGTCCGGAATTTGGCATTTACATTTTTTCATTGGCCACGTCCCTCCCTCTGACATCCCGCCTCATTTGACTGTGCCTTTTCATAAATCTTTCCAGAACACATCAATCTGCGATCTAAACTCAACTCGCACCAATCCTCGTTGGCAATTCCCGCTTATCGTCTCTGATACTGTTCCCAAAACTCATCTCACTGTCAGACGTCTTTCCACGTCGCATTCGTGTACTTCTTCTCACTGCCGCTCCTCGTCAAAAAAAAAAATCGTACTGCCCCTCCATCGATCTCACAGTCATATAACACGAACCAATAACCTTATAGGCGTCACGTACCATGGCCTCAGCAAAGGATATCGCCGGTGCCTCCGCTCAAAGCACAACGCTCGAGGTTTCTGCCAGCTTGGGTCTGTCGACTTCCCCTACGGTCAATTTTCAGTCTCCCCCTTCTAGCTTTGCAGGCGCTGCTTTGACCCGCAGACCGGCCCCGAAGCTTCTGAAACCCTTCGACACTCAAGACATCAAGATTCTGCTTCTCGAAAATGTGAACCAGACAGGCAAGGACATTCTCGCCGAGCAGGGCTATCAGGTCGAGGCTCTCAAGACCTCTCTGCCTGAGGACCAGCTCATTGAGAAGATCCGGTATGCGTCTTTCTTTTGACCGTGGCTAAACGTAGCCAAGATCCTTGCTCACACTATGTGATACACCAGGGACGTACATGTCATTGGCATTCGCTCCAAGACCAAGTTAACCGAAAAGGTCCTGCGTGAGGCCAAGAACTTGCTAGTAGTTGGTTGTTTTTGTATTGGCACTAACCAGGTCGACCTCGAGTACGCTGCCGCCCACGGTATTGCTGTCTTCAACTCTCCTTTTGCCAACTCGCGAAGTGTTGCTGAGCTTGTCATTGCTGAAATCATCACTCTGGCCCGTCAGCTTGGTGACCGTTCTAACGAGATGCACCGTGGCACCTGGAACAAGGTCAGTGCCAAGTGTTGGGAAATCCGTGGAAAGACTCTTGGTAAGTTGTCCTAATCCCGCCAGAACGACCTGGGCGATGCGCCGATGGCATACTGATGTGCAACTAGGTATTGTCGGTTACGGTCATATTGGCTCGCAATTGTCCGTTTTGGCCGAGGCCATGGGCATGAACGTTGTGTATTACGATGTCGTGAACCTCATGGCCCTGGGTACCTCGAGACAAGTGCCCACATTGGACAACTTGTTGGAGGAGGCCGACTTTGTCACATTGCATGTACCAGAGCTTCCGGAGACCAAGAAGATGATCTCGACTGCCCAGCTAGAGAAGATGAAGACAGGCGCTTATCTGATCAACGCCAGCCGTGGTAGCGTTGTTGACATACAGGCTCTCATCAATGCCATGCGCTCTGGCAAGATTGCCGGCGCCGCTCTCGACGTCTACCCCAACGAGCCAGCAGCCAATGGCGACTACTTCAACAACTCGCTCAACTCCTGGGGTGAGGACCTGCGTAGCTTGAACAACATCATCCTGACGCCACATATTGGTGGTTCCACTGAGGAGGCTCAGCGAGCCATCGGCGTCGAAGGTGAGTCGATGCCAGTGTGAGCTTGGGGTCCCCAACGATGCTGACTAGGACTAGTTGCCGAAGCTCTTGTGCGCTACATCAATCAAGGTGTTACACTCAACAGTGTAAACCTGCCCGAGGTCAACCTGAGATCCTTGACTCTCGATGAGCCCGATCACGCCCGTGTAAGTGTTTAGTGTCGTAAAACCCAAGTCGACGTGGCTGACTGGAGTAACTAGGTCATCTACATTCACAGAAACGTTCCTGGTGTGTTGCGCAGAGGTAAGATAATAGCGAAAGCTCAACCCATGAAGTCCACATACACATACTGACTGACAACAGTCAACGAGATTTTGGGTAACCACAACGTCGACAAGCAGATTTCCGACAGCAAGGGCGATGTTAGTCTTGACACCAAACTTCGTTCAAAGCAGGATCGTATTGCTGACACATACACAGATTGCGTACTTGATGGCCGATGTCAGCAGTGTCAAGGCGGAGGATATCAAAGAGATTTCCGATGGTTTGGATTCTCTTGGCTGTGAGTGCAAAGCTCGGTATTGTGATGACAACAAATTTGCTGATATAATGTGACAGCCCGTATCTTGACCCGTGTTCTGTACTAGAGGGGGGACTGGCCATGGCATTGGGAGGGCGTTTGAGTTGGACAATTTGGTTCATGATAGCAGCTGACGAGACCCTGCAATTCGAGACAGCATTTCAACATGTCGGCAGGGTCCGCCAGGATGCTTTGGATATTGGAGTATCGGGATTCATATCAACTTGAAGGCAAAAAAGTAGGTGGATATACTTCGGTAGTACAAGGGCGCCCCGAATTTAAAGTAGAAAAGAGGGAAAAGAGAAAGAAAAAAAAGGGACGAAAAAGGGACGAAAAGATGCACAAGAACAATGATAGAAAAAATAAAGAAACAGAAAAAAAGGGAGCTGATATCTTAAAACAGTATTGGACGCGCCAACGATGTGACGCGTTTTGGGCCCTGGTTCAGACCGATTGATTTATTTCGTAGCAATGCTAGTCATGACTAAGCTAGGCAAAGGGTGGAGGCTGGGGGAAGTGGATACATAGGACTGCAAAGCGGTGAAGGGATGAGGGAATGCATGGTGAACCTATTAAAGGCAGGAATTGGCCAGCGCAAGTTACGAGGGGCAAGACCGGAAATTGTGTATAGTAATGCAGCGGATCCGAGCCCGGACCTTGGAGACTAGACAGCGTTAGCACTCCCCTTTCTTCATGCCTGACGCGGGTGCGTGTGGAAGATTACCTTCTCTTCAGTGTCAAAAGTGACACGTATCAGATGCCAAGAGCCGTCCGTGGCTGATGTGGTTCAGAGGCCATGTGTCAGTCAGCCCATAGCCACATGAAAGAAGAAGGGCAAACGGAAATATGAGAAGCCGTCCTGATGCCAAACAGGCACGGAGTGGCGTGCCAGGGAATGCTGGGGATAGCGGAGAACACCCTGGGTGTCCTGAACTAAAGACGAGATGAACATTTCAATACACCGGGAGCGAGGCGAGTAGGAGTAGGGGAGAGGAAGCACCCTTCTCCAGCAGGAAATAAGGGCCGTGGAGAAGGGCGGTCAGAAGAGTGATAGGAGTGGACTGGCTGGTTGGCTCGCTGAATGGACAAGCATTGATGTGATAATTATTCGGACCAAAGCGCCAGAGGGCAGTGGGAGGGCACTGTACATTCCAACGATGCTCCCGACCAGAATTAGGGGAATCCCAAGCAGCAGCACGTAGTACAGCGCAGCGTGTTTCTGATGACCTGGATGGCCATACTGGTCTGAGAAAAGAAACGACCCTAGACAGCATGCATGCTTGTTGTTGACGTTTAAGAGTTCATGGAGTCTTAGAGGATGGAGTCTGTGGTTACCTTTCATCTGGTTCAGTCCCTTGGGATGACGCACGAAGGCTGGGCGGTCCTTTCCCTTACCTTAGTTGTTCTAGGACGAAGCAGTAATCCTGGCGCTGGCAAAGACGACGGCGCTAAGGCTACAGGTCAAGAGAAGCTTGAGAGAGCCGGTTGTTTCGTTGCTCCCATTTGCACCCCTTCTCTTTCTTTCGTGCAGTTGATGCCGTTTTTGGCTAGCCACAATAAACAAGCCTTCACAACTCATACGGCGCTTCAATGTAATACACTAACGCAATTCGTAGACAAGTCCAAATAGCGTGCGCAAAGTTAAGCAGGTGCCAGGCTCAGATTGTCGTTGTTTTTGCTATTATTTTTGGTTTCATTAGAATAGAGCTTTGGTTTTTCCTTTCTTGAAACAAGTAGTGAGAGGCCTTTGTGATACTGTCCTAGCCCAGTTGATACAGACCAACTTTTATTATACATAGTATTACAAGCAATTCTGTCTAGGCGGTAAAGCGGGACTTTGTGCCCACACAGTCTGCCAATCAGACTTGAGTAACTTTGATACTCTTCCAATGTCTTGACATGGTTGTGCGCTGTGCAAGTTTGCGACTTTGCAGGCCTGGGCACCAATTGCGCCCTTGAGGTTAGATGTCAGCAATTGAGCTTGTCATCTCTCGACGCTTGGGTTGGCTTGAGGCAACCGCCCGCCAGCCCAGCTGTCTGGTTCGGTAGGTTCCTTTCAACTCTCAATACCGCCCTACCGATGGTCCAAGAAATGTTGTGGCCATATGGCTACTATGCCATTCTCTTCCCATCTATCCACCGTGGATGCCAAAGGAGGCAGCGGAGGGCTTTCATTGATTACTTGAGATTCCCTCATAACTGAACGGACTATAGGTAGTTTATCCGTACTTTTGCTTGAACTGCAGCGTCCTTTGCATGCCTGTCACACTCTCTGTGGGGCTTAGCTGCCCGTCCCCTTTTCTGGCCACTTTTAGTGTGTATGTAGTATGCCTCAGGATTTACGCATGAGGCCACTAGAAAAGGGGGTCGGCACCAACGCCTTATGTAATACAGGGCACCTTCTTGCTGGTCCTTGGCCGAGTATCTTAACCTGATACAAACAAGCCTTTGAAGGGCTGCTTGAGGCATGTGAGAGTCATTGTACCCGTCTGTCTGTATCTGTATTGGCACCAACCAAACTTGCACTGCTGTAAGGTACAGGCAACCACATAGAAGTTAAAGAAGCTGAAGGCTGGGTTAGGCCTACCCCTTAACGTTGTGGTCGGTCTAGTGTATTTTCTCTGTGATGTACCTTGCTGAAGGGGGAATAGGGGACCACTCAGTGCCCAGCCCACTCTGTTCTATGCCTGTTACTCAAAGCACGCAGCAAAGCAGCAACAAGAGCAACAAGTGGACGGATTTGGAGTTACAAAGCAGGGAACACCTCGTCCCTCTCCCCTTCTCCCAAGGTGGCCTGCAGCAGCGGGTGGCATTAGGTACCTTATCGAGTGAAGTAGCAGCCAGATGCATGTCGAGACGACATGCAAGTACTTCACACACACACACACACACACACACACTGCAACACGCACTCAGTAACAGGAACAGCACCAGCACTGGCGCCGCCAAAAGAATCAGTGCGCTCGTCCCTCCCCTGGTGTTTTTCCTTGGAGCCCCTGTCAGCTGGAACCTCAAAAAGTTGTCCCGATCTCTTCCACTTGCACCACGTCGCCTGGCCCATCTTCCCTCTCCTCCCCTTCCTCTCCCACACAACTGTCATTAATCTATCCTGTCTACTTACGGCTTTTGCATTTTGTGCAATCTACGGTTCCTAGCTGGCTATCCCCAACTTTGGACATATACCCGCTAGCCGTAGTCGAGCACCGAGCACCGCGCTCTCCTGTCCCATCTCTCAATCCATCTCCGTCAAGATCAGACCGGGCCGCACTCAGGCTGGTTTATCTTCTATCACTCTAGACTCTCTTCAGTACCTCTGCCACCCATCTTCTTCTTCTTCTCCTTCGTCCTCTCCAACGAGATAACGACGCCGAGAAACTCGCAGGCAAAACCAATCACTGGTAGCCATCGCCTCCAATCCGTCTTGGTGCTCCTGGATTCTCGCACGCCCATGAATCTCACCGGTTGCCCCGAGCTCCTACCCCTAGACCTTCCGAATCCCATCCGCCTCTTCTCCGGGACATACTAGTTCTCCCACCACCCAAAAAGCAACAACCTCCGATTTCGACTCGATCGACTATACTCCATACTTCTTCACAATGTCTGAGAACTACGACGTCGGAACGAGGGCGTGGCAGCCCGACACAACGGAGGGCTGGGTTGCATCCGAGGTCATCAATAAGACGGAAGACGGTTCCAAGGTTAAGCTGGTCTTCAAGCTTGACAATGGCGAGGTACGATACGTGTATTTGTCGGACTGGGTTCCGGCCGATTTCCATGCGCCCCTTTACTGACAGCTGCTTCAGGAAAAAACCATCGAAGTCACTGCGGAAGCTCTCCAGAAAGGCGATTCCTCCTTGCCTCCTCTGATGAACCCGACCATGCTTGAGGCCAGCGATGACCTGACGAACTTGTCTCATCTCAACGAGCCTGCTGGTACGACCTGCACCTTTTACAATCCATAGATCAGCTGTCCTTACTGACTCTGTTACTTCTTGCAGTCCTGCAAGCCATTCGTCTTCGATACGCACAGAAAGAAATCTACACATACAGTGGTATCGTCTTGATCGCGGCGAACCCCTTTGCCAGAGTAGACTCCCTCTATGTTCCTGGAATGGTGCAGGTGTATGCCGGCAAACAGAGAGCAACACAAGCACCTCATTTGTTCGCTATTGCAGAAGAGGCTTTCATGTGAGCCAGCTTGTCCTCGCCATTCCATTGCCTCTTGAGGGCACGTCTCGGGCGTCCGCTAACATAATGCAGTGATATGGTGCGCAGTGGGAAGAACCAGACCGTTGTCGTGTCAGGAGAGTCAGGTGCTGGAAAGACGGTCAGCGCCAAGTACATCATGCGTTACTTCGCGACGAGAGAATCTCCTGACAATCCGGGAACTCGGTCCAAGAAGGGTGCTGAAGCTATGAGCGAAACAGAAGAGCAAATCCTGGCCACGAACCCCATCATGGAAGCGTTTGGAAACGCGAAAACGACGCGTAACGACAACTCGTCACGATTTGGCAAGTACATCGAGATCATGTTCGATGACAAAACCAACATCATCGGCGCCAAGATCAGAACCTATCTTCTCGAGCGATCCAGATTGGTTTTCCAGCCCCTGAAGGAGCGCAACTACCACATCTTCTACCAACTCGTCGCCGGTGCTTCAGACAAAGAACGCCAGGACCTTCATCTTCTTCCCATCGAGGAGTTTGAGTACCTTAACCAGGGCAATTGCCCTACGATAGACGGCGTCGACGACAAGGCTGAATTTGAAGCGACAAAGGCTTCTCTGCGGACAATTGGTGTCAATGACGATTACCAGGCAGAGATTTTCAAGCTTCTCTCTGGTCTGTTGCACCTAGGAAACATCAAGATCGGAGCGTCGCGCAATGATAGTGTCCTCGCGCCTACTGAGCCTTCTCTGGAGCTGGCTTCCTCGATTCTAGGCGTTAACGGACCCGAGTTTGCTAAGTGGATTGTCAAAAAGCAGCTGGTTACGCGAGGCGAGAAGATCACATCCAACTTGACGCAGGCCCAGGCCATCGTCGTCCGTGATTCCGTGGCCAAGTTCATCTATTCGAGCCTATTCGACTGGCTAGTGGAGATTATCAACCGCAGCTTGGCGACCGAGGAGGTTCTTAACCGCGTTACCTCCTTCATTGGTGTACTCGATATCTACGGCTTCGAACACTTTGCCAAGAACTCTTTCGAGCAATTCTGCATCAACTACGCCAACGAGAAGCTTCAGCAAGAATTCAACCAGCACGTCTTCAAGTTGGAACAGGAAGAGTACCTAAGGGAGAAGATTGACTGGACCTTTATCGAGTTCTCGGATAACCAGCCGGCCATCGATCTTATCGAAGGCAAGCTGGGTATCCTGTCCTTGCTGGACGAAGAGTCCCGTCTCCCCATGGGCTCTGACGAGCAGTTCGTTACAAAGCTCCATCACAACTATGGCAGCGACAAGCATAAATTCTATAAGAAGCCAAGGTTTGGCAAGTCTGCTTTCACCGTGTGTCATTACGCCGTGGATGTCACCTACGAATCGGAGGGCTTCATCGAGAAGAACCGCGACACTGTGCCCGACGAGCACATGGCAGTTCTTCGCGCCTCCACAAACAAGTTCCTTCGCGATGTGCTTGACGCCGCTTCAGCTGTGCGAGAGAAGGATGTGGCCTCTGCAACGTCCAGCTCTGTGAAGCCGGCCGCTGGTAGGAAGATTGGCGTGGCTGTCAACAGAAAACCGACGCTGGGAGGCATTTTCCGCTCGTCATTGATCGAGCTTATGAACACCATCAACAACACGGATGTCCACTACATCCGATGCATCAAACCCAACGAAGCCAAGGAGGCGTGGAAGTTTGAGGGTCCCATGGTCCTCAGTCAGTTGCGAGCTTGCGGTGTACTAGAGACTGTGCGCATAAGTTGCGCGGGCTACCCTACTCGATGGACATACGAGGAGTTCGCCCTTCGCTACTACATGCTCATCAACTCGGACTTGTGGACGTCGGAGATTCGGGACATGGCGAATGCCATCCTCACGAAGGCACTTGGCACGAGTTCCGGCAAGGGCTCAGACAAGTACCAGCTCGGTCTCACCAAGATTTTCTTCCGTGCTGGCATGCTCGCTTTCCTCGAGAACCTGCGCACTAACCGGCTCAACGACTGCGCCATTCTCATCCAGAAGAACCTGAAGGCCAAGTTCTATCGCCGTCGCTACCTTGAGGCTCGTAACGCCATTGTGACTTTTCAGTCCGCAGTCAGAGCCTACAACGCCCGAAAACAGGTTCAAGAGCTCCGCACGGTCAAAGCCGCAACAACAATACAGCGGGTTTGGCGTGGCCAAAGACAGAGAAAGGAGTACTTACGCGTCAGGAACAATGTCGTCCTGGCGCAAGCGGCGGCCAAAGGTTACCTTCGACGAAAAGAAATCATGGAGACCCGCGTAGGCAATGCTGCTATTCTCATCCAACGCGTCTGGAGATCGCGGCGACAAGTCCTGGCCTGGAGGCAATACAGGAAGAAGGTAACGCTCATCCAGAGCTTGTGGCGTGGCAAACTTGCCCGTCGTGATTACAAGAAGACGCGTGAAGAGGCCCGCGATCTGAAGCAGATATCATACAAACTGGAAAACAAGGTCGTCGAGTTGACACAGTCTCTGGGCACGATGAAGGCGCAAAACAAGAACTTGTCATCTCAGGTCGAGAACTACGAGGGTCAGATCAAGGCCTGGAAGAACCGCCACAACGCTCTTGAGGCCCGGACGAAGGAACTTCAGACCGAGGCCAACCAGGGCAGTATCGCCGTTGCTCGGCTGCAGGCGATGGAAGATGAGATGAAGAAGCTGCAACAGAGCTTTGAAGAGTCAACTTCCAACATCAAGAGGATGCAGGAGGAGGAGAGGGAACTGAGGGAGTCCCTGCGCTCTACGAGCACCGAGCTTGAGACGGTCCGCCAGCAGAGCGCCCAGATTGAAAGCGAGAAGCTTTCGCTGCGTCAGCAGCTCGCAGAACTGCAGGATCAGCTGGAATTGGCGAGACGCCTTGCGCCGACCAACGGGGAGCTTACAAACGGTGCTACCCAGCCCCAAACGTCAGCCGCACCTGGTCTCATTAACCTCGTGTCTTCCAAGAAGCCGAAGCGCAGAAGTGCAGGTGCCGAGCCGCGCGAGGTCGACCGCTTCAGCGCTGCTTACAACCCTAGGCCCGTCTCAATGGCCGTCACCAGCACTGCCCACAGACAGAACCTGCAAGGCACAGGCTTCATGCCCGGTGTCGATAACATTGAGCTCGAGCTCGAGACTCTGTTGGCCGACGAGGATGGCCTCAATGAGGAAGTCACAATGGGTCTCATCCGTAACCTCAAGATTCCATCGCCCAACACTAACCCGCCGCCATCCGACAAAGAGGTTCTCTTCCCTTCGTACCTGATCAACCTTGTCACATCCGAGATGTGGAACAACGGCTTCGTCAAGGAGTCAGAACGTTTCCTCGCCAACGTCATGCAGTCAATTCAGCAGGAAGTCATGCAGCACGATGGCGACGAGGCCATCAATCCAGGTGCCTTCTGGCTCTCCAATGTCCACGAAATGTTGTCTTTCGTGTTCTTGGCTGAGGACTGGTACGAAGCCCAGAAGACGGACAACTATGAGTATGACCGTCTTTTGGAGATTGTCAAGCACGATCTCGAAAGCTTGGAGTTCAATATTTACCACACTTGGATGAAGGTTTTGAAAAAGAAGCTGCACAAAATGATCATCCCGGCTATCATCGAGTCCCAGTCACTCCCCGGCTTCGTCACTAACGAGAGCAGCCGCTTCCTGGGCAAGCTTCTACAGTCCAACTCGACCCCAGCCTACAGCATGGACAACCTGCTCAGTTTGCTGAATAGCGTTTTCCGTGCCATGAAGGCGTACTACTTGGAGGATTCTATCATCACGCAGACGATCACCGAGCTGCTCCGTCTGGTTGGCGTCACCGCGTTCAACGATCTTTTGATGAGGCGCAACTTCCTCTCCTGGAAGCGTGGTCTCCAGATCAACTACAACATCACTCGCATCGAAGAGTGGTGCAAGAGCCACGACATGCCTGAGGGCACCCTCCAGCTCGAGCACTTGATGGTACGAAAGACTACATTCACTAGTGCTCAGACCACACAAGCTAATCCGTCCAACAGCAAGCAACGAAGCTCCTTCAGCTCAAGAAGGCAACCCTGAATGACATTGAGATCATTCAGGATATCTGCTGGATGTAAGTACAGACACAGACAGGCATGAGTGCGATCCTCCGTTGCTGATGACTTCTTTCCCCTCGCAGGCTGTCCCCCAACCAGATCCAGAAGCTCCTGAACCAGTACCTTGTTGCAGACTACGAGCAGCCCATCAACGGCGAGATTATGAAGGCCGTTGCATCCCGCGTTACGGAAAAGAGTGACGTTCTGTTGCTGCAGGCTGTCGATATGGACGACAGTGGCCCCTACGAGATCGCTGAGCCCAGAGTCATCACCGCCCTGGAGACTTACACTCCTTCATGTAAGTGGATCCGTCGGCCCGTGCCAGCACGATTCTTGCTAATATTGCCACCCTAGGGCTCCAAACCCCGCGCTTGAAGCGTCTCGCCGAGATTGTCTCAGCTCAGGCCATCGCCCAACAAGAGAAGCTGGAATACGACCCCGAAGACGGCTTCGAGCGCAACGGTGACCTTGCTGAAGTTGACGAGGAAGATGTGGCCGCGTAACCTTGCGTAGCCTAAGAGCGCGAAGGAAAAGAGCGACATGTCTTTCATTGGGAGCTAGGCTGCGCATGAGAGCCTGTCCAGCAAAGCGTTTGTCGTATGCTACCTTGATTGGCCACTGACATAATGAGGCTGTCAAGTGGACGCCGGCTTGTGCATGGGCGGCGAAGTGTCTGTAACTTCATTGTCATGAGTTAAAATTGGGAACTTTGTCACCAAGGTCCCATACGGATAATGTAGAGAGAAGCAATAGTTGTATAGGCACAAAGTGATGTCATGGATATTGCCGACGATGTGAATGAACTGGGAAGATGTTGGAGGGATGTATGTAAACAAACATGATATGTTAGTGCAGTACTTATTGAGCGACAGATGACTCCTGTGGTTTCTAAGTGTGGTCTGTCTACCCATGTTCAACCCATGTCTTGGGCGCGTAATATTGGTGACATAGGGCTAGAACGACATGAGATTCGAAAGGGAGGCGCTCAGTTCTAGTCTTTTCGGTCCTCTCAAAAGAGGCTCGGGGCTTAAACAATCCCGAGGCCAATGTGTTCAGGAACTACCATTCATAATCGGACTCTGCTCATTAGTTTCTGGGACTGCCATGCTTGCCATGCGGTTTAGGAACCGCTGGTGGAGGGAAGACAGAAGGTGCCCCTCACACGTGACAATGAAAAACTTGATGGTGTAGATAAGATAAGCACATTATTTCAGTGGAAAAGTGCCCCTCATTGCATTTACATGCAATAAACGGAGCATTTCCTTCCACAGTGCTTTCTACTCACTACATGTTGGGAGTTATACACATGCTCACTAAAGTCTCGAAATTCTCATACAGTAGCCAAAAAGGGAGGGGGAAAGAAGAAAGCAGCCTTTAAAAACCCACCAGATATGTCAAGAACATCGCCGAACATCATCGTTACCGGCACGCCAGGCGTGGGCAAGACAACTCACTGCGAAGAGCTTGCGAGGCGGACAGGCCTGAAACATCTTTCAGTCAACCAAGTTGTCAAGGACAGTGAATGCCACGAGGGTTGGGATGAAGAGTTTCAAAGCTGGATCGTTGATGAAGATAAGGTTGGTCTCCTTCATCTTATGGGCTCATACGTATTACCATATATGCAGACCATGCCGGTTCCGGGGATCGGAGGCCGGCTGGCAGTTGCAAGACATTTCTTTGGTATATTCAACGTACTGACCTTTCATTCAGTTGCTCGACGCCATTGAGGAAGACATTCAGAATGGGGGCCATATAATCGACTGGCACGCATGTGACCTTTTCCCTAAAAGTTGGATCGACCTCGTTGTCGTTCTACGCGTGGACTCGACGACGCTCTATGATCGTCTGTCGGCAAGGTAAGAACCCAAAATCCCACCTCTCGTTGCTCGTCACGTTCTACCATCTATGTATACTGGTTGCTAGGCCGGAGGAAAGAGTACAACTCGAAGTGAAAAGGAACAACCCAAAAGGACAGTGAGAGTCCCATGACTGAGTCTGATTTTTTTAGAAAATACCCGGATGCCAAGCTTCAGGAGAACCTGGACTCGGAAATTATGGAGGTTCTGCTCCAGGAGGCCAGAGAGGCATTTGATGAGGAGATTGTTGTCGAACTGACGAGCAACACGTCGGATGAAATGGAGAGCAACATCTCGAGGGTCGAAGCGTGGCTCGACCAGTGGAAGAAGGATCACTCGTTATAGAGAAAGCAACGAAATAAATGGAAAGAGACTAGACGAATTAAGGGTCAACACGGCACGCAATGCTTTACCAGTTCATTTGTCTTCCGACCCAAGGCAGTTGATACCATTGCCTCTCTCTTCTTTCTGACTGGCTCCGGCGTGGAAAGAGTTAATCTATCATCGGAAAACCGACGAGTCCTAGCACTGCCACTGGCCTTTCAATCTCACGTTCTTCAGCAGTGTCCCAGTCAGTGGTGATAGGATATGCATATATCGGGATGCTGGCCCCATTGTATGCAATGAAATGGCCGTATGCATGCAAGCCTTTTGTGCCGAGTTAAGCAACTCCTTCGTAACACACCAACATAGGTACTCACAGCCAGTGTCGTATACTTCGAGGAGATACTCGAGACATTTTTACTAGTGTGGTTCATCCATTTGTTCGAGTTTTTTCTTGCTCGTCTGCCCACTATGTCTACGACGCCGGTGGTCAACTTCATCACTGGCAACGCCAACAAATTGCGCGAAGTCAAGGCAATCTTAGAGCCCGGCATCACTGTACAGAGCAAGACAGTCAACCTGGAGGAAGTTCAAGGTACGGTCGAAGAAGTCACCCTGGCCAAATGCCGCAAGGCAGCGGAAATAGTGAGTTACTTCCTTCACCGCGAAAATGGGTACTCTGTACGTTTTTGGTATGTGGTAAGTTGATAAGTTATTACGGGGGTTTAGATTCAAGGCCCCGTTCTCGTCGAGGATACTTGCCTCTGCTTCAAGGCTCTCAACGACCTTCCCGGCCCGTACATGTAAGTACTCTCCCAGCCCGAATGACTTGAGCTACTGACTGGCTCTTAGCAAATGGTTTATGGAATCCATTGGCCACCAGGGCCTGAACAATCTCCTTGTTGCGTACGAAGATAAATCCGCCGATGCTGTCTGCACCTTCGCTTATTCGCCAGGCCCCGGTCATGAGCCTATCCTTTTCCAGGGGCGAACGAGGGTGAGTCATTTCGCAAGCCTATGACGCTGAACAATGAAGAAGATGCCAACGTTACACCAGGGCAAGATTGTTCCACCCCGAGGCCCAGCCGATTTTGGTAAGTACTCTTCGTCTTTCTCCATGTGGCTATGGTGCTAATATTAGAAAGGATGGGATGCCATCTTCGAATATGACGGCCAGACGTAAGTACAGCATCGATGAGCCAGACGACCGCTCGCACAGCTAATATGTGATATAGCTACGCCGAGATGGATAAGACCGCCAAGAACAATATCTCCCACCGTGGTCTTGCTCTAAGGAAGCTGCAAGACTGGTTCGCTCAGCAGTGAGCGAGCTAGGTACCTTTGATGATCGGACAAATGGCCAAGAAGTCCCGGCATAGCAAGACATCGGTTGTTTGAGACATCAGTCACTGGTTTGTGCGGTAACGGGCCCGGTTTTTAGACCATCGAGTCTATAGTGTGTGTCAGGTCAGGTTCAGAATAGCTCATCGGGCCCATGGCATACCTGAGAAGTTCGAACTCGCGATACCGGCGGAGGTATTTGGCCCCCCGACGATACGGTTTCAATGATTCATCAGCCGACCTGTGCTTGAATGTCTGACCAATAAGGCGAGAAAGCGCTGGGGGGTCGCGGAACATGGGATCGAAAACGAGAAGATTAGCAGAACCGTGCTTCTGCCTCTCGAAGCCAACGATTGTCAGTGAATGGCCTGCAAACGTATGATTGTTAGCAGAGGATGAAGAGAATAACATGGCCCAAAAGCACTCGCCAGCATGTTGAAAATATATGGGTGGCAGTGTTGTGCATGTCACCTTGGAGGGTTCACCATGTGCTCCCTGCCCGAAGTATTGTTCGACAGCCAACATCAGCTTGGCCTCGGACTTTCCTGGTTCGGAGTCCTTGAATCCCTGAGCCACACATCTACTTCCGTGTCAACTAGTCATATTAGCCTGGCAGGTGATTTGGATCGACTTACGGGATCCCTAGACTGACAAAGAGTGCTTGGGCCTGTAGGACACACAAGTCAGCGTAACAATTGGTTCATGCGCAGACGGGTATCTTGCCTCCGGCGTGCCAATGTACTTGCGAGTGCCTTTGATGCCACCTGTCTCAAGCCGGCCCTGCGAATTGATGCCTTGATCCCATGCCTTCTCGATAAATTCTTGAATCTCAAATATGGTCGGCAAGCGGCCCCTGAATGCATCCTTGCCATGGGCATCAACACCGATGATATACGAAACCATCATCTGAATATTGCGATAGCCGCAAAAACCCCCTATAATCCAATAAGCTTACAGTACTTATAGTGGCTTCTTGAGAACCCAGTACCTTCTTTCTTGAGCTTCGACACGTGTTGAACAGCTGGGTTGCATAAGTAGGCGTATTGCGTTGATTTGCTCTGTCGAAGAAGCTGCTCTAGAACGGATATGACTCCTTGAGCAGGTTAATGTAATTCAGTCGCCCAGCTTGCATGCAAACTCACCATCACTTTTGACCTCACCGCCGCTGTGGAGGAGGGAAACTAGCCAGTCCGGCATCTGTTGCTCGTGGGCATATTTGCCCAGCTCTGCTTTCTAAATGGTGTCAGTTAATTGTTCAAGGGAGACACTCGGGACGAGGGATATACCCCAAGACGCTTCTCCCCCTCCTTGGCCTTTGGTTTAGCGGGAGGCATTGACAGAATATTGTTCCATTGCCCAACGGCTGCTCTCTTTTTTCCCACTGGAAGGTCACTGGCAGAGTGAACGACGGATGACGAACCAGAGGCAGAAACAGTTGTTGGGCCCGAAGGTTCAATAGTAGCTTGGGGTTTGGGGGAGTCTGTACTCTGGCGTTCTTCCTCGAGGTGGAGGTCCATGTGGTAGTCAATCTCGGCATGAGAGACGATCTCACCACAGCCCTCAACAGTACACTCTCCAAAATGCTCCTGCGGGGCCCGGACACTGGATGGGAGACGTTGAGAGCCGTCTTCCTCTGGGTGCAATGTCTCCATGTGCTGAGAAGCGGTTAGCACGTTAATCTGGTTTTGTATCATAGCACCGCAATATACTTGCCAACAGCATCTCGTACTCTCCATTGCCAGCCTTGCCACAGAAAGGACACACCATGCTGTTTTCCATGACAGGCGAGCTTGAGATAATACTGACGGACAAATGGACAGGCGGAAGTTGCTGGAAAGGGTAGGAAGTTTGTATATACTTGAATGATGAGCAGGGTGAGTAATGCAGCAAGCATCGAGCTATCACTGAGATGTTGAAGGTTTGCGTTGGCTAGGTAAACAAGAAGGAAGGCTATTGTTTATCCCAAACAGTCGCTACTGCATGAAGCATGGGGGTGGGGAATACCGGACGGCTAAAGGCGGTTCACACAAAGCAAACACGAGTCGGGGTGTCCTGCACAGGCGAGGAAAGTATCAGACGGGTGTCTTTGTCGCTTTCCACAACACGCTTAGGAAGTTGCCAGGGTGTGGAAGATGAGGCGTGTCGGATCAGGGCCCCTTGGTTTCGTGATGGGACCTTGCAGCGGCCGAGTGAGCTGAGGTAAGGCAAAGAAGGACCCTTTCGTTCAAGCTGCAGCACCAGCACCACCAGCACCAGCACCAGAACTTGCAACCCGCAGATGCACGGTTGTACTGATTTTTATGCTTGTTATCAGATGTTTTATGCAATTCTGTGGCCTCTCTGATGCTCAGACACTGTACGGTATCTGAAGTAAGCGTACACACATGGAAAGTAGCAGGAGCTGTCGGGTTGCAGAATGGAAGGCTGACAGGGCAGTCAGTCTTCATCTAGACGAGTATCTTCTACATGAGAATGCATTTGCCTCCTTCGGCCGCCTCGCCTGGATTCTGGGCCTTTTCAATCTCGGCAATCAACAACTCAAAGGCTTTTCCTACATTCTCGTTGTATCGTGCGCTCGCCTCAGTCCAGCCACACTGGATCTTCTCCGCCACCCTCTTGCCCTCCTCAGCGCTGACCTGTCGCTGTTCAGGACGGAGGTCGCTCTTGTTTCCAACGATGACGATGGGGACCGACTCGGTGCCCTACGAGACACAGTTAGCCAGTTTGTATTTGCTAGCAACAAGAATCACCTTACAAGATGGTTGAGAATCTTCTCTCGGATGACCTGCACCATCTCGAAGGAGGGCAAGGACGACACCGAGTAGACCAGCATATAGCCATGGATGCCGATAAAGTGCTTTGAGTTCAGAATGCTGTATTCATCCTGTGAGTTGTCTCGTCAGTCACACCTGTATCCTGTCCATGGCCTACAACTCTTGGACCGAATGCATCGCCTCCATATCTCTTGTATTGTATGCAGCATTGTCATGTCGTTGCCGCCGGGGCCAGAGATGCAGAGGAGCAGAGGGGTGACATACTTGGCCAGCTGTGTCGACAATCTCGGTCGCAAACTCCTGGCCCTTATACCGGATGGTTTTGCTGAAAGTATTCTCAATGGTGGGGTAGTAGCTGTCGACGAAGTGTCCGTCTACAAAGCGGACTGCAAGCGATGATTTGCCTGTGCGCAAAGGAGGAGGAAAGATTAGCAGGATATACGTCATTGATCCAGCCCAACAACATTCAACCTTTGTAGGATAAGGTCAAGGGAAAGAGGGGTTCGCAGGCAACCATAGAGGATATTACATACCGACTGACCGACTGCCAACGATGGCCACCTTCCTGTTCTTTGGTGCCGGCATTTATCTGACCGAGGGATTGTTGGAGGTGGAGAGAAGGGTGTCGTATGCAGTACCACACGCGCACTCTCTCTTTTTCTTGCAAGTTTCTGTCGAGGGAGAGGAAAGTGGATGCAGTTGCTTTTCCCCCAAAAAGCTTGTGAAGAACGCTCGACCCGTGCCGGCATCAGTGCCGGTGCCAGCGCTGCAGTGGTATGCTGTTGCTTTGTGCAATACGCAGGGGAGAACGCCGTGCTTATGGGGGGAGGGAGCAGAGAGTTGTGGTTGGAGGCACTGCGGGCCTGGGCTGAGGCTTCGGGGAAACAGGACAATTGTCGCGGTAGGGTCAAAAGAACAAGCAATGAAGTAATGATAAGATCACAACAAACAAGGTACCATAACCTTGGTTGTGAGGAACAGGGGAAACAAATCCCAAAACCACCCAGAATATTTAGTTAGGTAAAGGTAGGGAAATAGATGGGGGAAAGAGTGATTCGCAATAGCAGAAAGATGTGAATGAGGAAACCAATACTAGAGGATGCCTTGAACCACATTATGTATACATGTCACTGGACTACACCAGCCTGACTTGACGCAAACCCCAGAATGCAGGCACATGCATATACCAGAGAGGGGACAGACTGTTCCCTTTGCCCCTCTGCTGGTATGTACAGTAGTGTTGCCTAACATGGCCAAAGCCTCATGCGACTACCTTTGACAGTGCTGTTGGGGCTGGACAAGGCCCATTTACTCGCAAGGTACGGTGCCTAAGCATACTGCAAGAATGTAGACAGTGGGGTTACCTAGCTGCAGCTGTATGGAGCTGCTTGGCTCGTCATTGAGGTGCCGCTCTGGGTACCTAGATACCTAGACAGGTAGGTTAGTACGGATAGGTAGCCTGGACACAGGTCTATCAAAGGTACTTCAATTTGCGGGGACAAAGACTGCGTGCAGGGTTCACTGGTACAGCTATTGCTGCAATAAGCCCCCTATTATCTGCCTGCCGAAAGCTCGCTCTAGAGTGCCCAACGTACACTAGAAAGCTCTGGTCGAGATCTACTAGTTCTCGCATCACTGCATTCGGTCTTCCCTTCTTATAAAGGATTGGGTATCTCCACTCTCGATGCCAACCTGTCCAGTGCAACATGGCACCTTTGAGCACTCAACGTCTCCTGATAGCATGACTCTACTTAGTTCTGTTCATAAGGCGCCTATGCCTGATGTTAGTCCTGCCAGACCATAAAGGTGGATCAAATACCCAATAACGATTGTCATCGGCGTCTATCACTAAACTGGTATATCAGCCTCTATCTGACGGCTTCGGTGTAAACATTTAGCTGTCAATATATCCCCCACTTGCATACCCGTCGTGGCCACTGCTGCATCGTCGTCGTCAAACTTCCACCGCCTTTAAAATGATCCCTGTCTCGCCGCCTGCTCGAAATGGGCCTCTCATCACCAAAAATCTACTCCCATTCGTAACCAATGTACCATTCCTAACCCACCGCGGACCATCCCACATCGGTCATGATTCGTGAGAGACTGTGACCCCAGTACGCATCGACGACATTGTTTTCCTCTGCAGTTCTCTGGGGCAGCCTCTTGTCGCAAGTCTCACCTGAGAAGGATACTATAGTCCCAGGGTCTCCGCTCTTCCTTCGTCATCGTCATCATTCTGATCGCCGGTATCTCTGCCGGAGCTCATTGACGAGATTTTGCAGACTTGTTGTCAGTTCGTCCGTGTCGAGCTTCTGATGCAAAGACATGAACTCTTCAATTGAATCGAGCAAGTACTTGGTTCCTTTTCCGTGGCTCTTTTCCTCAAGTCGTCCTCGAACCTGGCTACCGAGTGACAAGTAGCCCAGCAATATAGCTAAATAGCCGTGGGCCACGGCAATTGAGGTCTTCTCAACCGAGTCGGCCTGTGCTGATTAGTGTCATTCCAATCTTCTGTCCTTGCGGAGACTTACAGTGTCCGCCGATTCGCGGTTCTCCAGGTAAACATCAATCAACCTGTCTAGGGGTGACTCGTCCCGTCCTTGCCAAGAGTCCACCGACCGTCGAGTAGAGGGACAATGCTCGGTGGTGTTGATCATAACTCCCAGCAGCAGCATAAGTGTCTCATAGACGTCCTTGGAGAATGCCCCTTGGCGAACAGAGTGCTGCAGAAGTCCAAACCCCACAACGCTGGCCTCAGCTAACTCGCGAAAAAGTTCCCCCCGACTGAACGCGCTCGCCGCGGCGGGATTGTTGTTTGTTGTGTTCAGGGCCAGCTTTAACGCTGTGGTCTCAAAGCCGCCAAATTCCTGCATGGGTCGCGCCATGGCTGCGGTTAAGATATCTGCGACTACGGGGAGATAAAGCTCGGTCCATCGAGAGCCAGCGTCTGATTCCATTGCCGCAATTGAGTGGCCTTCCAGGAGAGAGAGCGCAAGCCCGCCCACCGTCCCTTCAATACCCTCTGCTCGGCTTTGCTCCCAACCCTTCTCTGCGAAAGCGAACAGATAGTCTGTAAGACCAGCTAGAATGTCACGAATTGCTGGGCTGTCGCCGTTGCACAGCACCGAGATAGCCTTTAGGGCGACCATTTGTGGCGACAGAACTGTAGGTGGCGATCCCTTCCATATGTCCAGTTGCTGTATTGTCGACTTCAGCGCACGTAGAGATGACTGCGCATTCCTAGATAGATTGGATTGGCGTTGACTAGCGATGCTTGTGATATCCTCGTCGAGATCGAAAAGTCTTGAGGCTAGTTGCGCAATGCCTTCTGACTGTAGCTGTGGAACGAGGTGTGGAACGGAATACGACGTGAAGAGAACGAGAAGAACGGACAGGAGGATGAAACCACTGACAAAATCCTCTTCTTGGCCAATGGCCTGGAACAAAGCATCCTTGGCACCTTGGTCGCGGAATTGACGAACAAATGTCTTGTCCCTTAGCTTGCTTGCCAGCTCGAGCAAGGCATTGCGCCTCGAGCGTGCCGACGGTGATTTCGGCGGTTGCGGTGTGCCAACTCTGTCAAGTAGGTCAGCCATGCTGTCAGCGAAGCGGTGATTAGCACCAGCCTGTCTTAACGCATGAATATCAATGATGCCACCGCCTTTCGAGGAGCTTTCTTCCTCAACGTCCTCCTCCTCCTCGAATGCAAATGAAGCCAGCTTTGACATGGTCGGGGCCGGACTCAAGTCGCGTTGACTACCATCAATGCCTATTTGGCTTCCAAGGCTGTCACCTCCAGACTCATCTGCTTTCAACGTTCTTTGTTGCCCATAGGTAGACCTCAGCTTCCTGGTACTCGATAACGCTTTGGGTCGTATCGAAGGTTTCGGTGTCATATCTACAGACCTGACCGGAGTGGAAGGTGAGGCTTCCTTCGCCCTCAATCCAGCGAGAGATACTTCAGAGTCGTCACCCGAGTCGGATTCAGAGCTCTCTTCTGTCTGTGCTACTAGCTGATCGATCAAGCGAACGCGCCTCGTCTGATGTGGTTTCTTCGGCTTCGAAAGTGATAAGTCCCTGACGACTGTGCTCGATTTTGATTGCATAACGGCCGGTTGTGGAATGGATGGTTGTGGAAGGGCTTGACGTATTTGCAAATTCGTCTCGGTCATGCGCAAAACTTCGGGCTCAATGCGAGAGCGTAGAGCAGCTGGACGTGCTTCGGTCTCCTTCTTAGTCGTGAGTTGCTCAAGCCCTTGCGCGACAGATTCCTCCTTGACAATGCGCACAGAGTTCAAAGTGCTTGAGGTGAAGGGCGGTTTGGCACGACGGATATTCGAAGACACCCTCGCTGGTGGTGAGATGGCTGAGGGTTTGCTGTCAATCTTGCGCGTGCGTTCGGTCTTGGTAGTAAGCGCGGCAGACGTTTTCCTCTTCTTCGAGTTACTCGACCCGTCAGGCTGGGATGCGATGGTATCGGTAGGGGGCGCATCGCGTCGAGGTATTGGGCGGTGGACAGGTTCATCATCGGGGGGGTCGTACAAGTCGTAAAGGTGATCGGCGGAAGCTGTAGATGCTTTCGCGATTTGTGTGGTATCGGAGGCACGTCGTGAACCGTTAGACAAGTCGAGAAACGCGTGAATGGGTCGCTTTCGTGATGTCTTGCCATACGTTGTCGTCTTTTTGCGCTGCACGCTCGGCCCCTCTCTCGTAGCCATCGTGTGTCGCAGCCTAGTACAGGTGCGTTGACGGCTAGCTTTATGCAAGTTTCCAGGAAAATCCGTTGGTAGTAGGGAGGTCGCGGTGACAGTTGGTGTGCTCCCTGCAGGAGGCGGAAAGACGAGGTAATCGCGGGCTTGGAGGCGGGGGTGATGAGACGGGCGCCGGTGTTTCTGGTAGGCGTGGGGTTGTTGTTTTCTGAGGGCAAGGCAAAGAAGGCACAGCGGATGGACGGGTGTTGTTGCCAGGCGGTGTTCGACGCGGAGGCGAGCTAAGGAGGCACTTGTAGATGAGGTACCAGAAATAACGAGTTGACGCTGCCTTCAAGTGCCTTCATAAAAGGCTGCAGGCGCAGTGTTCAACAGAGCCTGCGCTGCACGGCTTGTAAAATGTGAGAAGGGCAGTTAAATTTCACAGGAGGAGTTCGTTTTGACGCATTGGACTTGATTGACGGTTGACGTGAGGTTGTTCTTTTCGAATTTGTTCATGAGGAACAATCTAATTACAGGTTTCGAGTGTGGCGCTCGGCGTATGGTAAGCAGCAACGCAGCGGGTTCTACTTTCCGTCTGGGTCACATCTCCTTCTCGCTGTGGTTGCCCAGGGATGCTCCTGCCGAATTTGTGGATATCAGATTCGAGAAGATACGTATCGGGGCGTTATGAGGCCCATGTCTTGTCGATAAACTGTCTTAATTACATATATGTAAATGTATATACAGCAGTCCCACATCTCACTCTGAATTTGGGGCACTTGGTGATAGATAAGTCAGTGTCCTGGTATGACTTCGAACCCCTCCGCAAGGTATGTTAGTTTAGAAAGAAAGACCCCACACGACTTATCTATCCCCATCTTCATCTTGCCATTGACCTGCCCACCTTGTTTCCCACTTTTACATTTTTATTACCGATTGGCTCGAGGTACTCTGGACTTTGTCCGACCAAAGTAACGGTAGACGGCGAGCTCCATTCCAGAGTGTCTCGTGATACTCTGGCTGAACCCTGGGGGCTTCCCTGCGCATTTTAGGTATATCGGCCATTGAACATTCGAAGGCTCAAAGGCGGCTGCTTTTTTCCTCCCCATTCTTTAACTTCAATCCTCGAGTGGTAGGCCGCTTTTTGTTTATTTTTCTTCCTCTTGTGAAAAGATTGCGATAGCATAACCGCAATTTCTGCACCCCTTCGATCCTGTGCCACAGGGTAGACCAAGTCGCGGCTTTGGACGATCCCTGAACTTCAATCCTGCCCCTGCAGCCCCTCAAATACCTCTTTATTGTCGTCCTTTCTCAAATCCCTCCCTACATACGTCGCTTGGAAGCTCTCACTCAACATTGTCTAATTCAAGCCACAGTCAAACTGTTCCAAAATGTCTAGCCAAGACCCCAAGTCCGCCGTCGGCCCCTTGTACCGCTCAGAAAGCCAGAAGCCCACGGCAACCGTCTCCACCGAGATCAACTCTGACAACGTTATTATCTTGCCCCAGACGCCCCAGCTTATTGCCCTCCTCACGTAAGTAGCACACTTCATGATGCGATTTCAAATTTGCTTTACCAAATCAGTTTCGGCACTAGGGTAGCTACTTCAAGGCCAATTGTATTTGTCGGGTGCTTGAGGTCGCCTTTCTGTCCCAGTATCACAGTTGACTTACTCGTCTGGACATAGAATCATCCGAGATAGGAACACTGAGCGTGGTGACTTCATCTTCTACTCCAATCGCATCATTCGCCTGCTTGTCGAAGAGGGTCTGAATCACTTGCCCACCGTCGAGCACGATGTGACAACGCCCATTGGTAGGACCTACTCTGGTCTTATGTTTCAGGGCAAGATATGCGGCGTATCCATTATGCGCGCTGGCGAGGCCATGGAGCAAGGCTTGCGGGACTGCTGCCGCTCTGTGAGGATCGGCAAGATTCTGATCCAGCGTGACGAAGAGACGGCGCAACCCAAACTCTTCTACGACAAGCTGCCAGATGACATTGCCCAGCGCTGGGTGCTTCTTTTGGATCCCATGTTCGCCACCGGCGGTTCCGCCATTATGGCTGTGCAGGTTCTCAAGGCCAGAGGTGTTCCCGAGGACCGTATTTTGTTTCTGAACCTTATTGCCAGCCCTGAGGGTATTCAGAATTTCACCGCCAAGTTCCCCAAGCTCAGGGTTGTCACGGCATTTGTTGACCAGGTAAGCACGAATCAGCCTTGAACCGGACAGACGCAATAGACTAACATGTTTTTTAGGGTTTGGACGAGAAGAAGTGAGTTCGAGTATTGTGATGCCTCCATATCTTTGCTAAGATGCTGTTACAGCTACATCATTCCCGGCCTTGGCGATTTCGGCGACAGATTTTACACCGTCTAAGTGGGCTGGCTCTAGCTGCCCAGGGATCATCGTGCTCGCCTGGAACTCGGATCGTCACGAGATCTTGCTCGGCTGCTTCCGCAGTCCCCTTGTGACCCAAGACTTGGATCCTGCCTCGTAAACGAAGTTCGTCGTACGTCAGAACAAAACACCTGACCATCTAGTATTCGTCATCATCTAAATCAACACCCTCGCCTCCGTATCTCTGATCGTCATCGTCGTCGTCGTCGTTCACCGGTCGGCTTGGGGGTGCGCGGCGGGCGCTAGGGATCTTGCTTTGGCTTCCGGCTGTGGGTCCTGCCTCCTTGGCAACGGCATCTTTGATGTGTTAGTTGTATACTCTCTACTAGTCCCGTGGAATGCAGATGCGCGATGTGTATTGAGGAAGCTAGTATCAAACTTACCTGCTGCGTCTACCCACTCGCCGTACACGTCAACAGCTGCCGAGAGGTCTGGATCGTTTAGCACTGGCGCCCAGATAATAGAAGGTATAAGAGCTCACAGTTGATACTGCACTGGAACATTTGACCGCATACCCTGCAGTCCAGTGAACCGACACCCGCTTTCTTATCTAGCTTTACAGCAACGGAGTCTTCGTGGTTGCAGAAGAGGCATGTGAATTTGGAGGGGAGGGGATCTTTCTGTAACACACATCAGTGACTGAAACCTGGCGTGGCGTAGCGTAGGCTACCTTGCAGCCTTGACATTCAAGATGCGTAGACAGAACACAAGGCTGTGAATGGACGGACCTTCTTGGGACCCTGAGGCTTGCTAGAACTCTTGCGCTTGCCCATGATGTAGTCTCTGCGCTCAAGTTTGGTACTGGGCCTAGTTGGCGCGTGTGATAACGCAGAGCGGCTGTCCCTGCTGCTATACGCAGGCGCAGGCGCAGGTTGACAATTTAGATTCGGAAGAGGTGTAGGCCGAGGGGGCGCAAGTGCCAAATAAGAGGTTAGTGACTTAGGTGGTGAAGTGAGGTCAGGCAGGCAGCAAGGTGCAGTCGATTGCGTGGCGTAATAAGACGACTGGGTCTTTTCCCCTTTTCTTTGGCACTGCAGTGTATGTCCTCGTCTTCTAACGAAAGAGCGCTGGACCTCCTCCAGTCAACGGAGTTAGAGAGATGAACGTTGTGAGTAGATTTAGACAAAACCTGGAAGCCTCTTCTCACGCGACAGATAAGCAGAGCCAGTCTTATCGGAGGAAGAAGGCGGGGTGGCTGCCCCAGCCACACTTGCGGTCTTAGGTAATCACGCAATTGATAAGTCGTCTCAGTTGGTGGGGTGTAAGAAGACGGATCATTGAGTAGATTGTGTACGGAGTACCTACCTACCTACATGGTGACCAGATGCGTCTATCTTACACTAGATAGGCAGTTATCGAAGGGCTAGTTGAACCTGGGTAGGTACCCGAGATACCAGCAGTACCCCCTACCATGATGCCATGCTGACTTGTTGCCATTCTTTTCAAGTTTATGCAGTCTCATCTGGCCTAAGCGATGACTTGCTGGCACTGGTAGTTTGGTCAGGAGAGTGCCACGCTGATTCGATGCAACGATGCCCAACCTGTTGCGCCGAGGTGCTCCATTCAAGAATGGACAGTATCTATTATCCTGTACCCATATATCCGTAGTTGTTATTAATCTACATAGTGTGTGACAAACGGGTTGCCTATTCGTAAGTACTGTACTCTCGGCTGGCTGAGGATTACTTGTCTCTCTGTGTCTCAGGACTATCTTGAACGTTGGGGTCTGCACAAGTCGATGCTGTTTACGTATCTGCCGAAGCACGCTATGTCTAATATATCACTGCACGCGGTGTGGTTCTCCCCTTACGGGCGGCCCTGTAGCTCCGCTACATCTCCGAACGTCGCCCCTTGACAAGCATCCGTTACTAATGATTCTTATCAACGGCGCAGGTAGTAAAGTCAAAGCCGAATAGTGGCATCACAGTCTGCTCGACCTAGCGAGGTGGAAAATAGTAATAATGCAGAGGTACGGGCCAGGACTTGTTGGTATCTTGGCTCATCAATTTGTTCAACCCAGGCTAAAAGACAAGGCAAGGAAGGTCAGGTAGGTAGGTTGGCAAGGTTCCCCACCAGAATGATGGACCCCAACACTGTAAACCTAAAGTCGCTGTATGGCGAGCTACCCCTGACGCCACTTCATTCCCCCCTCACCTTCCCCCACCTCCAGTCAACCCCAAGCATGCGCGGCGCCTTCCGACAGGTCATGGGATCTCGCTCGGGGCGTCGTCCGTCTGCGCTTCTCGCATCTCTCTCGCCCTTCATGCTCTTTACTTCATATCCGTTCCTTTTTTTTGCATCCGATAGAGCTATCAAACATCCTTGACTAGTTACTAGTGGACCAGCCATCGGTGGTCACCGACTTGTCTTGTCTCCCCTCCCGCCCCCTACTCTGTTCACTTCTCGACGCCTGTCGTCTTTGTCCTGTCTTACTTAGACTCGCCTCTGACCTCTCTGTTGTCTTGATTTCTCCTCTTCCTACCTAACCTCCTACCCTCCTCGTTCATCTCCCGTCTCCCCTCCTCTCATCCGCCGCAGTCACAAAACTCGTTCACTTTACTCCCTCACCTCTAGACGGCACTCATTGGAATGTTACAATAAACGGAAAGCACCCAGCCACACGTTCAGACCCTTGTTGTCCTTTTCTCAAGCTTTCATTGTCCCCGTGTTCTCGTGCTATAGAGTGTCATTTAGAAACTGATCGTCATGAGCGACCAAACATCCAATGACGGCTCCTTGGCCGAAGTTCTGAGCTCCCTGAAATCCATCCAGCAGACACAGTCTGACCTGGTGGCTGCTGTCGATTCGTTAAACCAACGATACCAACAGCTGACCGGTGATGCCGATGTCGCTGCACTCGGCCCGAGTCCATCCCTTGGCGAGGCCCCCGAGAGACCCCACACCCCCGGCCGTCCCGAGACTGGTGCTGTTGGTGACTTGGCTCAAAGCTCCTCATCCGACTTGAAGTTACAGGCTCCAGCTGTGCCTTCCTCGCCCAGCCAGCGATCAGGCCTCACCTCCCGAATTATTTTAACGTACGTTGGCCACCTTCTCACCCGTCCCGGCTCGCCATTGTCTAGTCTCTGACTTTGTTGAGCTAGGACGTATCCAAAGCAGATTGGTATCAACCCGCTTCCCATGAACTGGGGCAAGGCAGATCCCCACGCGCGTGGACCAGTTGTCGTCTCCCGGTCCTCGGCCACGATTGGAAAACGTAACGGTCTGTAGACTTGAAATTCCCCCTAAGCTATGTAATGAGTGCAGATCTAGCTGACTTTTGATGTCTGCCATTAGCTGTTGGAGGTAAGTAATTGATATCCCTGCGTTGGTTCGACTGCGTTGAACTAACATACATATCCAGCCCAGTGAGTATATCAAGAAACCACAGAGTCCTTTGTAGCGGAAGATACAGAATCATTACGCCCAGAGTGTGCGGCTAACAATGCGATGCGCAGCGGCGGCTCTTATTCCATCTATTATGCGCTGGCCGTTGCTAGCAAGCAGCTCAATCTGGAGCATAGGTTAGCCTATAAAGAGTCTACCTCGGTCTTCTACGTGAGCTCACTCATCTCAGACCCGACTTTACCAACACGGAGCCTGCCGCCAAGATTGGCCCGTTTCCCCAATGGGGAGACCCAAAGAAGATTGTAGCCATGGATCCTTGGGGTCATCTAGCCCCGTGGCTATTCAAGGACACCATTGAGAAGCAGAATGGTAAGGGACAGCCCACCCTGGTCACATCGGCGAACCATTCAACTAAATTCCATTGATAGTCGACATTCGCCCAACGATAGCCATCACAAAGGCACACATGAAGGTGCGAAGTTGCGTACAACAAAATTTGCCTTCATGGTTAACATGTAGTAGCTTCCTGAGCTAGAAGAAAGTGTAAAGAACGGCCGATTGTAAGCGAAGAGGCCCATTATAAATTTATTCGGACAACTGATCCGGTGGCAGAATTCCCGATGGTAAAGTCTGCCTCAACAACCTCGGAGAGCTTGCTGTGACCAAATTCGCCGTTGAACCAGTATGTAGAAATCCTGACAATTCAGACTCGCGATGAACTGACAACACTCTACCAGGTCTGGTACCTCCCTGGGGTGGCCGAGAGATTTGGAATCGGTATGTTGACGTCTGCACCTTTGGACCAAATACTGACCGTGGACAGACGAGGGCGCTCTGAGGCGATCTCTCTTTGAACACACCGGTGGTAGCTACCCCGAAGTCAGCAACCCCCTTTTCCCAACCGTGGTGCGAGTTCTTCTACTAACAGGTGGTAACAGCTTATAACCCGCAACGACATCAAGGTGTTTTTGCCCCCGATCGGTGAGCCACCATAGCCATCAGGTGCCTTGGTCCGAACATAAAGATGGACTGATCCTTGAATTGATTAGGGGGGCTTACTGTTTACTGCTTCGGCGACCCGGCCAAGATGTCTGATGAGTCAGTGCGGCTGGCGCTGCGCATCCACGACGAGGTTTGTGAGCTGCCCACTGCATCTAATGCAATTGCTCACCGTTGAATAGTGCAATGGCAGCGATGTCTTTGGTTCTGACATCTGCACCTGCCGTCCATATCTCATCTTCGGCATTGAAGAGGCAGTCAAGGAGGCCCAGAACGGCGGCAGTGGCGTTGTCATTTATTTTCGAAAGGAGGGCAGAGCCCTCGGTGAGGTCACCAAGGTGAGCAGTGCTTTAACTAAGTTCTGCAAGCATACATTGCTAACCTTTTCGTAGTACCGTACGTGTTTCCCTGATCATCGCGTATTGTCCAATTCGTGTGGAGAATACAAGGGGTGTCGGGATTGGTATTATCGTGTCAGCTCTGCTAACTGACCTTGCAGTCGTGTACAATGCTCGCAAGCGGGGTGAAGACCGAGCATCCGATTACTTCAAGAGGACAGAAAACATTGCGGGGGTGAAGGACATGCGGTTCCAGGCGCTGATGCCTGATATCCTCCACTGGCTTGGCATTCGTAAAATTGACAGAATGCTCAGCATGAGCAAGTGAGTAGCTGCCATTGACCCGTAAAGCTAACAGTGCTGACGAGCATACCACCAGCATGAAACACGATGCCATTGTAGGACAAGGGTAATTCAGCTGTCTATTTCCCGGTAGTAGCTCGAGCGATTGCTAATAAGTCCCCAGAATTCCCATACATGAGCGTGTCGAACTGCCCGAAGATTTGATCCCGGCGGACTCCCGGGTCGAGATCGATGCAAAAATCACTGCTGGTATGCGGATATACAAGAAATCTTGATCAAATTGTGAGATGCTGATTTCATATTTGCAGGGTACTTCACTGCCGGCAAGCGCATGACGGAAGAAGAATTGAGAGCTGTTCAAGGCAGAATGTGGGAAGAGTAAGTACCCTACCATGCTTCCTTCTGTTCTCGTTCCGGCCCGGTGGGTGCAGAAGATGACTGACGATGTTGTACTCGCAGTCTTGACCATTAGAAATTGCCGGGCGAGCCCTGGGGTGAAAATGCTTCTTGCAACCGATGATGGAAACGCCCCTCCAAATGAGACATATGCGTCATTGTCGATCCCCGGATAGTTGGGCCGACAAAGGAGAAGGGTGTGTTTTCGCCCTGGGTCGTATTGGTGATTGGTGGGACGAAGCACGAGAAGAATGACCTTGGAACGCGAGCCCGCTGGCCAAGCCAGAAACACTGTAGCCCAGAGGCATATCGGCAAGCAGATTACCCAGCGTAGAATGAAACTGGCCAAGAAGAAACCAATGGGAGCAAGTTACATGCCTCCATCGGGGGTCACTCCAGCAATCTGTGTATGCAATTGTAGACGGGAAGACCAATTAGACGCATCGCTGCGAGTATACAATCAACGTCCAAAAAACCATATGTGAATGATGATGTATGAGCGATGGAGTCCTACCATTTGATTGCGAAGAAATCAGACCGGGCTAGACCCAACCTCGTGTGTGCATGCTGACCAGGGTGGGCGTCGCGATGCAGATTCCCATGCGGATATACTCTGACACACTGCAGCAACTACGTCCTTAGCGAATGCCAACGCTCTTCCTTGACCGGTCCAGCAGTGCCACGGCGGGCGGATTGAACTCGAATTGCACGAGAATGAGCGGGAACTGACGGGAACTGGACGAAGAAGTGGTTGGCATCTCCACAATAGCTGCATGCGTGACGCCGGTCATGCATTGGCTTTGCGTATAAGTGCCCAAACAGAAGCTCACCGGCCCATACATGACCAGACACATAGTAGTTGGGAGCCGGGTTCCTCATCAGGCACCCGCCATGTGGCCCAATGATGGCAAATTGAGACTTGTCAGTGGAAAACGGTTGCCCCCCTCCCCCAGAAACCGACGTTCCCATCGGGGATCCGGACTCGACTCGATTGATGACTTGTTGATAATGCACATGATGCCCGCCAGATGAAAGGGCGGGGGGCTTGCAAAAGATAGCACCATGACTTCTTATCATCCCGCACGAGCAGTCATTGCAGTTTTGCAAAGACGGCTGCACCATCAAGACTGGCAAATTGCGTACCCAACCGTTACGCACACATAAGCAAAGGCCAAGAGCAAGACGGGCATATTGCTGATATCAACATCATGGCTGCCGTTCCCCGGGACTTGCGAGATGCGAATGGTGTGCGCCGGAGAGAATCATCGCCACGCCCCGATCGCCAACGCCGGCCAAGACTACTGAGAGCCAGCGCAACGGAGCCAACTATCACAACAACATCCAATGCCAGTCGAGGCGATATATCGAGTCCGCAATCGTCCCAAAGGGCGACCGAACTACTCAATCGGGTGGCCATTTACTCGGGCCAGCCCCATGATTACTCGCCTACTTCGGACTTAGTGCCACCGATGGCCTCACTCAGCACTGAAGAGATGGCTGTTCCGACAGCGAACCGTGTACAGTGTCATCGGGAACACCATCCTTGTCCGTGAACTCTCGCCACCTCTCCAGACATACCCCAGGCAATTTGCTGACGACCATTGGACAGACTCGAACGGCTATTTCAGCTTTCCCAACTTTGACGCTTGGGACGGAGAGCAGCGGAGTGATGACAAAGAAGACCTCTGACTTGGATCGGGCCAGGTGGTGAATATATGCCTAAAGACGAGGCACGCCCGAAGGGGTGTAAAACAATAGCAACAGCAACAACGGACCACGTTATCCGGCAACTCAGTGTGAAGTCACAGCCACCTTACGGAGAGGTCATGTTGCCAACATGGGCCAAAGAGATGGGCGACGAGGTGGCCAGTAAGCGGTCGAGTGAGCGCTAATTAGTATCGAGCACTTTGTGGTGGATGTAGAGACGGGATCAGCCGGTAAACACAGAACGGAAGAATTGCTTTCGGGGCGCCGTCTGGAGTCGGCCAAGATAACGAGGTTGACAACCTGCCGTTGGCGTGGTGAGACTAGATGGTTCTAAGTCAAATACACAACATCACCCGGGACAGATAAATGTTTCCATTGTAAGGAAACCGAGGGGGGAATATATCGACAGGCGTCCGGGTTTGAAGAGGTTGTTTCGCAAGGTAATCAATCATTAGTGCGGAGTATCCATATTTCAACTTGAAGAAAAACCACAGCATATATAAATTATTTAGTTATATGGAATGACTTAGCGATAACCAACGGGCGTTGCAGTAAGAAGTCGTCGTGGGTGAACAACTGCCCTGCGTGCGCAATCGAGCGCGAGTACAACATACGACTGGGAACAGGGCTGGCTCACTTGTCTCCACCACACCAGCCACATTGGGGCGCCGAAATGCTCTTGCCGACAATGTGTTCCACACTTGAGATCTAGTCCAAGTGGGGTATTTGGGGCTCGCTCCTGTGTCATATGAGTGGGCAAACTTATTTATCACGTGATATACTGTGTTAAGCAAGAACTAGGATAGTTGATTATTGCCACAAGTGCACTGTTCACTGATAGCAGTGGGGAAGGGGCTGGCACAGTTTCCAAGACTAATCGCACGGTAGGCTGGTGCCTCCAAAGGGTGTATTACATAATTCGACGGGGCACACTCGCTAAGAATTTCGAGCCACACAATACTGCGACTTGAATTTTATCACCAGCCGAAATCACCACCCCTCCATATCTTTCAACCACCCAACGTTCATCCGCCAGACAATTAGCAGCCGCCCAAAATGGCTGTTGGAAAGTAAGCAATCTACAGTCCGAGACCGAACTTACGACAATACGTTTTGCGCGCGCCCGCGCGTCATGTTCTTGCCTGTCGGTCGATATGGGCAGTCAGTCGCTGACCATCTTTCTTCTACTGCAGGAACAAGAGATTGTCCAAGGGCAAGAAGGGTCTCAAGAAGAAGACCGTGGACCCCTTCACCCGTAAGGACTGGTACCAGATCAAGGTAAGAGTTGTGCTCGCGAATTCGCAGTTCCATAGGCATGCATTCGAAGATTACTAACAAAAGGTTCTAGGCGCCTGCCCCGTTCAACGTTCGCGAGTGAGTCCCACCGCCAGTCCGAAAAGAAGATTCGATACAAATACATCAACGAGAGCGGAGTGCCAGAAAAGCCATGGCCATCGAGATCAAGATTGCTGACATAGTGCGTAATCTAGTGTCGGCAAGACTCTGGTCAACAGGACCACTGGTCTGAAGAACGCCAACGATGCCTTGAAGGGTCGTATCCTGGAGGTGTCTCTGGCGGATCTCCAGAAGGACGAGGATCACGCTTTCCGCAAGGTTAAGCTCCGCGTTGACGAGGTTCAGGGCAAGAACTGCCTGACCAACTTCCACGGCCTCGACTTCACCTCCGACAAGCTCCGCTCGCTCGTCCGCAAGTGGCAGACTCTTATTGAGGCCAACGTCACCGTCAAGACCACTGATGACTACCTCCTCCGCCTCTTCGCCATCGCTTTCACCAAGCGTCGCCCCAACCAGATTAAGAAGACGACATACGCCGCCTCTTCGCAAATCCGTGCTATTCGCCGTAAGATGACTGAGATCATCCAGCGCGAGGCTTCCACCTGCACCCTCACCCAGCTGACCTCCAAGCTCATCCCCGAGGTTATTGGTCGTGAGATTGAGAAGTCCACCCAGGGCATCTACCCCCTTCAGAATGTATGTTTCGCTTGCTTCCACTTGCACGATGTTCGACCATGTGAAGCTAATATATTTGTCCTAGGTCCACATCCGTAAGGTCAAGCTTCTGAAGCAGCCCAAGTTCGATCTCGGCGCCCTGATGGGTCTCCACGGCGAGTCTGGCACCGACGACCAGGGTCAGAAGGTCGAGCGGGAGTTCAAGGAGCGCGTCCTGGAGGAGGTTTAAGGAATCAGGCCCTTACATGATGGATGCTTCGGCAGAATGGGACTCTGGCTCTATCGGCTGGGAAACAAAATCGGCATTGTTTTAGGTCGTTGCACATGGCGTAGCATTAAGGCGGCTGCGGGTCTAGGTTACCTCAAAATGGTAAATGGTCAATTCTTCAATACACCGTGCCGGGTGTGTACGCAGCCTCGCTTCCGAATCATGATGGCAAGACTTTGGGTTTCGGGATCCGATTGGATGGAATTAAAAAGGCGTCATGTGGAATGGTCGGGTTCGTTTGGTATTTGGTTGCGGTCCGCCGTCGACCAGAGGGCGGTTCTTGCAATAACAATGCAATTGGGTTCCCGAAGCTGGAAGAGCTCGTCCGCCTAGTGACTAGGTATATAAAACGCCATACAATCCTCCTAACCACATGAAGCATTGTACACATTGCTCTCGAAATGAACCTGTGAACGCCTGTCTGCGCTGCAAACCCCTAAATTATTGCGTAAGGTATTTGGGGTTCTATACTCTAATGTATCCTTCCATCGGCCGATCCGAAAATGTTGGTACGTCCCAAGGCGGACGTCCTCGGCATAAGTCGAACTTCTATCTTGCTGGCCTGCGCCTAGATACCCCTCACAGACTACAACTGCCCTCTTACACTGCTTATGAACGACAATTGCCACCAATCGACCTCGTTCTTGCGCAATGTCCTGAAGTGGTGCACATTCACTACTCCTGTTCCTTCAAGAACTCGACCACAGCTGCAAGGTAAAGTCAGCCTGCAAACACGACGCTAAGGATACCGAATGCCTTACCTTGGCGAAATTCCTCCGGCTTCTCAGATATGCACCAATGCCCCGCATCAAGATCCACCAGTCGGAATTTGGGAAAGAACTGCCCAATGATGGGTAAGACGTCATCGGGAACATACTTGCTTTTGGTCCCTCGGACGAACAGAGCGGGCTTCTCAAACCGTACCTTTGTCGGATCCTTGAAAGGGAAGTCGCCCATGTGGTTCAAGGATCGACTGATGATGTCCAACGGCACGCGGAACTTCTGCTGTGGCTTACTGGGCTCTGGTCGGTAGAGATTTCCAAGGAGAAACTGGCGGATGGGAAGGGACTGCACAACAGGACAAAGTCAGCTTGGCGAGTTGCAGTCGGTTGATTCGGATAGCCTCACAGTTTCATACTCCTGGAGGATTTGATCTGCCTCGGCTTGCCTGGTGATATCGGCAGCTTCAATCTTCTTCAGGGCTTGGATGTATTTGCTAAAAGAGCTCTCCAGCACGGCATCAACTGGCGCGTTATCAACCGCCACAATGTTTTGCACAAGATCCGGAGATTTCAAAGCAAGAGTCATGGCGGCTTTAGCACCCCTTCAGACGTCCATTCCTTTTAGTGTCCACCTCAATGGGGCTCTGTGGGACATGAATATACTCACATTGAGTGCCCGATGACAGTAGGTTGCTCCAAGCTATGCTGGTCTATGAAACCAGCAACATCGTTGGCCATATGGAGGTAATCATGTTGTCTATCATGAGGCGATTCGCCATGGTTTCTAAGATCCTGATCTCCGTGTCAGCGGCTAATTTCAACATGTACCTGGATTAGGAGACTGACCAACGCATAGACTGGTCGGCCTAAGTCCCGGGCAAGAACTCTATGGAGCAATTAGCAGCCACCTCACAAACAGAAAGGCTCAATTTTCTTACTTGCTGATGGTTCTGTTATTTTTCTTGGAACCAAAAAGCCCATGGAGAAAGATGATGGGGCTTGAAGAGGGCCCTGATCCTGGCTTGCTGGGCTCATGGAAGTCATAAGATAGGTTCGGTGTTTTTAGACTGTACATGCACCGAGTGACACCGGAGAACTTTAAGGTGCTCGCCAGAACGGAAGCCTGTGGTCGGAAGAGTGCCATCGTGGGCTACAAGTATGATTATTAAGGTAAAAGCATTGTTGACTGAGCATTGTTCATTCATTGGTCTACATAGTGACAGTTTCCTAGGAGTGGGTCATAGTAGACACCAAGGGTAAATGTTTTTGTGAAGCGTGGGCAAAGTGGAGTAAGGAATCCAATGGGCCGAAATAGGCAATATTACTACGCAAGGGTCTTACTTAGCCTACAGCAGCAATAAACAACCTACACTAACAGAGGGGGATAAGGAAGGGGGTTATTATTAAAGTAGGCGATATGGCTGCGTGCGCCTGTGCCTAAGTAGGGAAAATAACTAGAAATACTCTAGTAATTTCTAAGATAGATTTTATTACAATAGTAGGGATTATAATAGTTAATTTATTAATTATTATATATATATAAATATAGTAAAATCCTATAGAAATAAGGAAATCCCCTTACTTCTTAGTTAGAAAATCCTAGGCTAATCCTAGTAATATTATTAGTAAAGTTACCATTAAATTAAGGCAATTTTACTACTTATTTCTTAGTAATTTACTATAAAGTAACTATATATATACTTAGTAGCTATAGGCTTATAAATATAGAAGATCTAGCTTTACTATGAGTAAAAGCTTAATATACTTATTAAGTATAAAATATAAGTAAAATAGTTAGTATAAAGATTTTTATCTTCTAGCTACTAATAGTACTTAATAATAAAGATATATAGCTATAGTTATAATTTTAAGCTATAAGATCTTAAGTAATTTTATATTAATATATATAAAATATATCTTTAGTTTAATAATTATAGTAATTTACTTAGTACTACTATTTTAAGCCTAGGTATATACTACTAATAGCTTAATAAAGATATTATAATTAAAAAGCGTATTTATAAGTTACTTAAGGCGTAAGATTTCTTAGTTAGCCTTAATAACTTTTAGTATAATTAAGTATTTATTTAATAGTATTATAAGGAATTTTCTTATTATTAACTAAATAGTATCTTAGTAGTAGCTATATAAGTAGAAATTATATATAAGGCTTATTACTTAATTTAAGATTATTATTACTAAGTAGTATCTTATATAGCCTTATTTAAGATTATAAAAGTCTAATACTAAGTAATTACTTAGTATTATATTTATAACTAATTTATAAGGTTAATAATATATTTACTACCTTATTTTACTAAGACTATATAAATTATAGTCTTATATTATTATAGTCCTAACTTAACTTAAATATACTTTATATATAGTATTTATAATCTTTTTTAAACTCTTAGTACTTAAGTAGCTAAAACGCTTATATTTAGAGAGTTAAAAAAATACAATATAAATAAAATACAATACAAATATATATATTTGTATTTTTTTTCTAACATAATATAATATATGTATTTATATTTGTATTTTTTACTTTACATAATACAATACAAATATAAATACATGTATTATATTATGTATTTAATATAAAAATGTAAAAATAAAATACAAAATTCTTAATTTCTATATATATTAATATATACTATAATAAAGTAATATATAAAAATATAGTAATATAACCTTATTAGTATTATTATATATATTAGTTAATAATACTAAGACTTTTAACTTTATTACTATAAAAAGTATTTAAAAGAATATTAATAATATAATATTTCTTTACTTCTTTAACATTATAATTTAATATAATATTTATATTACTTTCTTTTTACTTATAATAGCTAAAGCTAATACTATACTTTATAGTATTACTAATAGTGTTTTATAATCTAATAAACTAGTAATAGTAATAAATTAAAGATTAAAATATAAAATAACTTACTTTAAAGTCTTTAAAAGTACTATTATTATTATTAATAATCTTATTATTATAGATCTTATATAATAATAGCTTTAAAGTATTAGTAATTATAGTATTTTTATTATTTATAGTAATATTATATAATATACTATAAGAGTTAAATACTTCTTAAGTATTAATATTTTACTTTTCTTATAATTATAATTATTTACTTTTTATATTTTTTAAGTTATTTACTAAACTAAGATATATAAAAGAAATAGAACTATTTATTAGCACAACAGGTAAGCTAGTCTCTTAGATAGAGAATTCTAGCTTAGGAGAATATAAGAGAGTATATCTCTTATATAAAGATATATCCTATAGAAGTAAGAATATAGGCTAAAAGGGAGATATAAATACTTATACCTAGGGTAGGTAAATAGAGAATATAAGGATATATAGTTAAAAGAGAGTATAGTAGTTAGATTATTAACTATTTACTTGCTTAGAGAAAGAAGAAAAGGAAACTAGAAACAGGAAGAATTCTAGCCTATATATAGCTGTACTTAGCTTACTAGAATATTCTATACTTACGTAAGCTACTTATAAATTAACCCTTAGTTACGTAACTTAATAACCTTAAGTAAATAACCCTGACTTAAAGTAATAACCTTATAGGAAAGATAGAGTTGGAAAGTAGGATCTTAAGAGATCTTAGACATTCTAGTACCTTCTCTAATCTTCTGTTAATTGCGTAATTAGATATACTTACAAAATTAATATATATATTAATCTACTAAGTTAGTAGATTATAAATATATATATATCTTATATATATATAACCTCTATAATAGAGGAAATATAAGATAAAGAAGTATAAGAATATTAGAGATATTCTTACTTCTAATACTATTTAATCTTCTATTAAGTTACCTAAATCTATAATATTAGGATTAGTAGTATTATTAATTATAGTATTTATAGTATTATAATAGTTAACTTTTTCTTCTAGGTCTAAGTACTTCTTGTACTAAAGTAGACTTAAAGATATAGTAAAATCTATTTAGAAACGTTTTATTTATTAGTAATTATTATAATATAATATTAGTAGTAATATATTAATAGTGTTAAAAAGTAAAGATTTAAATAATATTAATATATTAGTAAAATAAATACTTACTTTAATAGTAATAAGTTTTATTAAATAAAGTATATAATACTAGCTTAGTAATAATAAAGTATTTAAATATTATACTTATAGTCTAAAGTAATAAAGTAAGTTATATAATAATAACTTAAATATAGTATAGTAATAACTAATAAGACTTAAATAGAGGTTAAGTTAATAAAGGTTAAGAACTTAGTAAACTAAAATAACTATAAGCTATATATATAGTAATTAGTAAGTAGTTACTAACTATATAACGTATATTTAATATTTATAGATAATAAAGGTAAAATAAGGTTTATAATAAGAATAAACTATATAGTTTATAAAGGTTTAAAGTATAATTATACCTTAATAAAAACTAATATATACTATATAGCTATAAGGTATAATATATATAATAAAGATATTTTAATTATAAAAATTAAAGACTATATAGATATAGATTATTTTATAATTATAAGTATAAAGTAAAAATTAAATAATTATAAATTAAATATATATTAAATTATTATAATATTAACTATTGCCTAGATATTAGTGTAAAGGTATATAGCTAAGTGCCTTAACTAGGAAGGGTATAGAAGGTAGGTCTATTCTATTGTCTAGACTTTTTACTAGAGAGTCTAAGATTTTCCCCCTCTAGCCTAGACTAAATAGGTAAATAGTTACTAACGTATTACTAAGGTTTTACTATAGTTTCTATATAACCCTTATCTTAACACCCTTATAATTATTCCTCTTCCTAAGGCCTTAGTCCTTAAGGCCTTCTAAGGCTTTATTATTTATAGCGTTTTATTATAGCTATACACCTTACGTTCTCTAGTAATCTTACTCTAGCGACCTGTTACTAACTAATTATTAACCTAGCTAGTTAGGGCCTCCCTTTAGTATTATAAATACTTTTATACTTAGTATTATTTTACTAAGTAGTTACTTTTATTATCTTATTCTCTTTTACTAAAGTCTTTTTTATATTATTATTACTATTTACTAGTTTTTTTTAGACCTATCTTTTAGGTATAAAAAATTCTTCTTTTATGTTATAGCTTTATTATTATTATAATTATTTCTTTGTGTATACCTTACTTTTATTT